CATGGCGCTGGCCCAGTGACAGCCTGTAACATGAGGTAGGACAAGGAATAAATCACAGAGATCTCTTCACAGAGACTCTCAGCCCCCACGGCTCTCACTCTCTCTGAAGAGATCCATCCCAGCTTTCCATGCTGAGACCACAGAAGCTGAAGGCACACAACAAAAGACACACACTGCTGCTCTCCATGAGGGTGGCATGAGAGCAAAATTTAGAGAAGGTGGCTGAGGTATTTCCCACCTGTAATCCCATCATTTGGGAAGAGGAGGCAGGGGGATTGTGAGTTCAAGGCCAGCCTGAGTTAGAGTGAGACCCTGTCTTGAAATCTAAAGGCAAGTCACCAGTATATGATAGCAAACACCTGTTGTAATCCCACCTAGTACTTGGGAAGTTGGTGGCAGGAGGATCAGGAGTTCAAGGTCAACTTTGGGTACATGGCAAGTTTCAGACAAGCCTAGGCTTTTATTTAGGAAAAAACAAAACAAAACAAACAAAAAACAAATAGGGTCTGTGCAAGGAAAGCTCTATACCCAAGAAGAGTGGTTTTGGAATCTGGAGCCCACGTGGCAGAGGAACCCGGCCCCCATCCTCATATGAACACCATAGCCTTCCAGGCCTGACATCCCCTCTGAAGATGAAAAACTGAGCCTCAGGGAGAGGAAAGCTGGTGACAGAGCTGGGTAATTTTCTTCTCAGGCCATTTGACCAGACCCTGAGGCCCAAAGGCACAAACTCGGGGACAGAGAGAGCGCAGCCAAGCCTGTGCAGAGGGTAAGACCATGCCTGGTAGAGGGTGGGACATCCTTCCTCTCCACTTCTCCAGGATCCTTATGGAACCTCACCCATCCTTCTGGTCCAGGCCGGAGGTCCCTGAAGGTGAAGGTTCTGATTCCAACATGCATTAGGGAAATCAAGGATAATGGGTGCTAATTACTACTCATTAATGCAATTAATTAAACTGATATATGCAATGCACGGTGTCAGTTATCAGAACAAATCAGTTAATACAGGCAATTAAAGGGGTTGGTTATTTAAATAATGAATGCTGCCAATGAATGGCCCGATTTAGCTCAGTCTTCGCCATCGCTTGTTAATTGATTTCACCACTAATATCAGAGGGGAAGTGTCTTTTAAGTATAAAATGTAAGAAATAATTAATTCATTCTCAGAGCTGAGTTTTAATGATCACTTTGATTCCCGGATTTGATCATTACAATGAGAGGAGGTAAATGCTAAAAGATCTCCAGGCAAACCGAGAGCTGGAGGCAGAGGAGGGGTGACCCTGGCCCCTGGGTCATCTGTAAGGCAGACCACGAGGGTCCCAGGAAGAAGGAATGTCACGTGCAAAGGCCCAGAGCTTACAGAGCCTCTTTGGAAATAGAGGTTGGAAAGCAAGGAAGGGTGAGGAGGGAGAGAGGCATGTCCAGAAGCGTGACAATCCGTGCTCCTCGTGTTCCTAACGGGAAGGTGGGAGATGGCAACAGGGGAATCAGCTAGCACGGTGAATGCAGTGGGGAGCCAACGAAGAGACCCGAGCTCAATCAAGGTGGAAGCGGAGGGCTGATATCCCACCTGGTGGGGGAGCCTCTGATCTCCGCAGGAGACAGTGGCATGTGTTCACACATGTGAATACACACACACACACACACACACACACACACACACACACCCCACACCAGGCCCCTGTTGGCTTCTCAACACTGTTGTGAGCCGAAGTCTGGAAGGAAAAGTACAGGAAACAGAAAGAGCAGAGACCAGCCTGGTGGTGGTGGTGGTGCACACCTTTAATCCCAGCATTATGGGGGGAGAGGCAGGTGAATCTCTGAGTTTGAGGCCAGCCTGGTCTATAGAGTGAGTTCCAGGACAGCCAGGGCTACACAGAGAAACCCTGTCTTAAAAACCAAAAAAGAAAAAGGGAAGAAAGAAAGAAAAAAGAAAGAAAGGAAGAAAGAGCGAGCGAGCAAAGCCCCTGCCTGAGAAGTTGGTGCTGCGGGATACTCGCCCTCTGGCCTTGGGTGGGGCAGCCCATGTAATGAGTGTGCCTGGGCAGGGCAAGCAAGGAGCCCGTCGTCCAGGAGTCTGTTAGGAGCCTTGACTCCCAGGCTGATGAAGCTGGGCCCCTGCTGCCAAATGGGGGGTCAAAGGGAAGCTGTGCTCCAATTTTTTTTTTAATAGGGCTGTTAGGAGTTGGTGAGCATGTCTGAGCCACAAATGGAGAGAGGGTGGCTGCCAGGTAATCTTCAGGCCAGTAAATGGCCATAGGTTGTCAGCGGACATAGCCATGTTGTGTACCAGAATGGCAGAGTGCTGTAGCTGGCAAGGGTGGTGAAGGGGTTGAGACTCTTTGGCTTTCGACTCTGCCTTGGATGACCTCCCTGGCTCTGAGTGTGTACACAAACTGAGCAGCACCCCATCCTCAAGGCTGTATTCCTGCCACCAACCCTACGAGGAAGTGGACAGGAAACAGGAGGAAGCACAGGGCTGATCCCAGTGTGTCCTTGACAATTTGTTCCCAGCAATGGGAGGATTTCCGGGCCTGAATGGCCGGAAATGCTGGGATGGAACACCTCACCCGGGAAGATGGACAGGGGAGGACTCTCTCGTCCACCTCACTTGTGGTGTCACTGGCCAGAGAGCACTGAAAAGGCATTGGAAGCCTGTGCCATTGCAGACTGACTTTCTCGGCAGGAAAGTTAATAACAAATAACCTCAGAAAATCAGAACAGGGACTAGCTGTGGGGAGCCCATGACCTCAGGAGCTGGGAGATTCTTTTAACTTCTCCCTTCCATTTTTCTTCTTCTTCTTTCCCTTTGAGCATTTCTTTTCTTTTGAAATTTAGGCATCTGTGTTTGAGAGTACATTTCTTTCCCATTTTGCAGATGGGAAACCTGAGGCCACTGCCTGGGAACAAGTGTTCCACCTAAGTGAAAGACAACATGCTGGCTGCTGGCTGGGGCTGCTCACTATTCTGGGTCTCCATTAAACCATGCTCACTGGCCTCCTTTTCTCCTAGATTGTGCCTGGCACCATGCCAGGGACTGCAGTTCATGGGTGAATGACAGTCCACACACACTCTCATGTGGGTCTCTGTTAATTTTCAATTGAGAAATAAATGTGAAATGGTTGTTGCAGGTTGAGATCAAAGAGACTGGAGGAGGTGCTGGAAGCAGGTGGGAGACAGAGAGTAAGGGGCCAAGGGGCTGCTGTAGGTGGGGTAAGCTTCTCTGAGGAGGTGGCTTTAAACTGAGCCCCGAAGAAAGTGGAGGAGGAAAAAACCTTATGAACATCTGGAGAAAGAGAGCCCCAAGCACTTGCAAAGGTGAATGCAAAGGTCCCATGATGGCAGGAACAAGCTGGCAAGACCGATGCAGCCGGGCCAGAATGAGGAGCAGAATGGTTGAGGTAGGCAGTCAGGCACCACCAGCATGCAGAGCCCACTCTGTGAGTGGGGCATAGAGATTAGGGAGCTACGACCCAGTTATGTCCTTTTCCTCTCATAGTAACAATGTCCCTTTATGCTCAAGGAGGTAAGAAGTTTGGTGTGGATGATAAATTACACGGCTGTGCAGGGGCGTGCCGATTTGATTCTTTTGTGGGTGGGGGCTGAGGATGAGGCTCAGCGGCAGAATGCTGGCCTAGAGTGTGCAAGGCCTGGGCTCTCTTCCCCAGCACCAAAAAAGAGGGAAAAGATTTTAGGCAGGTCTGCCGTTGTCTACTCATAATCTCGGCTACTCTGTAGGCTGAGGCAGGAGGATTGCTTGAGTCTTGGGATTCAAACCAGACTGAGCAGCATGGTGAGCTTGGTGGGTAAGAAGAGCTGCTCGAGACCAAAGACCAAGCTGCTCTGGCTGTCCACTTACTTGCTGTTCGGTACCAGAGCTGAAGCTGACAGGATGGGTTAGTGGACACGGGGAATCAGCAAGAAAGCCATGGAAGACACAGTGGCCCGGCTGCAGGGGGAGACTGTCAGTAATGTATTCTGAAGGGAGGGTTTCCTCCTGGGCAGGGTGTGGCCTGTTTCATGGGTCAAGGCCTGCTGGTAGGCCCAGGGTAGAAAACGAACCTCAGGCTTTGGCCGGCACAGCAGGGAGGACGGAGCTGGTACCCAGCTGAGAAGCAAGACAGAGAAGGGCCAGCAGCTCCTTGTGGGTGCCAAAGTGGAGATGCCTCCGACAGGGAGGGGGCTGAAGGGGACAGGAGGACACTGGGTGAAGAATGGGGCTGCATTAGCTGAAGGCTTCAGTTCTTTAGGCCATGGCTGGGCTGGGTGTGGTGGTGTGCCTCTGTAATCCCAGCATCCTGGTGGAGGCAGGAGGATCAGAAGTTAAAGCCAGTTCCACATACCTAACACATCTGAGTCCAGTCTGGACTACATGAGATCATATCTCCAAACAAATGCAAAAGCACACAGACACACAGACACACGCGTGCGTGCACGCACGTGCGCGCACACACACACAGCGGTGGCTGGGGGGAAGTGACTCACAAAGGGGAAGTCTGGAAAAACAGCCACCTCTGGCCTCTCCTGGCTTCATTCCTCCACCCTGAAGGCAGAGAATAGGTGTACACTGGCTCTAACCAGCTAGCAATATGCTAGCAACGTAGATGCTGACCAAGGAGTGAACGGGCCAGAGGAAAGGGGCTGAGCCTCAGCCCAGGCCCTCTGGTGTATAGAGTCAAGGGTAGGGAATGGGTGAAGGAGGCAGGGAGAGGAAGCAGACAGCAAGAAAGCGTGTGTCATGAGCCCGGTGAACACTCACCTTCAGTGCTCCATTAGGTAGTGGCTGATTTACGGAGAGGAAACCCAGGATCAGAGAGTGAGGGAACTTGCTCAGGGCTGCACAGCTAGCAGGGGTGTGGGACAGCCATAGGTCCACCAGCCCTGGCAATAGCATCCTGGGCTCCCAAGGCCAGGCCCAGGCCCTACACTACAGGTAGGGGAACCTTTCTCAGGAAATCTGAGCAGTGCTGAGAATACTCACGTCTTTCACCTTCTTTCAGGACTGCTGCAGAACTGGAGGCTGCTGGAGACTATGTGAAGGTAGGAGGAACAGGCTGGGGGTTGGCCACCATACGCTAGAGCACTCAGGGCCTGTTATGAACCAGACTTCCGCCTGGGAGGAGAGAGCCAGCAGGTGGGCAGGCCCTGGGGACAGCTAGCGTCCTGGGCAGCTATTTCCTATGCCTCCTGACACTCTGCTGGCCCTAAACCCACCAGCTGGACAACGTTCCAAGGGTGTCGCCATGCAGTGGCCACCACAGTGAGATCCCACTCTATCTCATCATCTATGGGGTGCTGGTGCTGGGAGGGGCAGCATGAGGAGTGATTCAGATCTTTAGCAGGGACTCAGTGCAGCTCACAGACACCGAGAGCCTAATTTGGGGGCGAGGGGTATGGCTCAGTTGGTAGAGAGCTTGCCTCATATGCAGAAGGCCTTGGGGGGGGGTGTCATCCCCCCCCCATACCACATAAGCTGGGTGTGGTCCTGCATGCCTGTAATCCCAGCACCTGGAGGGGTAGAAGGATAAAGTCAGGGTCATCCTCGGCTGCATAGTGAGATTTGGGGCTAGATTTGAACAAAAAGCCTTGCTTGTTCTAGGCACTAGGAATGTTTAAGATGTGGTTTGTGTGTGTGAGTACATGCTTGCATGTGTGTTTGTGTCTGTGGAAGTCATATATGGTTCCTGTCCACAGAGGGGCCTCACTGGGACTTGGGGGCCTCACTGATTAGGGTTCACTGGCAGGCCCATGAGCTTCCAGGGTCTTTCCATGTTCACCCCCAATGCTGTGGTTTCAAAGCAGCACCATCACACCTAGTTTCCTTCCTTCCTTCCTCTCTCTCTCTCTCTCTCTCACTCTCTCTCTCTCTCATATGGCTGCTGGAGATTGAACTCATGTCTTCTTGCTTGTTTGCCAAACACTTTACAGCGTGAGCCAGCCGAGCATGAGGCTATGATTGTCATCAACGTGGGAGGTTGAGGCAGGAGGATTGAAAGTTCCAGGCCAGCCTGGACCAAAGTGTAGGACCCTGTCTCAGCAAGAAAACACCGGTTCTGAAACAATGGTAATAATAAGACTAAGTAACATTTTAAAGGCCTGTTGCCTGCAAAACCATGCTGAGTGCTGGCAGAGATGGGTTTTGCTCTTTTGTTTGCTGGGAATTGAACTCATGACCTTTGGAAGAGCAGCCAGTGCTCTTAACCTCTGAGCCATCTCTCCAGCCTGGTTTTGCTCTTTTGTAAACTTTAAAAAAAAAACACACAAACATTTATTTACTATTTAATTGTTTTGTGTGCATTTTGGAGTCAGAGGCTAACCCGTGGGAGTGGCTTCTCTCCTGCTCTGTGGAATCTGGGGGTTGAAATCAGGTCCTCAGCCTTGGCATCGAGGGCCTTTACTAACTGAGCCATCTCCTGAAGCCTTTGTTGTTGTTCTTTAGAGAAGCCTAACTCAAATTTCCACTTGCAGATTAGAAATTTAGGACTCCCTCGAAGTCATGAGGGTTCTTGTGGGGGCAGAGCCGGCTCTGAGCCCCAAGCTTGATGATGAGCTTGAGACAGTGTCCTTGGCCTCCCACCTGAGCCAGGCCCTGGACGAACGGCAAATACTGCAGGGAGCAAGGAAGAGTGCCAGACCTTCATGCAAAGGCCCCTCAGGCCAGGCAGGAACCAGAGGATTACACAGTTTCCACACGCGTTATGATCTATCAGAACTAGGATCTATCTATCTTTCTATCCATCCATCCATCCATCCATCCATCCATCCGTCTATCTACCCATCTATCTCTTTAAAAACAGTCTTAAATGTAGCCCTGGTTGGCCTGAAATTCACTATATAAAACAAGTTGGTCTCAGACACAGGCCTCTACCTCCCTAGTGCTGGGATTAAAGATGTATGTCAGCTGGGCACAGAGGTGCACACCTGTGATCTCAGCAGAGGCAGGCAGATCTCTGTGAGTTCAAGGCCAGCCTGGTCTACAAAGTGAGTCCAGGACAGCCAGGTCTACACAGAAAGACAAAAAACTACACAAAAAAACCCCTGTCTTGAAAACAAAACAACACAAATGACAAGGGAATAACACCTGCTCACTGGGACTGGACCTCACAGTCCACAAAGAGATCCTAGCTTTGTTTCTAAAGTCTCTGTGGATGAGGGTTGGAATAGATTGTTTCCAAACTCCATTCCTGCCCTGAAGTGTTCATCTTTGAAGAATGTCCAGAACTCCAAAATCCCCAAACAATAACAGGAATCCTGGACTCTTGGGATTTCAAAATACTAAGGACATACATTTCAAGATCCATGTTCAGAGCTTCAGGTATATCTACAGAAAATAATTGTCTGGGGCCCAGAGAGGTAGACTCACCTGCTTGAGGTCACACAGCCTGTGGGAAGGGTTGGTTACAATTGGTCTCATGTAGCCCAGACTGGCCTTGAGTTTGGTATGTTGCCAAAGATGATCTTGAACGTGTAACATTCCTTCACCTTCTGACTGCCTGACTGCTGAGATTACAGGTGTGTGCCACTGTGTCCAGTTAGTTTACGCAGTGCTGGGGAAGCAAGCATGCTACCAGCTAGACCACATCCCAGCCTTCGAACCCAGAGTCTGATTGTTTGACTCCTTCTGTGCTGGCGTTGACTCAGTGCCTAACCCCTGCTAGGCATGCCCTCTAAGTGAGCCCTAAGAGGCTCCAAATCCAGGTCTTGTGAGACCCAGTCAGGGAATAGTAGGGTGTCTTTACTGGGTAATTATCTTTGCTTGGCAACTTTTTGATTGAGCTTGGAAACACTCACAAAGTTCAACACAGGTCTTCACCGTGTATCCCAGACATCTCCACACAAACCAGTCGGGGTTCAAAGACAGGGGCCCCAGGGTGGGGAGCCCCGCGAGTTAGAGAGGTAGGTGAGTTGCGCTTGGTGCCCTAACAGCCTTCGAAGCGTAGCACTGCCAGAAACAGCCAGTCTAACCCTGTTATTCTCGATTAGAGATGAGAAACCCGAAGCCACAAAGGATTGGATTAAACATGGGAATTTTTGTAGCGTTAGATGGAATTGAATTCAGAGTCCTCGCCGGTTCAGGGTCTGGAGGGGTGCGAGAGTGGGAAAAACAGGAGCTCCTCCTCGCCGGCCCCGAGGTCCCTACTCCACCCTGCTGCCCTGGGTGGCATCCCTCTTAGCAGGTCCTGGGGAACACGCACAGGGGAACGGGGTGGTGGTGGAGGGAGGAACAATGGTCCCCTCCCCTCCCTCTCCCCACTCCCCTCCCTCCCCAGCTGGCTGGAGGGTGGGGTCTCCCCGCCCCGCCTCCCCGCTCCTCCCCCGACCAGGCGATGAGGTAATCGCGCCGCTGAGAGGCACGCGCAGCCGGTGCCCAGCCCGGTCGGTCCCCGCGCCCCTGCCCCTTCGGCCGCCACCTCCGGTACGCTCGGGGGACCTGGGTCTCCCGACCGCACCATGACGGAGCGTTGCAGCCTGTGGAGCGCGCTGTCCGCCGCCGCCTGCTGCTTCTACCGCGGCTCTCTGGTGCAGGTGCAGGTGAGGGGGCGGTGCGGGGACTCGGGTCACTGCGCCCCGCTGCTGAGCTGGGGACTGCAGCCCAAGAGCATCCCGGTAGGGTCGTGCAGCCCGGACTGCGGGCGAAGGGAGGGGGGGCGGGGTCGCCCCGGCTCACCTCAGGGTACCCAGGGCGCTCCGCGGGGCGCGGGTGCCAGGAGGCATTCCCCCGACTCTGGACTGCAGGAGACGTGGGAGCGAGTTGGAGCTGGGACTCAGGCTGGGAGTGGGCTTCCTCTAGTCCGCTCTGGGGTCCCTGCTGCTGACCCCGGGCCACCTGGCTCCCTATTGTACCAGGAACGCAGGGTTGGGATCTGGAGGCTGAGTGAGGAGCAGGATGCTGCAGAGCACGCTGCGGACACCACGGTGTCGCTGCCCTCCTGCCATCGGAGTGGGTTTGGGATGCTGGGGCTGCAGGTCTCCCAGCCCAGCTAGCCCAGCAGCGCAGGAGCGCGCAGCGGCGGTGCGAGGGTTAAACGGAAGGGGGTGGAGGGGAGGACCCGGACCCCGCCTCTGCGGAGCATCCTCCAGGGTAGCTGTGTCAGGGGTTGGGATACCTAAGGAAGGCAGGGGAGTAGTGGGAAGCCAGCTGGTGGGAAGAGGCTGAGACCCTGGCAGAGGTTCTCCGCTCTCCTCCCTCTCGGGCATCCTGCGAGACGCGGGGCGCCTCACCTCTGAGCTCCCCCAACCTCACACACACACTTGCTCGGAGCCCGCCTGAATGACGGCCCCGCCAGCGGCGGAGCGCAGCATCCCCGCACGGGCCAATCAGGCGTGCGCAGGCCGGGAGGCGGTGAGATCATCTCTGGCCAATCGCAGTGCTCTGAGCAAAGGGATGCTGCATTCGCACCTACCCCCCCCCCCCACTCCCACCCACTCTTGGGAGCTAAGGACCCTGAGGCCCAGGGTGAGGAGGAGGTCACAGGGGTCCTGAGGGCTTCCCACCCTAGGAGTGTGGGAGGACCAATGGTCCATTCACCCCCAACTCTGACCATTGATTAGGGCTAGAAATGAGGTGTCAATTGCCAGCACCCTTTACAGATGAAGCTACTCGGGCCCAGGCAGAAGTGACTGGTCCAAGGTCACACAGCGTCGTGCCTTGGGGGCCACATTCTTTAGCCCACAGTCTGCCCCTATTTTGCTCCGAAACCGGGAGGGGAGTTTCTGTGTGTTGTTAGGAGCAGAGAGTGGTGTGTGTGTAAGGCTGGGTACAGGTTCCACATCCATGTACCTCTCACCTTTCTTTCCCAGAATCCTGTGTGATTTGAAGGGAGAGGCCTGGGCTGGTTCTGGTACTGCAGGGTAAAAAGGAAGAGGCTAATGACCCTAAGGAATACTGGACCCCTAGGAGAGTCGAGGGAGTGTGAAAAGGCCCAAATCTCAGCATTGCTGAGACCTCTCCACCTTGCTAGGGCACTGATTTCTGCTGGGTTGTGGGCAGAGGCCTTGCAGCATCCCTCCCTGGTCCCTGCCAGACCACTCCAACTGTCTCTCTCCAGAATTCTGAAGGCTTCTCGGAGCCCACACTGTCACAGGCCCACAGCCACATGTTCCTGCTCCTGCCTTAGCTGCCTCAGCCTTCTTCCCTTCCTTCCCTTCTGTGTTCCTGAGCCAGTGCCTCCTGCTGCTCTGCCATTGACTAAGGGCCTCAGCTGACCCCACACTGTACTGCCCTGAGACTTCTGGGTGATCCCCCAGCTCCCCAGGCAGCGGCACTGCCCCGCTGGCCACACCATCCATAGACTCCCAGTCTGCCCACCTCTCCTCAGCTCTTCCCTGTTCATCATTCTCCACGGCTGCTTTTTCTCAGTTTCTGACCAGGCAGGGGGAGACTGCATCTCTGAAGATGCAGACGCTCGGAATTGAGTGTGGGGTCAGCGAGGACAGTGGACCATGCTGGTCGCCTTGGGCTTCAGCCCCAGCATCAGACCCAAGGTGAAGCTGGTCCATGTTGAACAAATGAAATGGGAGAGTGTAGCCGTCACTGGAGCTGGGATGGTGGTCGTTGGGAAACAGTGAAGATGAGGGTGGAGCCTTGTGGAGTGTGGGTCTCAGGTCTGGAGGAGTCTGAGGCGTGGTTTGCCAGATGCCAGGAGTACCCAGGAGAGATTCTGTTTCCTTGCCTTACCTGTCTATACACTTCTGACCAGCTCCAGAATGTGTGTCTTAGAGCAGCCATCATTAGGGACTGGCATAGCCCCACAATGACAAGGGCAAGCTGTGTGGTGAGGCAGATTCTGGAGTCCCACTCATTTTACTGAGGAAAGAGTTAAGGCCCACACTTACACAGGCAGGGTGGGCTTAGCCTCGATGATGGGATATGCCTGGCAATGGCACTCTCCTCTGACCATAGGATGCCTGGGATTGGTAACCTCTTAAACCAGGACTGCCTACCATGGGTAGCTGGGAAGGCAGCTCCTTGGGCATTAACTTCCGGGAGTGACCTTCGACTTCCCTGCAGGGCTGCAGTTTCCAATCGGGCAGGATCACTTCAGATTCCAAGGGGGAGGAGCCTGGAGGATTGTCCTGGGCAGTGAAGATGTGCCCCTGCCTTTGGGCCCTTCTATGGCACAGTCCACATTCCCGAATGTAGCCTCATCTGTTCAGCTAGTCGGCTCTCTCAGACTTACCTGTAGGTGGCCTTCCTTCAAGATGGCCCTGTTGTCTCTAGTGCATTTTTGTACTGAAGTATCCTCCAGGAAGTCTCTAGACTACCTTGCTTCCCACAGTCTTCCCAGGGTGAGATAGAGCTAGGGCCCTTTGCCGCTGTCCAGCACCGTGGTGCTGATGGCAGCTGGCCTGGCCGGCCCCTTTGGCTATCTTGTAGCCTGCGGGCGTCCGTCCTGGAGGACAGGACTTGACTTTTTGCTTCATTGCATCCACCCCTTGTGGACATGCATTCTGGCGGAATACGGTGAGATTTTACTCTAGCCGGGATAGGGACCCACGGGTGAGAGCCATCCGCAGGGCAAGCGCTCATTGAAGATGACCTGGGGCAGGATGATGAGTTGGGAGATACAGAGATGGGCTGTGGAATCAGATGCCAACTTTGCTATCGCCATGCAGTTCTCCAAGGAGAAGTACATTCTCGACTCATCGCCAGAGAAGCTACACAAGGAGCTGGAAGAAGAGCTGAAGCTCAGCAGCACAGACCTCCGCAGCCATGCCTGGTACCACGGACGCATCCCTCGTGAGGTGAGCGGGCCCCAGGCAAGGGATCTCAGCCCCAGACCCTTCCACCCTGACTTTGGCCAACCCCAGCCAGTCACCAAAGTCCGGCTCCAGTCAGACTTTGGCCTTTTCATTGGCGAGGATGAGATTTAGCTTTGCCATTTACTGTGTGACCGTGAAAGGATCACGTCGCCTCTTTGGGCCCCAGCATACACATCTGCAGCATGGAGAGACTGTCTCCTCACAGGGCAGATGTGCACTACACAGCGAGACCCTGTCTCAAAGGGAGGGAACCTGGTGAAGGTTGAATGAGACAGAGCAGGCAAAGGAGGATGTCTGACGCCAGGGAATGTGAGCCCAGGGAGTGTTGTCCTTACTGCGTTTTATTATCCCTGGTTCATATTCAGCCTCATGTGAATTCGGTTAGAGAACATCCATTTTGGGGCCAAGTTGAGTATCTGAGATGAGGTGATGTTATAAGTCACAGACCTGTTTTGTTTTTTTTTTTTTTTTTTTTTTTGCCCCAGCACAGGGGTTTAAGGAGGTAGAGACGGACAAGGTAGCAGCTGTCTTGCAGGCTGCTGGCCCTAGATGGGTACAGAGTATCTTACACTGTCATAAAAGTGTAAGAGTGGAGCTCTGTACAGAAACCCAGGTGGCTGCTAGGAGGGGCACTGAGTGGAGCCCTTGGCAGATGCAGCGGCTCGTCAGACTTATTCCAGGTAGAGAGGGCGTCTTGAGGGAGCAGACACCAAAGCTGTACTGGAGCCCAGGGTGGGTGGAGGAGAGAGTTTCTGGGACTCGATTTGCCTGGTAAGAACCCTGAGAGGGGCTGGGTCTGAGACCTAGGCCTGTGATTCCAGCATTTACGGTCACTGCACCCTTGTGTCCTCCTGCCATTTCTGGGCCTCCGTGCCCCTGGCGCATGGCCTTTTCTGAGGCACCACCTTGGGATCTGGTCCTAAACTTCAGATGTCTGCTGTCTATTAACTGGCTCCTCTGTCTTGGTGTCCCCAATTCAAAGTCACCGTGTCCTCCGGACCCTGGCTCTGGCCTTTTTCCGCCGCACTTAGCTCCTCTGTGCCTTCTGTAGGTCTCTGAGACCCTGGTGCAGCGCAACGGCGACTTCCTCATCCGGGACTCACTCACCAGCCTGGGGGACTACGTGCTCACCTGTCGCTGGCACAATCAGGCCTTGCACTTCAAGATCAACAAGGTGGTGGTGAAGGCCGGCGAGAGCTACACCCACATCCAGTACCTGTTCGAGCAGGAGAGCTTCGACCACGTGCCCGCCCTTGTGCGCTACCACGTGGGTAGCCGTAAGGCTGTGTCTGAACAGAGCGGGGCCATCATCTACTGCCCGGTCAACCGCACCTTCCCACTGCGCTACCTCGAGGCCAGCTACGGCCTGAGCCAGGGCGGCAGCAAGGCCGCCAGCCCAGCCAGCCCCTCAGGCTCCAAGGGCAGCCACATGAAGAGACGAAGCATGACCGTGACTGATGGGCTCACCACGGACAAGGTCACCCGCAGCGATGGCTGCCCTAACAGGTCAGCCAGGTCCCCACTCCCTGGGCTTGTGAAATGGGGGCGTCGGTAATGAGAGTTGCTGGGTGGAAGGGAGGCCCAGCTTCTCTGATTTTTTAGGAGGCTCTGTGCGGAGCAGTGGGAGGTTGAACCTCAGTGTGGAGGCTGGAACATAGGTTTGCACTGGCTGGGGCACTAGTGAGAGGCTGTCTATCCAGAGAATGGCGTCTGTGGTCTAATTTAGAGACTGCGAGGATAAGCTGGGCTCTGGCCCGTATGTCTCTTCCTAGGCACAGGAGAGACATAGAGGAGTCGGAACATCTTCAGCTCAGACAGGCACCCTCAAGTTGTTACTCTGTCTTCTGCACCTGAGAGAAGAGAATTCTGGGTAGGGGCAGAGAGGGAGAGCAGGGTAATTGAGGGAGAGGGGTGAGTAGAAAGTTAGGAAGTGGAAGCAGTAGGGCTGTGACCGAGGAAGGGTCTGTGTGAGTCAGGGCCCTCTTGGGGGGGTGTCAGCTGAGGGCAAGGCCAGCGGGGGTGGGGGACAGGGCTGGGAAGTCAAGCCTATTCCATGTTAGCGCAGCCCTTCCTTCTCCAGATTTTGCATTTGTCCGTTGAGAGATTGAATTTGACAGCCAGACTTGTTCTGCTTCTGAAGTTCAGGGGGTGGGGAGTGGGCTCCAACAGTGAGTCAAGAGTCCCGACCTCTGACCTCTGGGCTCATGGAATCCCTCTCCACAGCACCTCACTACCCCATCCTCGGGACTCCATCAGGAACTGTGCCCTCAGCATGGACCAGATCCCTGATCTACACTCACCCCTGTCTCCTATCTCCGAGAGCCCCAGCTCCCCCGCCTATAGCACTGGTAAGCTAGTAGTGGGGAGGTCTGAAATGATGCTGTCTTCGGTGGGGGACATCTGTTACCTGTCTGTTTCTGCCTGTGCTGGGAGCAGTGTCCTCAGGGACGGGCTAGAAAAGCCTGTGGCAGAATTGATAGTGTTGCCAGGTAAGCACCGTCCAGTTGATAGCTTTCCCACAGGTGCCAGGCAGAGACACAAAATGGATCCTCAGTGTGAGTGGCGGGTTGGAGGAGAGCTGCTGAGGGCCAGCACCTGAGACCGTGACATGGGCTCGTGCCACAGTGCTCGGCCCCAGCAGGCAAAGCTCCCACTGCAGCTGCCTTAGCAAGGACCCCGCTAACAAGTGCATCCCTAGGTTCTAGTTTGGTCTTAGACCAGGCTAGCCCGGGCTAGTATACTTTGCTGTTTTTTTAAATTACTTTTTAGAGTAGTTTAAGGTTTATAAAAAAAATTGAAATCATGGTATTCTGTGCTTATAAATACAAATAAAAAATATGCCCCCACTTTGTTGCTGAAAACAAAGCATAACAAACCTCAGACTGTCAAACAAAGTGTCTTGGCCCCTAGGCTGTCAGAGCATTGTGAGAGGGGTGGTCTCCTGAAAGCCTTGGCCTGGAGGAAGCATTCCGTGCCTCTGGAGTGTCACTGGGGGCCCTCACCAAGCCCTCCCTTAAAGCCACCAGCTTTGTCACTGCACATGCTTGCTTTCAAAGCAGCACGCCTACATTTATTTATTTGTTTTTCAAGACAGAGTTTCTCTGTGTAGCCTTGGCTGTACTGGATTCACTGTGTAGACCAGGCTGGCCTCGAACTCCCAGAGATCTGCCTGCCTCTGCTTCCCAATTGCTGAAATTAAATGTGTGTGCCACCACACCAAGCTTATGTTTATTATTTATTATTTATTAACTAGAAATGTTTAATGGGACAATTTCTAGCCTTGACGTGTACAATCAGGCTAGGAGGTGAAGGCTTCAGTCATAGCCCTACTACTTGCAAGCTGAGTGTCTCGCCTTCTCCGAGCCTTCATTTTCTCAGCTCTAGACTGAGGACCATAAAAGCCCTTACTGCCATAGAATGGGACTTTTTTTTTTTTTTTTTTTTTTTAGACAAGGTCTCACTATGCAGATCTGGCTGGCTTGGAACTTGCTATGTAGACCAGGCTGGCCTCGAATTTGCAGAGACTTGGTTGTCTCTGCCTCCCGAGGGCTAGGATTGCAGGCGCGTGCCACCACACCTGATTTACTGTTTTGTTTTTAAGCTCTTTTACAGTTCTTTGCTTATTTGTGTGTGTGGTATGGGCGAGCCTGAATGAATCACAGCACATGACAACTTCCCAGAGTACCGGCTCTCCCGTTCCACTGGGTGGGTTCCAGGATCTAACTTAAGTTGTTAGACTTGGTGGCAAATGCGTTTATCCTCTGAGCTATCTGCCCACCTACCCCCTTTCCAGACAGGATTTCTCTAACTCCCTCAAGCTGGTTTGGAACTCGTGTAGCTCTGGCTGGTCTCCAACTCGAGGCCATCCTCCTATCTCAGTCTCTGCCGTGCCGTGCCGATAGATGTGTGCCACCATGCCTGGCTTTAACCTCTTTTCTTTGATGGTTTTACTGCTCTGAGCACTGCCCCCCTCCCAGTCAATCATTACTGTTAATTCATTGGGCAAGAGCTCCACAAGACACACCATAGGCTCCAGCAGGCTCGGCACCCCTGGGCCACCTCTGTGGCTTCCTGCCACTGCGGTCTTTTCAGGGCGGGGCCATGCAAGCTTGCTGGTCCAGGGAAGTGTCGAGAGGGTCCGCCTCCACGTGCTGGGAGGCGGGGACATCACACAGGATGGAGACTGTTCTCCGAGGGAACAGGGAAGGGAAGGCCCACTTTTAAGGATATCTGACACAACTAGTCTCCTCTCTCTCCTGTCCACAGTCACCCGTGTCCATACCGCCTCCGCCACCCCCTCGCCCGCCGCACAGCCTGCCTCCCCAGTTGCCCGGCGCTCCAGTGAACCCCAGGTGTGTTCCGGAAGTGCTCCGAAGCCTCCTGGGGAGTCAGACAAGGGCCCTCACGCAAGTCCTTCCCACACCCTCTGCAAGGCCTCGCCATCCCCATCACTCAGCAGCTACAGTGACCCGGACTCTGGCCACTACTGTCAGCTGCAGCCTCCTGTCCGTGGCGGCCGAGCGTGGGCAGCAGGGGAGACCCCTCGGAAGGCCAGGAGCTCAGGAGAGAGGCAAAAGGAACTGTCAGAAAACGGAGTCCCCGAGGGGGAATGGGGCAAGACCTTCACAGCCCCTGTGGTGGAAGCCACCTCTTCTTTCAACCTGGCTACCTTCCAGTCCCAGCTCATCCCCAAGGAGAACCGGCCCCTGGAGGTGGGCCTTCTGCGCAAGGTCAAGGAGCTGCTGTCGGAGGTGGATGCTCGGACACTGGCCCGGCATGTCACCAAGGTCGACTGCCTGGTAGGTGTTAGGAATGCTTGGGGAGGGGACAAGTGCCTTTCTCTTCCGGCTTTGGGGTCAAGAGTCAAGACGGTGAGGGACTGATTCCCAAACTCCCCAAGTACAGTGAGGCCAGTGGCCTGTATTCTGACATCACAGCTGTCTCTTTTTGGTTCTGGGACTTAGGGCTAGTCGTGGGGCATGCCAGCCTCCTATTTTCTTCTTCTAGTTTGTTTCGCTTCGTTTTGTCAGTGTCTCGCTATGCAGCCTTGGCTGGGCTGGAACTCGCTGTGTAGACCAGGCTGGCCTTGAACTCACAGAGATCCGCCTGCCTCTGCCTCACACTGCTGGGACCAAAGGCACGCGCCATCACCCCTGACACCTTTCTTGTTCTTCTACATTTTATTTTTATGTGTGTTGGGGTCGTGCCTGCAGTTTGTCTGCATGGTCTGTGTGAGGGTGCAGGGATCCCCCGGAATGGGCGCTACACGCAGTTGTGAGTCGCCATGCTGGGAACCGAACCTCTGTCTTTTGGGTGAGCAGCCAGTGCTGTTAACTGCTCAGCCATCTCTCTAGCCCAGTTTTCTTCTTTTAAGACGGAAAACCCAAGATATTTCTACAGTCTCCAGATGTTGGTTTGGAATGGAGGCTGACAGTTTTAGAGAACATTCTATAGAAAGTCAATGACTGGTTTAGGGAAGAGAAAAATCCGCTCCCTCCGCCCTGACACCCCCTAGTGGGCAACAGGCGAAACATTCCCTGACCCATAAAGGGTCAAGGGTTCAGACTCCGCCAAGAACCACAGCTCTTTCCGTGACTGTTTCCCGCTCTGTAGTCTGGGACATGTGCTGGCTTGAGAAATGAGGAAGTGAGAAAAGAGACACGAAGGGATGTTGTTGGGCGAGATGAGGGAGAAACTGGGGTGCAGGCCCAACTGTGTGAACTTGGCGAGTCCGTTCCCTTCCTGGGCCTTGGGACGACATTCTGGGATGGTGGCATCCTGGCTCTTAATCTTGAGTATTAAAATTTAATATGGCACACAGCTATGGGCATTTTCCCCATTTTACAGATGGGGAGACTGAAGCTCGCTCAGAAAGGGGGAAATCACCTGCTCTGTGTTCCCAGTAGAGCTGGAATTCAAACCCGGTCCCCGCCCGCCCCCTCAGTCAGGCGACCCTCTTAGATGAAGCTCTGACTCCCAGATGGCTCGGGCCAACCCTGACAGGAAATTAATCAGCCCTTTGGGCGTCTTTGCAGGTTGCTAGGATACTGGGCGTTACCAAGGAGATGCAGACCCTAATGGGAGTCCGCTGGGGCATGGAGCTGCTCACCCTCCCCCATGGCCGGCAGCTAAGACTAGACCTGCTGGAAAGGTAAGGTGTGCACCAGCCCACCGCTACCTTACGGGCTGTCCCCGGGCTTCTGACCACGCCTCTCAGCCCATTAGCCAATCGCAGCCCCTTAATACTCAGAGCCAGCCTCATTTCCCAAAGACTGCAGTTTATCGATCCGTTTCTCCTCTCGCATCCCCATGTCCATCAACCTTGGCCCCGCCCACCATTACTGTCCAGAGTGTTCACTCTGAAACACTGCCCCTTGGATTTCGCTGATCAATTACAAGCTTCTCCTCCTAGCATCCCTGATCTTGCCCCTAACTTATATTGTCTAACTGGGCTTCCTTCGCCTTGCCTGTCACTCGGCTGCGCCCCTTGGTTCCTGTCACTTATTCTGTCTTGGCATCGCAGGACAACGACAGCGGCGGGCTAGCCCCCCCCCCCCATCTCACGTGTGCCACGCCCCCTCTGATCCGACCTCTCTCACAGGTTCCACACCATGTCCATCATGCTGGCCGTGGATATTCTGGGCTGCACAGGCTCCGCGGAGGAGCGGGCCGCGCTGCTGCATAAGACCATCCAGCTGGCGGCCGAGCTGCGGGGGACGATGGGCAACATGTTCAGCTTCGCCGCCGTCATGGGCGCCCTGGAGATGGCCCAGGTACCGCGGGGCCCTGGGGAAAACTGTGAGTGGAAAACAGAAGGGCTCTCCTGAGTCTCCAGGCTTCCTCTGTAAAGGACCCTCCCAGAGAGCCGAGTTCCCGCAGGTGTTGAGTTCTAATCTGCCCTGGGCCTCTGTTTCCCCAACTGTAAAACGAACGGGAGTGCTGGAGAGATTGCTTTCTCAGCACCAGCCCCTCAGATCAGCCTCCTGGGGGGAGAGTCCTGTGTTGTCCTATTTTTACAGAGTGGGCACCTGAGGCAGAGCCCAAAGCTGAGATTTAGGATTTGTAAAAATGTGTTGCAGTGGCTACACCGATGACACATGAAAAGCAGTTAACCCTGTTCCCATTTTGGGAGTGACAGGCAGAAAAAGAAAATCATTGCGTCACAGCACGTTGTTCAGCGGGGCGGCCTGTGGCCAGCTGCTCCTGGAGGCGTCTTCCCTAGCCGGTCTCTAATAGTCTGGTCTCCCCAGATCTCCAGGCTGGAGCAGACGTGGGTGACCCTGCGGCAGCGACACACGGAAGGTGCCATTCTGTATGAGAAGAAGCTCAAGCCTTTCCTCAAGAGCCTCAACGAGGGCAAAGGTACCTGACGGCCCCATCTTGCTGTGTGATTTTGCAGAGGTTTCGGCCTGTGTGTTGCCAAAGACTCTTCTGGGGTGGTGAGGATGAGAGCTAGACTCTTTTCTCTGCTCCACTGGGTTAGCCATGTACGCCTGTCATGTCCAGGGTAGGGTCACCAGGGAAAGAAGGGACTGTTCCAGGCGGCCTCAGTTCTCCCCCTGGGGCCTGAGGCATCCCTGGGGCTATGGTGGGGGCAGGGCCTTCAGGCCTGAGTGCCTGCTGCCTCTCTCTTACAGAAGGCCCGCCACTGAGCAACACCACATTTCCACACGTGCTGCCATTCATCACCCTGCTGGAGTGTGACTCCGCCCCTGCTGAGGGTCCTGAACCTTGGGGTAGCACGGAGCATGGTGTAGAGGTTGTTCTAGCCCACCTGGAGGCCGCCCGCACTGTGGCTCACCACGGGGGCCTCTACCACACCAACGCCGAGGTCAAGCTGCAGGGTGAGTTGCTGTCACCAAGGATCCTGCCATCCCTGGCTTCCCTGCATTTTCTTCTACGAGAGCTTCCCTGTCTCCAAGCATCCACTGACATTTTCCTGACTCCCGGCTCCTATATCACATCTGTCTTGTCGCTCATTCATTCCACAAGCAGTTGTTAGTGAGGGCGTCGGGGGAGGTGGGCTGAGAGACACTGAGAGATGCAGCCAACTGCCCCTCACTGTTCTCTCGAAGGGAGCAGCTGTCTTTCCACAGCTGTTTGCAAGGTGCCCAGCCAAGGCCCAGGATGAACACAGACCTGCCTGTCTTCAGGGAGCCTTGGATTCAGGAACATAAAATTCTGGGAAAGGAGCAGAGCAAGTGGCTTCAAACAATGGTTCTTTTACTGCTTTGGGCATTATTTAAACCACAAAAAATTTCTGGAGGGCTGAGGATGTGGCTTACTTGATAGAGGCCTGACTAGCATGCAGAGCCCTGGACTCAATCCCCAGGACTGCATAAACCGGGAGCGGTGAGCCACAGCAATCCCAGTACTCAGATAGAGTCAAGGGCATCAGTGGTCCAATATCATCACCTGTTGCACATCAAATTTAAGGCCAGCCTGGAAATGCAGGCAGTTCTCTGAGTTCAAGGCCAGCCCGGTCTACATAGAAAGTTTCAAGCCAGCCAGGGTTACAGAGGGACACTGTCTCAAAAAAAAAAAAAAAAAATTAATGATAATAAAAAAGATTTAGAAAATTATTCACTTGCCCTGAGATATATGGTATGAATATTCTTTTTCGTCTTTTTCTTTCTCGGAAAGAAAAGAATTATATGCACTCTAAAAACGTGTTTCTTAGCCCAGGGAGGTAGCGCTTGCCTGTGATTCCAGCACTGGGGGAGGCAGAGGCAGGCAGATCTCTGTGAGTTCAAGGACAACGTGGTCTACAGAGTGAGTCCAGGACAGCCAGGGCTGCAGAGGGCAACCCTGTCTGCAAAAAAACAAACAAAACAAATCAAAACAAACCAATGGAGAGCGGGGAGAGGAAGTGAGAGAGAGAGAGAGAAGAAACTGACAGAAAAATACAAGAAAGATCTTTTGAGATCTCCTCCCAAATTTACAGGAGTGTTTTACCTTTCAAGGAGTGAGGAGGTAGCTGAGTGATGAGCACTTGCCTAGAATGCACAAAGCCTGCGTTCACCCCTAGCACCACCCACACGCACATGCACAAACACCAATCGATCATCTGGTCATTTAAAACTCATAAGTTACAAACAGCTGAAGAAAAACTAGGTGCTACCTGCAGGGTCTTCAATACATTTTGTTGGGTCCTGAAGGGCTAGGGAAAGATCCCTATGAGCCTATGAGTGGGGCCCTGAAGGATGTGAAGAGACCCCTGACCATGTCTTCCCGCCCTGCAGGGTTCCAGGCCCGACCAGAGCTCCTGGAAGTGTTCAGCACCGAGTTCCAGATGCGTCTCCTCTGGGGAAGCCAGGGTGCCAACAGCAGCCAGGCCCGGCGCTATGAGAAGTTTGACAAAGTGCTCACTGCCTTGTCCCACAAACTGGAACCTGCCGTCCGCTCTAGTGAGCTGTGACCCCGGAGACCTTGCCTCTCTGCAGCTGCAGGCAGCGTTGGGGGCAGAGGGGCTCAGGACTTGCCCCCAGAGCACCACAGGGACACTGTGATCAGCCCAAGGATGTTCTGGGTTCAAATCCAGGACCTCCCTTGCACTTCCAGGGTCCTGAATGGACTCTGAGCTCCACCCTTCCATCACACATGCACCAAGTCTCCCTTCCAAAAGGACAGGAACCTCTGTTCCTCCCACTGGCTTTGGCTGGTTCCTATTTTGCCGAGGTTCCCTGTTTTTGAGCCATGGGAGGCTCCCCACTTCTTTCCCTTCCTCCAGGCATCTTTGCCTAGAGCTACCACGGCCTCCATCTTACTGTAAATAAGTTTGACTGTAAATATATGTACAGACGCCATGCTGTCTCTTTCATATAATAAACTTTAATGACTCTTTCTTCTGTCCCATGAAGCCTGGGTTAAAAAAAAGCACTTTCCTCAGATAAATGGTGAAAAACTTCAACAAATACCTGGTTGGCACCAAAGACACTTTAGATTACATGGGGAGCCAGGGTTACAGTAACAAGAGCCCACACCCTTAGTATTAGCAAGGGAGATAGTCAGTCCAAGCCAGTGAAGATGTTGGGGCCTACCCCTCACTCTTCTCTGAGCCCTGGACTCAGGGCCTGGACTGGGAAATCATAGCTCCCTCCACCCCATACACAAGCAAGAAGCCCAAGGTTTGGGATAAAAGGGCTTTTAAAAGTCTAGAACCCTGGAGAAATGGCTCGGTGGTTAAGAGCCCTGGCTAATCTTCTGAAGGACTTGGGTTCAATTCCCAGCATCTACATGGTGGCTCATAATCTATAACTCCAGTCCCAGGGAATCTGATGCCCTCTTCTGGCCTCCTTGGGTACCAGGCACACATTTGGTGGGCAGGCAAAAATATCTATAAAAATAAAATTAAAGTAAAACAAACAACAACAACAACAAAACCCCTTTAAATTGGGTGTGGTGACCCGTGCCTTTAATTCCATCACTTTGGAGGCAGAGGGCAGACAGTTCTTTGAGTTTGAGGCCAGCCAAAGTTCCATAGTGAGCCCCCCCACCTCAAAAAAGATCTTCAAATAATGAAATCTAGGATCCCCGTCTCCCTTAAAGACTGATACCTGGTAGGAAAAGGGACCTTTTCTGAGCCATAATAACAGAACAAGCAAGCAGAGGAGAAGTAGAGGCTGGTTGGTGATGACCCCAGACCAGACCTTAGACCTCAGGAGCCTATTCACTGAATTAGAGACACTGGGGTCCTTTGCCTCTGAGTCCTTTGACTCGAGATGCTGGGAACACATGACTAGATATTAGATCCTTGATAGTAATTGGAGGTGGTTCTAGGTCTATCCTCAGTAACTAGGAACTTAAAGAAGAGGCTTAACTTCTTGGGTTCCAAATTCAATAAAACTGGGACAATAAGGGAACCCCTGTCCTTGGATTTATGTATTTAGTGTGTAGTAGCTGGTAAGAAAGAGCAATGCTCATTTATTGTTGTTTATTTTTAAGTTTCTCTTTTTAGGCTTGGGCAATTTTATTAGAATTTAAAAGAAAAACTCCAGGGCAGGCAAGCTGTAAATATCAGCAGGTACCTGGGGGAGGAAAATGAGAAAAAGAAAAAAAAAAACAAAACCCATGCAATTTGAGTCAGTTAAGTCTGTAGCTAGTCTTTGCTATTTTGTGGGTTCTTCTTTTTCCCACCCTTTATCCCCACCCCTTGTATCACACCCTATTGCTGGATAGGAGAGAAAGGAGACTAGAGGGAAGAGAGATAGAGGGATCCCAGAATCTAAGTTCTTTCCTTTTGTTTCTTCTTTGAGCACAACTCCTAATAAACTGCCACCAACTGCCCTGAATGAGCAATAGCCACCAACTCCACCTCTCTGGACCCTAGCATCTACATAGCCTCTGAAAGGTTTCTAGAATTTCACATGTCACACAATCGAAGAAACTATCCACAGCTGGGAAAACCACACCCCTGGCAGAGCACGAGACAAGTCATAGCCAGCTGCTGTGGACAGTCCGAAGCAGCCCGATATCCCTGGGATTAAAACGAAGTCATATTCGTAAAATATTTCTGTTTTTTTTAAGAAACCAAAATTCCAGGGTTGTTACTACACAAGGAAGTCAGCCATATGACAGTGAAGCCCAAAGTGTGAGAGGGGCATGCTCAGTAAAGAGAAGAAAGGGCTAGGTAGTCGTGGCCCACTCCTTTAATCCCAGCAGAGGCAGGTCTCTGAGTTCTAGGCCAGCCTGGTCTGTAGAGTGAGTCCCAGGACAGCCACGGCTACACAGAGAAACCCTGTCTCAAAAGAGACGGGAGAAGAAAACACGTTACACCTTTCTGAATTGCCCAGACTTATGAAGCTGCACTAGTGCCTTTTGATTTACTTATTTATCCATTTAGTGTATGTGTGCACTCGTGTATAGAGGTCAGAGGACAATATGCACGACTGGTTCTCTCTTTCCACCAGGCAGGCTCTGGGGATTGAACTCAGGTCTTTTGGCCTGGTGGCAAGCCTACCAAGCCATCTCGCAGGCCCTGCTATTTTCTGAGCCGAAACACTTTATGCGACCACATCTCACTAAGTATCACCACCCCTGGATATATAGCAGATACTGTTACAGACATGTAAGGCACCGGCACTGGAGGAGCGACAATGCTCTCAAAAGTTGTTATAAGTGAGCACTCTTTTTTCACATAATAATAATAAATATAATAATAATAATAATAATAATAATAATAATAACTTATTATTATTATTTTCTGAAAACAGGGTTTCTCTGTGTAGCCTTGGCTGTCCTGGACTCACTTTTTAGACCAGGCTGGCCTCTAACTTTCAGAGATCCGCCTGCCTCTGCCTCCCCCAGTGCTGAGACTACAGGTGTGCGCCACCGTGCCGGGCTATAAATTTTCTTAAAGAGCTTGGAAAAGGCGTTCAGGAAAGTGTAAGGTGCTGCAGAAGTTTTTGTTATTGTTGTATCACCCTCTTCTTAACAATCTTTTATTCTTTCTAAGGTAAGGTGTCGGGTGTCCCTCATTAACTGGGTCCGAAAACCTGGGGCACAGTTTCTGATCGGGCGGCTCGCGGGCTCCCCCAGGAGGCATAATTGAGGAACTGCTGCAGCCAGACAACCCTTCGGGTTTTAGAGACGCGAAGAAGGGGAGCCGGGAGTTGTAGGCAATGGGCGTGGCTGCCGCGAGCGGTGCACACCGGGAGTTATAGTTCACAGGTTCAGGCGATGGGCGGCTTCTGACTGAAACCGGGCCTCAACCGGATGGCGGTTGCGAGGCTCAGCTGCCCGCCCTGGGGCTCGATCCTCGGGCTGCTCGGGCTGGCCTTGACCGCCGCCACTGCCTGGGACGTGGCGTCTCTGCGCTGCAGCTTCGGCTCGTTCTGCGAATGTGACTTCTGGCCCGACTTGCCGGGTGAGGGGTGGGAGCCGGGGCGGAGGGGCGGAGGGGCGGGCAGCTGGGAGCTCGGAGGGGACGAAAGAGCTGAGGCCCCGCCGGCCGGGGCTGGCGGCGTCCTTCGAGAGCCTCCGGCTCAAACGTGAGGAGAGGGTTTGGGGGTGCTCGGTGGAGAGAGGCCACTAACAGCGGGCCGCGCAGTGCCTCGCAGAAGGCTTTTTTTGAGCGAACTGTCACCCGGGGAGAAACCGGAGATCGGCCCGGGTCTGGGCTGGACCTGTGGACACCTGGCGCCCACTCGGGGCTGGTGCAATCCGGAGAACCGCCTCGAGGGGGCGCTGCGGAGCTGGCGCTTCCTGAGGTGGCTGCTCCTGTCCCTCGTTTGGACAGGTATCCCAGAAGTCTCTAACATGCCTCTGAACCTCTCTGCCTCGATGTTCTTTTATTTTTGAGAAAGGGTCTCTCTATATAGCTCTGGCTGTTCTGGAACTCACTATGTGACTGGACTCCAGTGCTGAGATTAAGGGTTTGTGCCGCTATGCCTGGCTGATTTTTATATATTTTTTAAATATTTTGTTTTGCCTGCAAGTGTGTGTGTGCACCTTGTGCTGATGGAAGTTAGAAGAAGGTATTGACTGTTCTGGAACTGGCGTTGCAGATAGTTGAGAGCTACCATGTGGGTGATCGGAATTGAACTCATGTTCTCTGTAATAGCAGCCAGTGCTCTTAACCACTGAGCCATCTCACACACAGACACTCTTTTATTTTTATTTTTTTGAGACAGGGTCTCACTATGTAGTCCTGCTTGGCCTGGAACTCACCATGTAGACAAGGCTGGCCTGGAATTCAAAGAGATCCCCCTGCCTCTGCCTCCCAGGTGCTGGGATTAAAGGTGTGTTGGAGCTCACTATAAACAGAGACTAGCCTTTGATTAGCAGAAATATTCCTGCCTCTGCCGCCCAGGTGCTGCTGAGCTTACAGACGTGAGTCAACAGGACTGTCATCTGCCTTGATATGCATTCCTTCTGTGGCCCTAGGTCTGGAATGTGACCTGGCTCAACACCTGGCTGGCCAGCATTTGGCCAGGGCCCTGGTGGTGAAGTCACTGAAAGCCTTTGTGCAGGACCCAGCTCCCAGCAAGCCATTGGTCCTTTCCCTGCACGGCTGGACGGGCACCGGGAAGTCCTATGTTAGCTCCCTGCTGGCACAGTATCTCTTCCGTGGTGGCCTCCGAAGCCCTCACGTGCACCACTTCTCCCCCATTATCCATTTCCCACATCCCAGCCACACTGAGCAGTACAAGGTAGGCTGCGTTTGTCCCGGATCTTTTCTTTTCTTTTTTTTTCAATCCCAATCCAGAGAGGGTTCCAAAACACAGCCAGTTGGAGGCCTGGCCTTCAGAACCTATTTGGAACAGAGCCTGCCATGGAGTCATGGAGAAACTTGCTCTGTGTGATACAGGGGAGATGGCATTATCGGTGCCTATGGGCCAGAGACCTCATGAGCGACATGGGGATTACACAGGGCAGATATTAGAGTACCTGTCTCTACGTTATCATCCCCTGCTAAGCTCTGAGCCCCGATCTGGTGCTTAGGAAGCGCTGTCTGGTGACTGCCAGCCCTGATTGCTATTGTTGCTGCTCTCTCTTAGCTGTCAGCACTGTGGGGCATGTTCAACCTCTCTGTCATACAAGTCACTAGCTGTCATGAATCAGGGCACATGGATTTGTGTCCCTGTTCTGTTGACTGGCTGTGTGACCTTGGACAAATCTCTGTACCTCTCTGGACTCCCTTTTACCATCTGTCTCAAGGGGTTGATGCTCTCTGGAAATGTAGACCCTCTCTGGGGATGTTTCTTGGCTTGGGAAGAGGTTTGGGGCTGTGGGGGGAATGTCTTGAACTCCTTTGGAATGCCTGTCTCTACCCACATAGAAGGAGCTCAAGACCTGGGTCCAGGGGAACCTCACTGCCTGTGGCCGATCTCTTTTCCTCTTTGATGAAATGGACAAGCTGTCCCCTGGCCTGATGGAAGTCCTGCAGCCCTTCCTGGGTCCCTCTTGGGTTGTGTATGGGACCAACTATCGCAAAGCCATCTTTGTCTTTATCAGGTATGGCCCCCATTGCAAGCAGACACCAGGGGGACACTTGTCAGAGGTCCGGCTCTGCATCTTGGTCTGTGCTCCCAGCAGGCTGTTGTCCCCTGGAGCCCACACAGGCTCTCCCAGACCCTCATGCTATCCCTGGTAACGGTCATTTGAGGTGGCTGGCTTCCCCTTTGACATTCTCAAAGCCTGGGCTCTGACTTTTAGATCCTTGCTGCTGTGTGGAATCCCTGCCTGGTCAACAGTCATCCCTCTTTGGTAGCTGAGAGGACACAGGTGTTGGAGAAAGGGACCAGTGTCCCCACCCTCTAACCCCAGCCGTTTCCAAGTTGTGAGTCCTTAAGCAAAACTGCTGAGCCTCTCTGAGCTCTGTTCTCTGCCTCTGAAGCTGGACCAGTGTTAATTCCCCGTGTCCTCCTGGGGAAAGCTAGTTAAAGTATACAAAAGGATTTTGTAGCCTGAGTGTGGTGGCACACACTTGTAATCCCACACTGTGAAAGGTGAGTCAGGAGGATGGCTTCTGAGTTGAAGTTAGCCTGAGCTGCAGTAGCAAGTGTCAAGCCCACCCCCAATTGCTTTGTGAATTGTAAAGTGCACAGCGAAGGCATGTTACAGGGACTTGGTTGTCAAAGGACCTGGGGAGGAGAGGGGAATGGGCCACCTGGCTTACTCTGAGTCATGTGAGGTGTGACCCGCCAGTAGCCCCTCCATGACTCTCAGCCCGGGTTCTTGTGATTTTAGCAATACTGGTGGTGAGCAGATCAACCAGGTGGCCCTGGAGGCCTGGCGCAGCCGCAGGGAGAGGGAGGAAATCAGCCTGCAGGAGCTGGAGCCTGCAGTCTCCCGAGCTGTGTTGGACAATCCTCACCGTAAGTTGGCTCAGGGACCAATCCTGGTAGGGCCTTCACTCTTCAACTTAGTGGGCTGACCCCTCAGTCTGCAGCACTGTCCACTGCACTACAGCTCCCCCCACCCCCCAGCTTCTGCACACCTAGCTGTGACCTCACAGGCACAGAGACAGCCCCCAGCATGCAGCCTGCACCACTGCTTCCCCTGGGGGGGGGCCTTGAAAAGCTCACCATGAGCCGTGCTCACCTGCCCTTCCTGCAGATGGCTTTTGGCGGTCTGGCATCATGGAGGAACACCTGCTGGATGCTGTGGTGCCCTTCCTCCCACTCCAGCGGCATCACGTGCGCCACTGTGTACTCAATGAGCTGGCTCAGTTGGGCCTGGAGCCCCGAGAGGAGGTGGTCCAGGCTGTGCTGGACAGCACTACCTACTTCCCCGAGGATGAACAGCTCTTCTCCTCTAACGGCTGCAAAACAGTGGCGTCCCGAATCACGTTTTTCCTCTGAGAACCCCCGGTGGTGCCATCGCCACCTCTGCATACACAGAACAAACAAGAAAGGCCTGGGTGTCTCCAGGACGACTCTTTCCTAAGCTGGCTGGCAAGTGGGACCCAGAGCACAAAAGTTAAGATGAAGAAAGGTGTTGGCCAGGCCAAGGAAGAAAGGCCTAGAAGGCGTCTTTGCTGGGAAATTGCTGAGCACCCTAGAACCTCACAGCCTTGCCATTGCCCTGCAGCCTGAGGCTTCTCAATGTGAACCGCAACTCAGGGACAAAGACTTGTGGCTGCCCCCATGTGGGTTCTTCTACCTGCATGCCTTGCCTGGCTTTAGCCAGATCTCAGCCCACAGCCTGCGGCTGGACCCGGAAGTTCAGCAAGGCCAGGCTAGCGCCTCATAGTTTCACCAAATGGAGGGACTCGAGCTGCCACCTGAGCCTGGATTTCAAAGTTTTTAATTTTGTACAAGAAGAGAACAGGGATAATAAACTTAGCCATGGGATTAGAATATTGACCAGGGTTTCTCATTGTCCTGGGAGGAGGTGGCTTTGCTGAAATGAAGCAAGGACTTCATTGGTTCATTTATCGGGGAGCATAAAGGTTAGGATTGGGCGACTCTGTAAGCTCAGATCCAAGATGCTATCAGCTTTGCTGAAATTTGTTTCTGGGCTCTCACTGTGGCTGGAGTTCTCCTCACCTGGGATGGACCCTGGAGGCTTGTCCTGGGACTTCTTGGCTTGGCTCTGGCTGGAAGCCCAATTGCTCTGGGCCTTGAGCTTCCAGCTCTGGGCACGAACAGCCCTGGCTCTTCTGAGTCTTTCTTTTGGGCTCAGGGTAGCCCTGGTCTTGCCAGGCTTTGAGCCCTCGGTGACGTCTGTCGCGCTGGAGGTCTGGGTGGGCTCCTGGGCAGCCTCTGTCTTCCTGGGCTTTGGCTTTGGGCCTTGGTTGGCCTCTGGCTTGTTGGAGTTGTGCCTTACGCCATAGGTAGGTGTGGTCTCAAGCATGTACTGCTTTTGGTGTTCTGAGACTTGGCTGACCCTAGAGCCTCTACTCAGGCCTAGGATCTTTCTGATCTTTCTGGGGTCTGTCTGAGGCTTTGGCAGCACGCGCTCAGAGGGCATCACAGCTGTGGTGGAAGTGCTGCTTCTATATTCCTGACTGGTTGACAGCTCCAACCCTGATGCGCTCAGAACTGGGAAAGTATTCCGAGAGCAGCCATTGGCCTCTCTAGGCAGCTCTGGGAAGAGGGGCCTTCCAGGCCACCTCCAGCCCATAGCCCTGAGACCTACCAACTCCCACCAGGCCCACCTTCTCAATGTGCCTAGGCTGTGGGGTGACAAGAAGCCCTCTCTGGCCTCTCTTCTGGCTCTCCCCAGAAGGTTTTCCCACAAGCCTCTAAACTCCTCCCTACCCCTTCTTACATGCAGCAAATCCCTATTCTTCCTTCAGCTCCTTAGAGCCTACCCTGACCCCCTTGGTCTTAGCCACACTCCTGCCCTCTAACCCCACTACCCCTAGCTGTCTTAAGATTCACTTCCTGGGGACAGGACTGGGCCACTCATCCCTGTCACTAGTTGTTAGGCACAGGCCTGTCTCAGGGCCCGTTTGGGGATGATAACCAAATGGAAGGATGGGGACTAATACTGCCACTTTGCACCAACGAGCACTGGGACCAGCCTTCTCCGTTGCTGCCACCCCACTCCGGGGGGCTCTGAGGAGCAGCCTTCTTGCTTTGCCCCTTCATCCCCTTTTGGCTGGTGATAGCAACATTGGGACTAAAAACGTTGGATATGCGTGAGGTGTATGGCTTAGTTCAGGTGTATGGCTCAGTTCACTAACAAGCAGAGAGAAAAAGAACAGACCTTAGAAGGAAGAGGGGGAAGTAGTGATAACTGAGAGGGGCCCGAGGGTGACTGGTCCCAACTTTGTGCTGGGCACTGACCCTCTTAGTCCTTGCCACATCCCTTTGAAGTTGGGAGGTTACTCCTAACGTGAGAGTCACTTGCAGAGACAAAGCAAGGCAGAACCCAAGGTCATACTCAGCTTGACTCCTCTGCTGCTTTCTAGGCTTAGCAGGAACATCAAGGACTTACTGCTGAAGACTGAGCTTGAGGAGCTCTGGTCCAGGTAGCTGTCTGTTAGGGATGTCAACTTCTGAGCAGCCTTCGCCTATAGCAAGAATCAGGGTGGAGAGCTGCAGGTTGGTTGACCCTTGCACTCACAGCCATGGGCCCGCAAGGCCATAGGACACTTCAGCCTTTTCTATTTGTTTCCCTCCAAGAGAGGGTTTCTCCATGTAGCCCTGGCTGTCCTGGAACTCGCTCCATAGACCAGGCTGGCCTTAAACTTAGAGACCTGCCTGCCCTCTGCCCCCCTAGAGCTGGGATTAAAGGCGTGTGCCACCACATGGCTAGAAATCTTTTTTTTTTTTTTAAGATTTATTTTCTACTTTTTGAAATGTGAATGCATGAGTGTTTGTATGTACGCAAGAGTACAGGTGCCCACAAAAGTCGGAAGAGAGCATCAGATACATGGAGTTAGGCATGTGTGAGCAGCCCAGTATGGGTGCTGGAAGCCAAACTCAGTCCTTTATAAAAGGAGTATTGACTTAACCACTGAACCATATCTCCCCCACCTTTTTTTCCACCTTGTGCTTGCTCTTTCTCCCAAGCTTGGAGTTCCTCACAGACACTAGGTAAAATGAGGGGAAAACTGCAGGCAGGCTGTTAGTTAGGCTAGGCAGGCATTGTGTCCTGGAAACAGTGCTTGAGGAACATTGGTTCACATGGGGCCAGGCTACTGTAAACTCAAGTGCTGAGCCCTGGGGAATGCACGTTAGGAACTGAGCAGTCTCTTTCCCATGCTTCATTCTTTCATTCACCCAATAGGGATACTTCTGCTGTGACTGTTTCCTAATTCAGAGGGTCAAGTCTCTGAGCACCTAAGTAACCTGCTGGAGCCACTTGTTGCCAAGGAGAGAACAAGTTTTGTATCCAGCAAAACTTGTGGCCTCCTCCACCCATGGTCACATCTATAGGTGGGGAGGAGAAGCTGAGAGCCCCCTGCCAGCCATCCCGTTGGGCTGTGGGCTATGCCCATCTCAGCTTATCTCCCAGAGAGATGATGCCCACAATAACTTTGGGTACACAAGTGAATGTCTGCTCTTTCCTAGGAAGAACACTGGTATAGCATTCACTACAGCCTCGTGGCATTGTTGAATATAGACTTCATTGATTTTGGTGCAGACACTCCTGTGAATCTCAGAAATGTGACACTTAGGGAAAGGACCCGGAGACAAGACAGCAGGCCACACTTAGTCATTTAAAGGAAGGGAAAGCCTCATAGTATGGAGTTAGGAATTGGGGCAGCCTCGTGCAGAAGTGGGGCATGGAGCAGGGGCCTAGATAGGTGCATGCACAAAGGGCTTTCTGGGAGCTGAGAAGGTGTTTGTTGACTTGGCTGATGAGGCCATGGTATACTTAGTTTGTGAAAAATTTAACTAACCCCTCACTTAAGATTTGTGCAATTTAAAACTTGTGCAGGGTAGAGGATTGGGGGAGGGAAGCCGGCCAGTGGTGGCACATGCCTTTAATCCCAGCACTCAGGAGGCAGAGGCAGACGGATCTTGAGTTTGAGGCTAGCCCAGTCTAAAAAGTGAGTTTCAGGACAGCCAAGTGTACACAGAGAAACCCTGTCTCGTAAAACAAAAACAAAAGACTTGTGCACTTAAAAATGGGCGTGTTGGCTCACATCTGTAGGTCCTAGCACTTTGGAGCTTAACATGGGAGGATTGCTGAAAGTTTGAGGCCAGCCTAAGCTACATAAATTCTAGGGTAGCTGTAAGACACTGGCTCAAAACAAACAGGTCGGGGTGTGGTGTGGTTTGGTGGTATGTTGCACGCCTTTAATCCCTGCTGGTAGGGAGGCAGGGGCAGGTGGATTTCATCAAGTTTAGAGCCAGCTTTGTCTATACAGTGAATTCCAGGCTAGCTAGGGCCATGTAGTGACACCCTATTGAAAAGTAATAATAGCAGGCAGGGAAATAGATGATTAGTGCATGACCACCTCAGCTGATGCCCCAGGCACCGCACACAGTCTGGGATGGCCATGTGCACCTGTAGCCCAGCACCGGGGTGGAGTGGAGGAAGCAGACATGGAAGGTTCTGAGGCTCTCTTACTCTCAATAAAGTAGAACATAATTGAGAAGGAAAGACACCCAACATCCTCCTCTGACCTCCACATGGGCATGTGTCCTGCTCAGAGAACACACATGTGACACAAGTGACACACACACACACTGTACTTGTCTATGCTGTAGCCATAGACAAGTTAGGGCCAACTTAGTAAGGAAAGCAAGGCACACGTGGCCAGTTTTCCGAGTTCTGTGATCACGGCACAGTCATGGGGCGGGCACCCTTGCTCTCGTCTCTCCTTCTCCGATGAGGTAGGTCAGCCTCATATTGGACTCCGAGGGCCTCAGCAGGAGCTCCACTCACCTTTTTCTCCTTTGCTACCTCTTCCTTTTCCTTCAGAGTCTGGAGGGTCTCCATGTCCTCTTCCGGGATCTCGGTGAAAATCACTCCCTGATTCCAGGACTCCAGCAGGGCCCGGGCTTTCTTTCGGTCCATTAGCCTTTGCCTGTCAAGTGGTTTCCCAGGACCCTTGATCAGTCTCTGGAATCCAACCAACCTGCTGTCCCCAGGGACCAGACAGTGTGGGCCCTAAAAGGCAGCTGGGCCAGAGAGTTCTGAGCCCCCACCAGCACCCACTCCTGGCCAGAGGTCCCTGTTCCACACAAGCTTACACCACAACGTTTTGAGGGTGGCTGGCCTTTTGACCACTTTCTATCATCCGACTTAGCTCCAGCTTGGCTAGTTGGGCCATTTGGCTGTTAAGCACATTTTCCACAGTCATGCCAGGAAACAGGCTGTTCATCACCGGGGCTATCTGCCAGGAAAAGGGTACCCAGAGTTGGAACAATGGGCAGAGGGTTGGAGCTCCCTTCACCTCAGGGATGAACACAGAGGCTTCCATAAACTCCCTAAACTGGGGCCTTTTAACCCAGAAGGAGCAGGAGAAAACGGGAAATGGACCTTTCCCTAATGGCTTGGGAGCCAGACAGAACAGGGACTGGCTTTTGAACAGCAGGGCCTGTATGAACCCCACTCTGCACCTGTGGATGGGAGGAGGGTAATGTTAGTGGGGGAGGAGGGCTAGTTGGGCTAGTTGGGAGGTGGGCTAGTGGGGAGGAGGGCTAATGTGGGTAGCAGCTCATTGTCACTGGTTTCTTCTAGGGACAGGAGCAGCAGTCAAGTGGCAGGGTATGAGCCTTTCCGGCTCAGTAGGAGCCCACCTTTGGAAAGTTGGGGTTCAGGAGCAGGACAGTGGCAACATCCTGGCGAGCCCCCATAAGATTCTGCAGGACCTGTCGGATCTTGGCGCGGTGCAGGTAGTACTGGGCCTTCTTAGGGTCGTGCTTTATGGCTAATGAGAAGTGGTGCTCTGCTGTCTGGAACTGCCTGAGGGACATGCCCAAGGCTGCTATGAGCTGCCAGGAAAGATGGTAGCTAGCTACTGGGCACCAAGGAATTGGAGGAAAACTAGCTCCTGGCACACTCCTCTTTCCCATTCATGTCAGCCAGGCCCTTGATGGACCTGACACATGGATACTATAACTTTGGTTGTACCCTATTTTTTGTTTGTTTTTTTTAATTTTTTTTTTGAGACAGGGTCTCGCTATATAGCCCTGGTTTATTGGAACTCAATATGTAGACCAGGCTGGCCTTGAACTCTTAGAGATATACCTGCCTCTGCCACCCAAATGCTAGTGTTAAAGGCGTGGGCCACCACACCTGGTCCTGATGTTTTTTAAAATGTGTATGGGTATTTTGCCTGCATGTAAGTTTGTGCACCATGCTTGATCACTGGAACTGAGTTGCCATGTGGGTGCTGGAAATCAGCCTAAGTCCTGAAGGAATCTTTAGAGAGAGGCTAGTGGGAGAGTAGCAGGACTTGAAAATACATTCTGAATCAAACATTATTGAATATTGAACTTTTTTCATTAAAAAGCTTAATTACTAAAGCCATCAAATTTATTTTGTGGTGAAGATGTGAATAAAATCTCTGTCCAGAAGACAACTAGCAGGTGGCTTCTGGTGAGCCCCTTCCCTGTCCAGCACTGTCCTCAGCCACGCCCCTCTTTCACCCGCCTGTGGCGCACCTGCGCTTCTGCAGGCAGAGACCCATCTTCTCCTGCAGCGCACCCATTCGAAAGTTGGCTCCCTCGTCCTGTGGGCTCAGAGCCAGCGCTTGGCTGTAGTCTGCCTCCGCGAAGACCAGGTTGCCCAGCTGGAAGAAGCAATCTAGGACCCGAGGGCGAGGTCTGAGTGCATCCCCAACTCCCAGAGGAAAACTAGGGCCCAGCCTGGACTCCTTCAGCAGTTAGCAAGGGTCTGACTGCCAGCCACCCAGCTCACCGCCTCGGTTGATGTACAGGCCCTTCTCGTTCTGCTCGTCTCTGATTGCCTTGTTCAGCAGCAGCACACCCTCCTGATAGGCACCCTGGGTGTAGCAGTACACAGCAAAGTCGTTGTATGTCAGCAGCAGCTGGCGCTGAGCCTGCCGTGCCAGGTTGCTTTGGTTGTCAGTCACCATGTCCAGCGCCTTCAGGAAATCTTCCACAGCTGGGTTGAATTGCTGGAGCCGTCTGTGCAAGGTACCCCTATTGTGGTGGACATGGCAGGTAGCAGAGAGGGACACAAGGGCCACAAGCATTCCATTTGGCTAGAAAGGCTACTGGCCACCCTAGGCCTTCTGGACCATGACCTCTGACTGTAGTGAATTGTGCCACAAGTCCTAGGTCTGAACTCTGGGCTTGGTCCTAAAGATTACTGCCTGGATAACCTATTAGTCATCTGGATAGTTTCCCAGATTGTGAGCCAGATATGTGCTCTCTTCCATGTTCAGGACAACTTTGTGGAGTTAGTTCTCTTACACCTTTATGTGGGTTCTAGGAATTGAACTCAGGTTGACAGATTTGTTCTGCAAGCTACTTTACCCACTGAGCCATCTCACATGCCCCTGTTTAGGCCTTTGTGTACACACACTTTAGCCAACTATCTAGATGAGAAAACCGCCAGGTTTAGGGAGATTGAATGGCACCAAATCCTTGGGATACCAGATATTATCCCTAGCCTCACACGCTCCCATAATAAACCATTCAACAGGCCTGGCTGGGGTCCTAGGATTCCCAGGTTATCACAGGGACCACCTCTCTGGTGCCATGATCCCAGCCAAAAGCAGGGAGGGAGAGGGTATTAGGGGCTAGAGGGAGAAGCTGAGGCCTAGGGAGGGCCAGAGACTTTCCTGAGACCACACAGCAGATCTTCAGGAGGACCAGCCCCTCTATACCCTGGTACCGGAAGAGGTAGAGGTTGGGGTCCAGGGGGTTGTTCTCAATGGCACAGCTGATACGTTTCAGTGCGCGGTGCAGCTTGCCCTGCACAGCCAGGATGCTGGCATCTTGGAGAGACTTCTTGGCCTGGTCCACCATCATCTGGAGCAGCCCTTTGGCCTGTGGGTGCTTGGGATCCAAGTTCAAGGCGCTTTGAAGGTCCTGATAGCAGAGCTTGGCCTGCAGGAGTGGAGGGGTGGCATGGTGGGGTGGCACTCTCCCAGGAGCAAGGAGAGGAAGCAGGCCTCTAGAAGACAAGCCGGTATCCCACCATGAATCCTGTGTCCCTCCCCTACATTATTGTTCTACGTTCCTGGCCTCCTGAATGAGGCAGGGAACATCAGGGGGAAAGAAAATCCATCCCCAGCCTCAACATTAAAAGCTCCTTTCCAAGTGCGACCTCACTGAGGCCGGTCAGCCTTAATTTATGCTGATGTTATCTCCTAGTAGGAGTCCTGAGGTGAGGACATTGTGTGGCCTCTTTCTCTCCTGCATCCTTCCTCCACTTCCTGTCCCTTACATCCACAGCAGCTGTGACCAAGGACAGACTGAAGTCTGGGTATGAGCAGAGAGCATTCCAGGCAAATGCCTTCCACTGGTATGCGGGTTAGCCAGTCAGTCAGCAGTCTTAGCAAGCACCTCACTGTCCTGTGGGTAACTGGTTGGAGGGTAAGCTGGGAGGACTGAGCAGTGGATGATACAGGGTGGGGCTGAGGTTGTCATGGGCTAGAGCACTGGCTGTATGGCCTTGGTCCAGGCACCTGTGGGCTGTTTTACTGTTCACCTTCCTTTAAGGGTTCCTGTCAGTCTTGGGGATGGGCCTGAGCAAAGATCTGGGTCAGAGCAGCTCTTCACAAGACACAAGTGGAGGCGGGAGTCAGCAATAAATATTATGAGTAGACTCTTGCCTTTGAAGGGGACTCCATGGAGTCACTTGTGTGACACTAAAGCCCAGCCTCTGGCTAGAACCTGTGTGGGCACCCTTGCTCAGCCACTCTCCATCCTGGCCTGGTGAAATGAAATGAATCTACCCTTCTTCCTCTTATCCTCTCTAGCTCCTCCCCATCTTGTTGCCAACATCCCTGCTCACCTAGAATGAGGCACACTGCTCAGGAGCCTCTTCCCTTCAGTTCTATCAGGACTATGGACACATTCCCCATCCCCCTCACTCTTTCCTCTTGCATTCTGCCTCCTCCCAGGACTGTCTCTCCAACTGACAGACTCCACAGCAGCTGGAAGTATCCCCTAGAGGTCACTGTCCCAGGGAACACTCTACCGAGAAAGACCGGGGACCCACTGTTCTCCCTGTAGGCCCCTCTTTGCTGCCTACATCCTCCTTAACCTACTCCCTGTGACCCTGCATCCATTGTCCCCAAGCTGTTCTCTGCACTCTCTGTCCCATGCTCAGCCTAGCAGGGAGGCGGGGCTTTAGAACTTGTCCACTGTGCACGTACAGAAGAAAGACAGGATGCCCGGTGTCGTGGTATACATCTTTAATCCCAGCAGAGGCAGGTGGAGCTCTGTGAGTTTGAGACCAGCCTAGCCTTTGGAATGAGTTTAGTACAGCTAGGGCTACACAGAGAAACCCTGTCTTGAAAAAAAAACGAGACCCCCCCCAAAAAAAAAACACTAACAACAACAAAAAGAAAAAGGAAAGAAAGATAGAAAGGAAGGAAGGAAGGAAGAGGAAAAAAGAAAAAAGGAAGGAAGGAAAGGAAGGAAGCCAAGAGGAAGGGCCATATCAGCTAATGTCTATGGTGTCTTGAATGCATGCGCCTGAAGCAGGTAAAGTGCTTTCTGCATAGGTCTGAGGACAGTGTGGATCCCCAGAACCCATGTCTCAGCCGAGAGCTCTAAAGGTACAGGGATAGTGTGACATACTCAAGCCCCCACCCCTTTTGTGGTCACCATAGAGCCTAGCACGGGTCTGGGACAGAGCCAGGGCTGACTGGTGCAGGACCCTGCCTGAGTAGGCAGGGTCCTCAGGCACTGCGTGGACATACAGGGATAAGACTTCCAGCTGGCCTTGCCTCCTCTGTCATCTTGGGACACACTGGGGGCTCCAGGCCACATACCTCCCCTGCCCACTGTGCACTACCTTCTGGAAGTAGTTGTAGAGCTGGGCCCGGAGAATGTAGACATCAGCAGTGGCCCTGCCCTGCTTCACCTCCCTAGTGATGAGGGAGAGGCATTCCTGAGGCCGCTTGAGGGCCAGTAGGCAGGCTATGCTGGGGGTAGAGAGCAGAGGGCAGAGGATACTCAGCCTGGGCCAGGAAGAGGCTGCTGGGAGAGCTGAAGGCATGGCACACTCACCATCGGTAGCTGAAAGAAGGGTTCTGGGGCTGGAGGTCAGAGGCTTGCAGGAAGACATACAGGGCTTCCTGGAACTCACACAGCTCAAACAGGCACTGTCCCTGAGGAGAGGGGACTGTCAGTTCTGCTATAACGCCAGCTCTGCTGAACTCTACGTTTGGCAGAGCATAGGGAGAGAGGCCTGGACAGAGACAGAGACTTCAAGAGACAGAGATGGAGAGATGCAGAGCTGAGAAGAGACATCAAGAAACAGAGAGGAACACAGCTACATGGAGATTTGAGAAAGAACTCGACAGCAGGTGAGAGCGGTGGTGGTCTGGAATTCACAAACATCCTCCCCCTCTTTCAGATGAAGGAAATAAGGCCAAAGAGGTGAAGTGAGCTCCCCAAGATGACACAGGAAGTGAGCTGGCAGGACACGGGCCCTTGAACAGTTATCTGAGTGCTTTGAGGGCTCTCCTGCCTTCTCTGGTATGTCTGTTTTGTGTTTCACACTGTAGCCCATACTGGTCAGGAACTATGTGACCGCAGCAGACCTTGAACTCATGACAGTCTTCCTGCCTCAGTTTCTGGAGCGCTGGACTTGCAAGCCTGAACCACCCTGCCTGGCCCAGTGTTTCTTTTTTTATTACATGTATTTGTTCTGGGTAGGAGGCAGGCTCATGTCACAGCTCACGCGTGGAAGTCATGCATAAGGTGCAGGTGTCTGTTCTCTTTCCATTGTGTAGATCTCAGCTATCAAATTCAGGTTGTCAAAAAAAAAAAAAAAATCAGGTTGTCAGGCCTAAGAGGCAAACACTCTCACCTGCTGAGCCATCTCACTGGCCCCCAATGCTTCTTTGTAAAACCAAATGATTTGGCGTTTTATGAGACCGGGGCTTGAACTCAGGCCCTTGGCAGATGTTCTAACACTGCTACAGCCAACTCAACTTGTACCCAATATCTGACCTTCAAAAGAACAGACACCGAGGGTGGCGAGATGACTCAGTGGGTGAAGGTGATTGTCACCATGTGTGCTCACATGCTAGGAGACAACTGACTTCTGCAGGTTGTCTTCTGACCTCCCTACGTACACACATGCGCACATACACATGTGAATAAATAAAAAATAAATGTTAAGCAATTAAAATTTTTACTTAGTTCTAGGGATAGTACTCAGGGCCCTCTGTATGCCAGGAAGGCCTCCTACCACTGAGCAACACCCCTATTGACTCAACCAAATCACATTTAAAATTTGTTTCAGTCACACTTGTCACATTCTAAGGGCTCAATACTCCCCTGTTGCCAGTAGCAGCCCTAGTAGACAGTATAGAGTAGATCATATCCTTACTGCAGAAGTTCCATTTAGACACCCCTGGCTGTTGAAATTAGTAAACCGGTGATGAGGGCAGCAAGTGGGGACACAGACACAGGGCCAGGAGGCTCCAGGCACTCAGATCCTATCCCAGGAAGACTCCCTGCAGCTGAAAGGCAAGCCAGTAGCTGGGTGGAGGGTGAGCGCCGCTCTGTGGGCCGGGCAGCCCAGGCACCTGGAGGTAGAGCATGAAGGACAGCCGCCGCAGGTATTTGGTATTGTCTGGCTCGTAGGTGTAGGCCCTGCGCAGGTTCTGGAGGGCAGAGGAGAAGTCGCAGAGCTGGATGAAGGCCTCAGCACGGAAAATGTAGAAGTCTACCTGAAGACAAAGAGACCCAGGCTGCTGCTTCCTCTCCATTATCTGCCCTCGGGGTGGCTCCTCAAGGCCTAGCAAGAATTTGATGGTCCTGGGAGGTGTGACAGGGAGGCAGAAGTGTAAGCCAGAGGCTTCCCGGGACTCTGACTGTCTTACCAGGCTGGGGTTCAGGTGGAGGGCACGGGAGAAGAACAGCACAGCCGTCTCCCAGTCCTCTTGTTCTAGGCACTTATGGCCTTCATGAAAGCTGTGAGGACAGGAAGGGTAGAGGCAGTGGGGCTGGCCTTGATCTTGGACCAGCCCAAGACATTCTCAGGTCACAGTGGGATAGGCAGGAGGGAGGGAAAAGGAATCAGAGCTCCAAGGAGGGTTTCAGGCCATCAGCCTTTTATCCTTTCATCCATTAGTGTTCACTGAGGCACAGAGAGGGACAGCAGCCACCTTAAGGCTGTACCCTGTGTTAATGACTGTGTGCAGCAGGAACCTGGGGCTGGGGACAAGGAAGTCACTCACTACTCTTTGACTTTGACAGGCACTGATGTCCCCGATATCTTTGGTTTCTGAATATCATCAATCCTATAGAACACCTGGCTGGACCCAAAGATGCGCCGCAAGATCTTCTCCCGGGGTTCAGGGACCTTCAGCTTTACAATTTTCTTCACCTTGGCATTGTCAGGCTCCTAGAACCACACCAGGGGCAGTAAGCTTGGAAGGCCTCAGGGACCACCCCACATCGCTTCTACACTTTCCCAGGAACTCTGCCTGGTGGAGGAGGTGTGGAAAAGCCTCCTAGTAGAAGGCACGCCCAGTCTGGAGCTCAACAGTCCCACAGAGTTCCAACACTTCCCTAGCCCTGCCTCTTTCCCTCTCCTGCAGTGAAGATCAAGGAGACGAAAGCCCTCGTAGCTGCTGCGTCCTCTGTTCCCCTCTTGGACTCTGCCGGCCCTACCTTGTGCTCTGCCCAGTGTTCTCAGCACCCCAGCTCAGACCCTGCTCCACATGCAGGACTTGAGGTTGCTTGTCAGTTCTTTTGAGAGTTCCCTGAGACTCACACCCAGCAGACCACACTGAGCAAGCACTTCGATTACTATCTTCCCAGGACTTCTCACTTCTGTGTGGTTACCCTTCCCATTGTCACCAGAATCAGGAACCTATGTCTCTTCAGTCCTAAAGTCCTGCATTTCACTCCTCAAAATCTCTCCACGGGGGCTGCTGTGGTGGTACTCACCTTTGATTCCTGCATTTGACTGGCAGAGGCAGGCAGGCTATACTCAGTCTATAAAACAAAAACACAACAACAACAAAATCCCTAAGAAAACCTCTCTGCCCTCTCCTTTAGGGCTGGGAGGCCCATCATCCGTCTGGCCTCCCGCACTACAAATGCTGAAGCTTCCCCTGAAGGGCTTGACCGGCTCTGCTTTAAGCCCTTTTTGCAGCCCTGCCCTCTGCCTCGGCCTTCCCCTTCTTCTTCCTCAGCCCTCACCTCGCTTTTATCTGACATGGCCAAGTTTCCAGGTTGACCTCTAGCCTGAGTTAACTCCCTGGTTCCCTGCCTCCGTCGTTGCTAGGCACCAGCTCCAGGATGCCCATAGGCCCCGCCCATTTGGCCACGCCTCCGAGAGTCAATAGAAGCTTAGGTGAGTCAAGGCCTACGTCAAGGAAAGAACCTGTGGACTGTGCGCGCCGAGGCGGGCTAGAGTAGAAACGTAACGAGGCACGACACCCCGCCCCCGCCCCCGAGCAAAGGCGATGGACGACACAGGGATACACAACGCCGTGGAATGCACCCAGAGGCTGGCCTTGGCCGAGCCCCGCCCACTTCCGCCCCGCAGAGGCAAGGTGGACACCAAACTCGGCCTGGATTGGTCGTTGCTTGGCACGTGGCGATGATATTGGTTTAGGGCTGTCTGACGTCAAGGGGCGGGGTCATGGCCCTGAATGGGGTTGGTGTGTTGCAGTTCGGCCTTTTCCGCCCCGGAATGCGACGGAGTTGGGCTTTGAGGCGGTGCGTTTCGGAGGCTCCGTTCCCTGGGAAGCGGTGGCTGGTGAGCGAGGCGTGGTTTGACCGCGTAGTGTCCAGGGGCCTGGCTCCGCCGCTGCCACCGTCTCCCGGATAAAGTTTCCCAAGCTCCTTGTCAGTGCCCACCCGCCAACATTTAAAATCTTAGGTTGCGAATGCATGTGTGTGCATGTGCGTGTGGCTGTCAGAGGGCAACTTGGGAGTTGGTGCGCTTCACCATCTGGGTCTCGGGGATCGAACCTAGTTTGTCAGCAAGTACCCTTACTTTCTGAGCCGTCTTTCCGGGCTCCTTGTGAGTTGTTTTGACTTAGTTAAACAGCTGCAATATTGACCGGCTCAAAACTTAGGTGCGGCACCCCCGTTCTTGTGGGGCCACCAGGAGTTCCCAGGCTCCTAGGCGATGCTTCCAGAATCCTGGCGCTCCTCTGTGTTTTCTGTGTGTTGCCCGCAGGTGGCCGGCCTAGGGAACCACGGAATGCCGGGCACCCGGCACAGCGTGGGCATGGCGGTGGTGGGACAAATAGCGCGGCGACTGGGAGTGGCGGAGAGCTGGGCTCCTGACTCAAGGTGTGCTGCCGACCTCGCCCTGGCCCCTCTTGGGGATGCCCAGCTGGTACTGCTCCGGCCGCGGCGCCTCATGAACGTCAACGGGCGCAGCGTTGCCCAAGCTGGTGAGTTATGGGTTTCATGGATAAGAGGGCACAGAGACCAGAGAGGGGTTTCAATTGTGACAAATGCCTGGTGAGCCCGAACTACTGCAGTGAGGACTTGGGGAGCCTGTTTCTTTATGTGCGGGGTCGTTGTGATCCCTCTGAGCAGATGGGAAGTGACGAGGGTGTTGTTTCCTCGTCTCCAGCGGAGTTGTTTGGGCTGGCTGCGGAGGAGATCTATCTGGTGCACGATGAACTGGACAAGCCCCTGGGAAAGCTAGCTCTGAAGCTGGGGGGCAGCGCAAGGTGAGCCTGCCTGTTCTCAGGATTGGGTAGGGATGCCGGCCTCTGTCAGGGCGGAGTAGGGTTGTTGAACATTTGTCTGTAGGCTGGGCTGCCCTGAAGGAGGCCTGGGAGGGGAAAGTGAGGAAGAGCGCTGCCTTAGGAAGTGCTCACTCCTCTGCACATCCCTCCAAGGGGCCACAATGGCGTCCGGTCCTGCATTAGCTGTCTGAAGTCCAGTGTGAGTCTACCCCTCTGACCAGCCCTGGGTGGGGGTGGCCGGCGTGGGGTCCTCAGTGTATCTCACCAAGACACCCTCATTTTCCTGCAACCCCACAGGCAATGCCAAGGCTGCGGGTGGGCATCGGGCGCCCCACACACCCTAATATGGTGGAGGCTCATGTCCTGGGATGCTTCTCCCCAGAGGAGCAGGAGCTACTGTCCCCATTGCTGGATCAGGCCACTGACCTGCTCCTGGACCACATCCGTGCTCGAAGCCTCGGGCTCTGACCACAGTAGACACGACTGCCTGCCTGCCCGTGCCCTGAAGCCCGGAAAGGGCCACACAACTGCCATGACACATGTGGTACCCACTGTTTATGTAACTTGTCTGGGTTGCCCAGGGCCACTTGCAGATTCAAGGAAGGTCTGTGGCCACAACAGTCTGTTTCTGCGGTGACTTGGTCTCTCCATGTGCTACTTGTGGTATAGGAAACGTCTAGGAAGGTTAAACTTTCTGAACTTTTTGAGAGCGACAGATGAGTAGATCTGCAAGATTAAAAGATGCTGGCTTGAAATCTGAAGCCTCCTGTGGGGGGAGCCTCTAATTTCTTGCCAGTGGGGTGGGGACAAAAGGGTCTGACAGACCCTCTTTTCAGGGGATGGGTAGATATTGGTTAGCCTTAGGCCATTTTACAGGTGGGGAGGATCAGATAGATCCTACGCTATCCCTGAGGCCACCCAACTACAGCCTGGCAGAACTAAGGCTAGCTGTCAGCCTGCTGTCCCCAGGGTCCCTTGCACCCCTACCTCATTAGTGTTCTGTAACTGGCAGATCCCCATTCGGGCAGCGAATGAGAGAGACCTGACATCCTGAGGGTTGGGTGGGATGCGGACCTGGCGAGGCACCAGCCCTAGGTCCCCTGGATGGTAGGTTGTAATGGCGGAGAGCTGCTGCAGCAGAGAAGCAGCCGCTGTCTTGGACGCCTTGGTGCTGTGGAGAGGGACCAGGGGTCATCCCCTCCATTTCCGCAAGAGGAGGTGTAGGGTCTGCGGAGGCGCCCACAGGGCTGACTCCTCACCTCTCTTTGGAGGGGACCTGGGGCTGCTTCTCCCGGTGGGAAGTGAAGTCTAACTGTGACTTTGACACCACAGCCCTGCTGAGCAGGGCCAGCAGCTGCTGCAGGAGCTCCTTGTGCTGCAGCTGGAGCACCACATCGAACTCCCCATCCTCCGAGTCTGTTCGGATCTGTCAGTGCGAGGTGGGCTAAATACCACAGCGGCCCAGACACCCACCCGCCTCCATGCCCGATGTTCCAAGCCAGCGTTCCTGGTCTGTGGACAAACCATCAGGCTAGGGGCTCTCTAGAGCCCCAGAAGAGGAATTCAGCTCTTTGGAGATATGAAAGGAATCTCTTCTGTTCTTTCTTCTGCCCGCCTACTGCTGCCTCCCGTGTGCTAGGATTAAAGGTCTGTACCTTGAACCCATTCAGCCCCAGTCAGGTCTTGAATTTGGAATCTTCCTGCCTCAGCCTTCTCTGTACCTAGTATGACTAGACCCACTCTTGAATGGATCTTTGAGGTCCAGAGTCAGAAAAGAAGTCTGGCCATGAGCCTCTCAGGAAAGAGGCCCTCTGTGGTTGGCTCTGGTGGCAAGTTTCTTGAGGTCAACACTTGTCCTCCAGCCGCTGGCCCCTTGGTGTCTCCCACTGCACACCTGCATGATATCCTGTAGGAGGGAGGTGGCCTGGGCCAGGACTGTCTCGAGGCTGGTCCGAACTTTCTGTTCCTCAGTCAGCTTCTCTTGTAGCTGCTCCGCCTCTGCTTCCTGCCTCCTCAGCTGCTCTTCCAGCTGGTCTTTCTCGCTTCTGACCCAGGACAGGATAAAGCACACAGCTTGCCCCATCTCCCGCCTCTGGCTGGCACTGCCTCTTTGCTGTGCCCCGCCTTTTCTGTGCAGTTCATCTAAACTCAGGCCTCAGCCTGAGTTTAGTCCAAACTCTGATAGCCCAAACCCTGAGGCTCTAGACAAGGGCGTGCCCCAGCAGGCTCCCCCCAGCTTCCATCCCGATCGGCTCACTTCAGGGTCTGGTTGTCGTTCTGCAGCTTCTGGGAGTTCTGTTCCAGTTTGGAGAGCTGTTGACGCAGCTGCTCTGCCTCCTCTGTGCACTGTTTCTGCTGGCTGCACTTCTCTGTCAGCATGAGGATGATCTGCAGTGGCGGGCAGGTGCCGCAGACTTCTGGTGGGACCCCAGCCCACGCCTTCCTCCCTCCTGGAGGTACAGCTAGGACTGCCACGTACAGGCAGGCCAGTACCACACCTCTGGACAACAGCTAGGCAGGGGCGGGCTCCGCTCAGTTATGAGGACTTTAAAGCAAACAGACTCCAGTGCTAGGGACAGCACCCCCATAAGGAAAGCCTGGGACTTCACTGCAAACCCTCTCCTCATGACTTGGTTCTGAGGCCCGCCCTCATTTCGCAGGAGGAGGGCATGGTGGTCTTACCTTCCGATGGCCTCTGTTGTTCCTGGCCATGATCTTTTGGGTGTCCTCCAGCAGCTCCAGCTGTCGGCACAGCCTGTCGTGGGCGCCCTTGAGCTGATCATTCTCCTGCTGCAGCTGGATGCCTTGCTGGGACACCTTGGACAGCTGCAATGTCACGCTGTTATTCTCTAAGATGGCCCTCCTGGTTGTCTCCCACATCTGGTTGGTGGCCACCTTTCGAAACTCAGTGGCCACCATGTTCACACGGTGGATGATCTCCTTCCTCAGCCTGGCCAGGAGGGTGGGGTTGGAAGGGAGCCAAGTGGGTAGGTGTAAGTCTTGGTAACCCCCCCTTTTTTGCTGGGGGGGGGGTCGGGGTCGGGCAGAGAACCCAGGCTCTTCCACAGAGAATCTCTGGGCCTTTGGAATTTAAACCACTGAAACATTCTTACCTATTAAATAAACACAAAGTAACAAGAAGTGACAAGAGGACAGGGAAGCATCCAGTGCCCTCCTGGGGACTGGCTGGGAGCTTACTCTTCTGTCCCCACCCCCCATGAGTCCCAATCAGGGTTCTGGGGGACAGAGGCTGGGGAGTCCATTGGTCCCCTTCTGGAAAGTGAGGAGAGCTCAAGACTGCTGTGTGTGGCCCCAGCAGGTCCGCAGCCTGCCCACCTGTCCTTGTCCAGTACAGACTTCTTCTCCAGGTTGTACATATAGTCCTTGTATTCGCCCTCCTGCTTCTGAAGCTGCTCCTCCAGAATCAGGTACTTTTCTGTGAGCTCCTCTTTCTGCAGGCGGAATTCTTCCAGGGCAGTCAGCTTTGCTCCTGCCCGTCAGGAGCCACAAGGCTGGTGAGGCACTGCCTCCGAGGGCCTTGAGTGACACCCCTCCAAGGTCTCAAACTTGCCCATGTCTTCCCTCTTCCTCAAGAAATCCCCCCCCTGGTCCCTCCCCTCATGAGAGTAACCGTGACAATAGCAGCTTCCCCTGGGCAGACAAGTCCCAACAGCCCCCTTTCAAGGGTACATCAGACCCTCCATCTCTCTGAAGAATTTCCTCATCTACAAGCCGGGGAAGGGGGAGCATTTCTGGCCTTGGGAATGCGTGGACAACTAAGGCAGACAGTGTCTGAAGCGCCATGCAGCGTTGCTACTCCAGGTAGCTGTGGCATCTGGGGTTCCCAGGTGGGACCCGCAGCCTTCAGTGGCAAATCCCCACACATGTGCTGGCCCGTCCCCCTGGTCCCCTCACCAAGGGCGATGTTCTCTGTGGTGAGCTGGTCCTTGGTTTCCTGGAACTCATGGCGAACCTGGGCCAGCTGTGCCTCGAAAGCGTCCTTCTCTATCTCCTTGGCCAGCTGTAGGTTCTGCAGCTGCTCATTGAGGTCTGTGATCTCTTCCACCCTCTGGTTCAGTGTGCGCTTGAGGAAGGCCACAATCTCCTTCTTGTTGTTGGCCAGCTGCTCGAACTCTTGGCGGAATAGCTTCTCTTGCACGGCGAGTTCATCCCACTTCCTCTGGTACCTGGGGTTGGGTAGGGCAGAGAACAAGGCTGAGCCAGGACAGGCCTGGTCACTGGTGCCACTGGACATGCTCTCCCAGACCCTTCCACAAAGAGCCATTTCAGGTTTCCCATGGCCTGACTCCAGTCTCCTCTCCCACTGTCACACCTGGAGGCCTTAACCTCAGCCTGGGCTCGACTTTAGACTATATGTTTTAAGGTTTTGTGTGTGTGTGTGTGTGTGTGTGTGTAAGCCTGAGGTCAATGTTGAGTGTCTTCTTGGAAGGTTCTGTGCCTTCAGTTTCTGAGGCAGTGTCTCTGAATCATCTTTTTTTTTTTTTTTCCTGAGGCAAGGATTCTCTGTATAGCCCTGGCTGTCCTGGAACTCTCTCTGTAGACTAGGCTGGCCTCAAACTCAGGGATCCACCTGCCTCTGCCTCCTGAGTGCTGGGATTAAAGTCGAGTGAACCACACCCGCCATCTCTCTTTGAATCTAAAGTGTACGAGGTTGGCTAGGCTGGCTGGCTGGTGAGCTTCAGAGAGCCACTCCCATCAAGGTCATGGTTATAACACAGTGACATGCCTGGCTTTTTTTTTTTTTTTCCCAGGAGTCCTGGGATCTGAACTCTAACACTCCTGCTTGCTTGTCAGGACTTTGCCGAGTCATCTCCCTAGCCAGCATCTTCTGTTTCTTACCTCACTCAAATGTTTAGTTTATTTTTATATTCACTTACTGATTTGTTTTGAGACAGAAAGGGTTTCACTTTACAGTTCTGGTTGTCCTGGAATTCACTGTGTCGACCAGGCTGGCGTCCAAGCCTGACTCTGCCTCTTCAGTGGTGGGACCAAAGGTGCGTACCACTTCACCTGGTTACCTCACTCAAATACAGGCCTTGTGGGGACTGAGCCCATGCTCCACAGTGGTAACAGATGTTCACACCTGTTTTTGGTTTCCAGGAGGCATGCATTTGCTGAGACTCCCCAACATCACAGACAAGGAAACTGAGGCTCAAGGAGAGAAAACTAGAGAGTGACAAGACCAGAACTTGAACCCAAGTCAATCAGACCTGGAAGCTGAGGCTCTTACCCACAATGCCTGTCTCCACAGCCAGCCCACTCAGCTGGTCAAGCCCTTCCTCTGTATCTCAGGACCTAAGAGTTTGGTAAACATTAAGCACCCAATAACTATGTGTTAAATGTGTTTTCCTGCCAGGCTCAGTGGCACACGCCTTTAATCCCAGCACTCTGGGAGGCAGAGGCAGGAGGATCTCCGAGTTTGAGGCCAGCCTGGTCTACAGAGTGAACCCAGGACAGCCAAGGCTACACAGAGAAACCATGTCTCAAAAACAAACAAACAAACAAACAAACAAACAAACAAACAAACAAAGACTTCTCTTGTGGGACTAGTATGAAGCAGAGACGGTGTAGGGTGCTGTAGATACAGACATGTTTCGTTTAATCCCAGGTGTGGGATATAGGACTGATTCAGACTATTTGCCTCATGTGGGCTCTGAGAGGAGCTCTTTGCCAGCTGCAGAGAGTTTGAATCTGAGGGCTCTGGAGAGAGACTCAATGCCGGAGCCCAGAGAGAGGAGAACTCTGGGAAGGAACCAGATTGCTGCTATTCCCCTCTGCAGCTCCTGTTGCTGTTTTCAGACAAGAAGCTGGAGAGCCCCTGAAACAAGGGTTGGGGCCGGCCCCAAAGAACGCAACAACCCTAGCCAGCAGGAAGCAGCTAAGAGAACTGCACCCCTCTCCCGCCAACCCTTTCTCCTACCTGATGTTGGAAGGTATCAGGGTGGAGTAGGGAGAAAGATGTTTAAAAAATGTAAGTTTTTTAAAAGTAGGGCTTCCTGGATCTACGCCTACCTGGCGCCCGCTGTGACTTTCTGAAACGTCAACCCTATGACCAGCCACTGCCTTGTTGCCTTGTGTTTACATTCATTACAGATGTGTGGTATTCGTGTGTATGCACGTGTGTGCATGTGCGTGGAGGCCAGAGGCTGCTATTTGCTGAGACTCCCAGTGACCTAAGGGTGTTGGAGCTGTGATAATTACACAAGAAATCAAGGTTCTCCACCCTGAATATCGCAGCAGTCTCCTACCTGGACCCGGAGCTCACAAGTTCACCAGTCTAGCTAGCCAGCTAGCCTGCGTTAGAGCAGTGGTCCTCACCTTCCTAATGCCGCACCCTTTAACACATGCACCTCATGTGGTGGTGACCCCAAACCATAAAATTGTTTTTGTTGCTACTTCATAACTGGAATTTTGCTACTGCAATGAATCATAATGCAAATAGCTGCATTCTCTGAGCGTCTCAGGGCATCATGACCCACAGGTTGAGAACCTCTGCTCTAGGGGGCTCTTTCATCTCTATCCCATGCAGTGGGACCATTTGTATGAGTGCTAGAGATCCAGATTCCAAGCCCCACATCTGAGTGGCCGGTGTTTTGGTTACTGAGCCATCTCCCCATTTTAAGCGTTGTGCTTTGGGGCTGAGGTGGGCACTTAACAGTTGTCAGAAAGTTAGCTTCCTGTTGCTTGTTTTCTTGAGACCAGATCTTACCCTACAGCCCAGGCTGGCCTGGAAATCACAAGCTGGCCTGGGACTTAGACAAACCTGAGATTGTAGGCATGTGCCACCATGCCCAGGTTAGAAACTATATTTTTATAAACTTTTTTAGAGAAAAATGTCCATTTTATTTTTAATGAATTAATTTTAAAAAATGTATGAGTGTTCTGACTGCATGTACATCTGCCTGCTAGAAGAGGGCATCATGAGCCACCATGTGGTGGCTGGGAATTGAACTCAGGACCTCTGGAAGGGCAGACAGTGCGCTTAATCACTGAGCCCTCTCTCCAGCCACCATTTGTAGACATTTTATTGCATTTTATTTATTGATTGTGTATGCACATGCATGCATGTGGGCCATTGTGCACAGTGGAGGTCAGAGGACCACCTGAAGGAGTTGATTCTCTCCCTCCACTGTGCAGGGCCTGGGGATGAGGGGCAGTGCACTGGGCCATCTCACTGGCCCTAAAAACTAGTGGGTTTGTTTGTTGTTTTTTAAAGAGCAAATGTAATGTCCCTCATTAAATCTTAAGAGGTCCCTTCCCTGCCATCTCTGCCACATATAAACCCAGCCCTAAGACAGAATGCCGCATGTAGGAAATCCACCTTCTTTAGCTTCCATTTAGGGACCTGTAATGGTTCACACTGGTAATCTCACTCCACACTTGGGAGGCTGAGGCAGATGGATCAGCATGAGTATGAGGCTAGCCTGGGCTAAAAGGTAGTACCCTGTCTCTAAAACAAAACTAACACACTTAGGCAAACAGCACCAGTCTAGAGAAACAACCCTGGGCCTTGGCATAAGGAATGAAGGGCACAAGTGACCTCCCAGGCCACCAGGGAGAGCCATTTCCAATTTATCCCACTGGTTAAACTATCCTTTTATAGGGCTTAAGGTCTTGTTGGGGCGAGGTGGGAGTTGGGGGGCTTACCTGGGATTGAGATGCTAATGCTCCCCAAGCTCTGGGAGCTATGAAGGGGTGGGGAAATCCATTACCCGCTCACCACCTTCAGTGTTCCCTGTTTCCTTAGGAAACTGAGGCAGGGAGGGCTGGGCCCTGACATAACAGAGTCCAGATCTAAGTGTCTGAACCTGTGTGCTTCTAGCCTGGCAGCACTAACATCCATCCCTACTTCCCACCCACCGGGCAAGCCTGTCCTCCAGGTCTTGGATCTGTTTGTGGTAGAATTCCTTCAGCTCCTCCACCAAGATCGACTCCGGAGACCTCAAGGCCGTACTGATATTCTTGCCCCCTTTCTTCTTCTTAACCTCAGACTCCTTGCCTCCTTTGTTTGACTTCTTTTTGGGAGCCATGGCCAATGGCTACCACTGTTTCAAGTCCCCTTTAAGAGGCCAGGTAGTTGCTAAGGAAGTTGATCCCATACATAGCAACAGCCAGACAGCGAGGCTGGGAAAATTAAAGGGCTACTGTCCTCTTCCTGGCCTACGCTTAGCCTTTCCAAGCAGAATGCCAGGCTCTTGGGTACAAGTTTGGGTTTGAGGAAGACCTTTCCTTCCCTGAAATGGAAATAAATAATGGGGGAAATTAATTACAATCATCAAGGACCTAGCCTGTCACTTCGGGCTAATCAGAAGGAGGTCTAAGCTGGTAGGACCTCCTCATAGACTTTTAGCCAAGACTAGAAGACAATCACTGGGCCCCCAGGCTAGGATGTGCCTCTTCTCGACCACCCTGTCAATTCCTTAGTGGCCCAGGCACACAACATTTTATATTGGAGGCTCCAGCCTGGGCTCTTGGGATATCCTTAAAGCTTAGTGGCAGGGGCCATCTGTCCCACACTACCCTAATAGGTGAAGTTCTTTCTGTAGCTTTGGTCTTGGCTGTAGCATGGTAGGGAGGGAAAGCCCCTGGGGTGGGGGAGGCAGCGTACATGTGTGATGGGGGACAGTCAGTATCTGGCTGTCAGCTGGCCCCTCCCTTGAGTCTCTACCCTTTCATCACTAAGCCATCTCACAGTCACACTGGACTTTTTTCCCATTCATGAGGATGCCTGCTCAAGACTGGGGACCACCATCGTGTTCAGGGATGCCTGAACACTTAGTGGGTTTGCTCTAAGTGAGGCTCAACTTCGTGGGTATCACAGGAGGTAACAGCTATCGTACACAGAGGCCTACAGGGCATTCCACTCAGGTGGAATCTGCCTGATTCTCCTAGCCACCTCTGTTCTGACTCCATGGGAATGAATGCCTGTTTTGGCCCTTAGAAGGACAGAGCAGCCACATGGCCTGGGCTCCAGGGTTACTAGGCTGGTGGCTCCGGCTTTGACTGTGTTTTGGCCTGCTGCAGTAGCTTCCCCTCCACCCCTTGAAAATGTGCTGCAGCTTTTGGAGGAGTGGCTTGACGCTCCCTCTGAACCCTGGGAGCTAGGGCTCCCTTGGAACCTTAAAACATTGTGCTACTTTGCTGTCGTGAAATGGGGTGGAGAGGGGTGACAGAAAGCCTGGCCAACAGAAATCAGAAGAAAGAGAAATTGGATAGCCAAGCATGGCCATGCACACCTGTAATCTCAGTTTCTTGGAGGGAGGACACACAAGTTCAAGGTCAGCTTGGGCAACTCAGCGAGAGATTGTCACAAAATAAGAAAACATGGGAGCGGGAGAGATGGCTCAGTGGATAAGAGCACTGTCTGTTCCTCCAGAGGTCCTGAGTTCAATTCCTAGCAACCACATGGTGGCTCACAACCATCTAGACTAGAATCTGATACCGTCTCCTGGCATGGAGGTGTATACAGAGACAAAACACTCATACAATAAATAAATAAATCTTAAAAAAAGAAAGAAAACATGGGCCAGCAATATGGCTCACTGGGTCAAACTGCTTGTCCCACAAGCCTGATGATTTGAGTTCTATGCCCAGAACCCACACTGCAAGGAGAAACTGACTCCAGGAAGTCGTTCTGACCTTTGCATGCAGGTCACCACACACACACACACACACACAGATAATAAAACAGAATAAACAGCAAGTGAACAAAACCCCCAAAAGCGAAAGACGTTGAAGAGCCATTTCCATGGCATGAGGGACAGGACTCTGGGGAGATGGAATACACAGTACCCCACTTCAGCGGTTACTCAGTTTAGAATTCAAGTCCCTGTTTTGTACCTTGTTCCAGGCATTCTGGTGACACGACACACTGGCTGGCTGAAGTCATCCGGGAGTGAGCTTTAGGAGACACCAGGCCCCTCTGAGCTCCAGCTTCCTGATCTGCCAAGTGGCACTGAACACACGTCAGTGAGAGGCCTGGCCTGAGTGCTAGACGCCGTCTTCACCACTGCCTACATGGCAAGCCTTGGAGGAGCTGGGTGGGATGCTCTGCAGGACTGTCCTTCAAGCCAAATTGCGACTGTTTCATGAAGTCAGCTGGGCATGCGTGCAGGCTGTCAATGAGCTCGTTGCCTGCTGACCTTCCCTTCTGGAAGGAGATGAGGAGGACCCTGAACCCACCTCTCCCAACCTGCTGTGTGCACTTCTGCCCTAACTGCCTGTGGCCTCAGGGCCTTGGGAAGGAGCTCCATCTATGCAGGCATCTCATTTCCAGTGACACTGTTTCGGATTTCCCCATGTTCCCTGTGAGTAAGCTCAATAACACTCACTGGTTCCCCTGGGGGTAGGGGTGGGGGACCTTTGCAAACTTTGTTTTGTGTTTGGGACCTTAGAGAGGTGGGTAATGTGAGTTCCCCCACCCCCACCCCACACACCCTAGGCAAAGATCCTGGGAACATGTACATGATCTACAAAGTAGCCTTGAGTTGATATATTCTTTCCTGCAATGAAGGTGTTATTTTCTGTTACTGTAACAAAGACCCCAGGCTGGATAGTTTACAGAGGTTTAGGTAGTTGACTTAAAAATGTGTGTGTAATGGGCTGGAGAAATGGCTCAGAGGCTAAGAGCACTGGCTGTTCTTCCAAAGGTCCTGAGTTCAATTCCCAGCAAACACATGGTGGCTCACAACCATCTGTAATGAAATCTGGTGCCCTCTTCTGGGGTGCAGGCACACATGCAGTACAGAACACTGTATACATAAGAGATAAATAAATCTTAAAAAAAAGTGTGTATCTGGATAGATGGATGTTTTGACTGCATGTCTGCATGCACTGCCCACGGATGCCAGAAGAGGGAGGCAGATCCATTGGACTGGAGTTGTAGGTGGTTGTGACTCATCCTGTGGGACTCAAACTCTAGTCCTCTCAAAGAACAGAAAGATGTTCAGCCATCTCTCAAGCACTATTTTTTTTTTTTTTTTTAGACAGGATTTCTGTGTAGCCCCGGATGTCCTGGAGCTCACTCTATAGACCACTCTATAGGCTGGCCTCAAACTCACAGATATGCCTGCCTCTGCTGCAATTAAAGGCCTGTGCCACTTTGGCCCAGGGAATTTTTTTTTGGTGCTGGGGTGGAGCCTGAGGCCTCGCAAATGCTGGGAAGTGTTCTAACTGGCGTCATATCCCAACTTTCAAGCTTTTTCTTTATTCTTTAGTCTTGAAACAGGGTCTCACTAGGGCTGACCTTGAAATTGCTCTGTAGTCTAGGCAGCTCTAGAATTAAAAATCTTGTCTCTGCTTTCTAAACAGCTGGGGTTACAAGCCTGTTCCCCTAGGCCTAGTTTATTCGGCTGCTTAGTCCAGGAGCTCCTTCTGGCTGATGGTTGGAGCATGTGAGAGAAATCTGTTGTGAGAAACTGAGCCAGAAAGGCCAGGCTTGACTACAGACAGCGGCCCCTGGCGAGAACCACAGTACATCAATAACCCAGTCATTGCCTCAGTCTCTCCCAGGACTGCCTGTGACACAGGGAGCCGTGCTCCCAGCACGTGAATGGCCAGGGCCAAGCCATGTGCAGACTTCAGCAGGAGAGCATTTAATGATCCCTGCTGCTCCATGACCCGTAAAACTCTGCTTTCTCCGGACCAACCTCATAGCTGACTCTGCAGTTCACAGGACGCCACCAGCTTCCAAACCGGAGGAAGGAATCTCTTTCCACACATGAGCTGGGGTGGGAGCAGACATCGAAGGAGGGACTGGCATCCCGGTGCCTTAAACACACTGGACTACATGCTCGAGGTGAAATGGTCCTGCGGTGCCTGAGGCAGGGGCATTCTAGAAAGGACCAGGTTGAAAAGATGCGCCTGTGTCTAGGCGGGTCCTTATTTCCTCTGAAACAGTGCCTCACGATGTTGCCTTGGCCAGGCCTGGAGCTCATTATGTAGACCTGACTGACCTGACTGGCTGAACTCAAGAGATCCCCCTGCCTCTGCCTCCCAAGTACTAGGACTAAAGCTGAGTGCGATCACATCCACTGAGGCATCATCTTTTTGCCACCTGGAGCTAGTGACAAGCTTTGTCCCCAAATGGGAAATGGGTACAGAGGCAATGCAAGCCGCAATCCCTGGGATCCAGAAGACTCCAAGCCACAGCTGTGCGGTGGCTAGCCTCCTCTTCAGTCCCCAAAGAAAAACCAGCTCTACAGTGGGCCCGGGCACCAGGAGTGAGCGCTGATGTCTTTATTAGACTCAAATGCTGCAGTACAGGACGGTACAGAGCGGTACATGGTTGTGCTTCCATTCTTCAAACACTGAGATTCAAGAGTTTCAACTTAACAAGTTTCAAGACAGACTAGATGTTTTTTTTTTTCTTTTAAATATCCGTTTGAGAAATTATTTATATAAATAACATAAAGGAAACCCCACATGTTCGACAAACAAGGTCCTGAAGCATGAGCATTGCTTGACCAGAGGGAAAGGACGAAAGAAACCATTACAGAAATCAACCAGGGCTACTAGGATTCAGTCCTAACGGGAGAAGGGCAAGGGGCGGGATCTGAGAACTAAGACTCTACAGCCAGGAAGAGAGGAGGGCACAGGTCACCTGCAGTAGAGGAAGGCATATACCACGCTTGCGAAGACAGCACGAGACACAGTAATACACACAAGTCTGTGGGAGGGAGGGCCGGGGGCTGGGCTGGGGACATTTTTTGTGACTTCCACTGTCTTTATGTTTCACGACTCCAGCAGCAGAGTGAGTGCCATGCTCAGGGAGCTGCTGCGTCCTGAGGATGGAGGCCATCCTTTCAGCATCTGCTTCTGGAATTTCTGCTTGATAGCTAGCTATGTTTTATACAGCGACAATTTTTAATACAAAGAATAAAATGATCATTGTTTTCCTACAACCACAATGACACATGACTGTACATTACACAAAACTAAGATTGATGAAGTATCTTAAACTGAGGGTACTCTGAGCAGCAGGGACCCCATTCCTCAGGCCTACCTTCTAGAGCAAAGCACCCTTTGACCGGAATGTCAAACCCACATCTTCCCGTTCACTCCTGACCCTTGACCTCCATCCAGGCTGACTCTGTTCAAGTGAAGCCTTGGGAAGGAAGGAGCTGGCTGTGCCTAACTCTTCCCTTGAAGACCTGAGGGTGTTAGGCATGCTGGTTTAGGCTGGAGGATTTATGTTACAGCACTGTGGACACAGGTCAGGGCAAGCAGTGTCAGGCTCTGGAGACAACACTGGCTGGCACCCAGACTGGCTTCATGTGGGACCCCCCCCCCCACAGCTGCAACACCAGGCAAAGAGCCCGTTCCATGCTGGCCTTCAGGGGTGTCTGCTCACTGCCATTTCCTAGACTCTCTGCAGGAGAACAGGCAGTGAGCAGGGACTGGAGAGAAAAATAGATCACTTCCTCAGCTTGGAATATCGGGGGGCAGACACCTCATGATTCCCGACATGAACAGAAATGAGCCCAAACAAGCTTTGAGAAACATCCACACGTCTACCTTTTCCATACTCAAGCAATGTGCGCACGTGGCACGGGGCTATATACAGGTCACAGGATCATAAATACGAGGGATTCCACTCAGTTCAGAGTTCTGACGCTTCTGCAGTGCGGCGCTTGCGCGTGAACTTATAGTGGGATACGTACAGAAGATACTCATTTTTAAAAAAACAGCACATTACTCTCTTGCTTTTCAGAGGACAAATGGGGTGTCATCGCACAGGAGAAGAACTCAGCGCGGCAACGGGGTGGCCAGGGCGTGCAGGGATGGGGAGGCAGCAGAGTAACCAAGGTGTCGCGCTGGGGAGCTGCAGAGCATTGTGGGAAGGGAGCCAGGGTTTTGGAGGGGCGGCTTATTTTTTAACTGCTTATTTCTTCATCTGTTTTAGTCAGCTTCTTCAGCGTATCCAGCAGTTTCTGTGGGGTGAGAATGTGCGTGGATCCTGGGAAGACGGAGAAGACAGTGAGCTCACTCACCTATTACAGCCTGAGGCTTCTTTCCCCCATTCACCATTCCCCCCAACCCTGGTATGGGTCTAGTGGAAGCTGGGAGGGGGCAGGGGATGGAAGCCTTGGGCCCTGTTAGAATAGGCTTAGGAGGCATTTAGGCTCAAGCAGGGTCCCAGGCTGAACCTAGAAACCATCTCTCAATCAGAGCCCAGCGCCATCTGCCAGGTGACTGACAGTGGCCGTGCTTTGTCATCTCTTGAAGCCAGGGAGAGAAATTTCAAATATGGCAAGAGACAGTGGCTGAGAAGGGCAGAGGCCTGCAGCTGTCTCTATGCAGAGAGAATGGTGCCTGGTAGGACATGGGGACCCACTGACGTCTGGGAGCCAGCATGGCGGGGTCCTCAGGTGTGAGAGGGAAAGGGTGGGAACCTGAGGCCTTACCTTGTGGAGACCGGTATTGTAAGTGATTGGAAATGCTTGCAAAAGTTTAAGCTAATGGAATCAGATATGCTTCTAGAGCAAAGCTTAAAAAAAAATTAAAATGAAACAAATCTTAAGATGAAGGGCTTTTCCACAGAGATGTGGGTGTGCTAATGACGCGGGGCCGAGTGGTTGGACATGGGCTTAAACAGAATGGAGGTGACGGGTGGTGTGAGCATGAGGCGTGCATGCACGCAGCAGTGGGTGCAAAGCGGGTCCCGGTGGGACAGGAGAACTAAACGAAAGATCCGTTCTTGAAAATGTGCCTCCCTGGGAACCTGGAAGCAGTAGGCCTCTGTGGGAGCGGGGACCCGAGATCCTACTTCCAGACTTCCATTCCAAGGGCAGGCACAAGGAGGCTTGGTCCCCGTGCCTCTGACCACCACTTGCTCAGTGGCCTGGAAACTTCCTGGTTAGTCTGGACCACAAGAAAAGCAACAATCTGAGAGGCGTCTTCCAGGTCCCGTCGCTACAGTCACTGTTCTGAGTGAGGTGTCCATCCCTGGTTAAGGCCCGGGGTCAAGCAGCGCGCTGCCCTGAGCGTTCCCTGCGCTGGCCCTGAACTTTGAGGCTGTGTCACCACTCTGCAGATCTGCAGCGCCTTCCCCAGGGTGGATATGCTGCCTGGAGGGCTTGCGCTGCCCCTTCTGCCAGAGCACACCCACTTCAGTGAGCTGCCAGCCCTCCTGGGAGGACACGGGCCTTCACAGCTGAAGGGAAGTCAGCATGAGCCAATGCCAGAAGGAAGGCCGTCCAGACCTCCACTCCCTCCATGTTGCTGGCTCTGGAGCCTGTGAGGAGTGGCCTAGGGCTTCCTAAAGTCAACAAGGAATGTACTGGCAAGAGAATGCCCTGCTCCTCATGCTGAAAACTGGTCCAGGAAACTGGAAGGCTCCTCTGATCTTGAAGGCAAATTCAAAGGAGTGCCTCTGGTCGGAGGCCTGTTCCAAAGTGCCTCCCCACTTCTCACATGTACATTCAGAAATTCAGGGAGGTATGATCTAGAATCTTCTGATACTGTCTTATTCCTAACCCCTGGGCCTTCCTAGTCTTTAAGTGTAGAACTGAATCTTAGAGAACAAGTGAGGCCTCTCTCAGCAACAGGCCAGTTCCAGGCCTTCCCTTGATCCAGGTCATCCAAAGCTAGGTCCTGACATTCAACTAGCTGAACTGCCTTAGTATCGCAGATGGAGCTTGCTACCATCAACGCAGCAAAGGGAGTGAGGCGAGCCATGAGCTGCCTTTTGCAGTTGCCGTCATTTTTGTCGCCAAGAGGTTGGCTACACTGGCCTCCTACTCAAGAATTCAGAGGCTCTCCTCTAGTCCATGCAACTGGGTGGTTATGAAATGCCAGCAGTGGCCTCCAAAGATGAAGCTGAAGTCTGTTCAAATGCCCATCTCATGATTCAGAGCCTTAGGGCTAGTCTTCTGGGTTAAGGGCTCCCTGGAGCCTTCTGGGAAAGAAGCCATCCTTATCAGAGGGGTGCGAGGGGTGCTTGTATGTCAGAGCAACCCCAGCCTGCAGCACAGCAAAACGTTCTCTATAAGCACACAAAAACCTCACAAATGAGTGGGGCAGGGGTGCTAAACACCTTTAATCCCAGCACTCGGGAGACAGAGGCAGAAGCAGGTGGACCTCTGTGAGTTCGAGGCCAGCCTGGTCTATACAGCGAGTTCCAGGACAGCCAGGGCTACACAGAGAAACCCTGTCTCAAAAAACAAAACAAGCCAAAAAGAAAAAGAAATCTCATAAGTAGCATATGCACTAAATAGGCCTAATCTAGCCCAAGAGTTCTCTCATTTGCTTATGTTTCTTTTTAAAAATAACTTTTTATTTTATGTGTGAGTGTTTTGCCTTCAATGTGTGGCAGTGCATCAAAGTCTGTGCCTGGTGCTCAGTGAGGCCAGCAGAGGGCACTGGATCCCATGAAGGCACCGGGAATGGAACCCAGATCTACTGGAAGAGCCAGTGCTCCTAACCACCAAGCCATTTTTCCAGCCTCTCTTTCATTTGTTTTGATGGCTTCCCGGCCATCCCCTCATGACTGGCACTACTGACCTACATCACAAGGTAGGAATGTAAAAATCTAATCAGAAGCCATCACTCATGGGCAGTCTGGAGGGATGGCTAGAGGGGACTAAGGTGAGGCTTGATGGAATTGGGCTTCTTCAATGGTCAAGATTCCTTTGACCCACAGCTGCCTTGGTGAGTGGAGCTAGGACGACACGGCAAGGCACTGTCTCCCGGAACGTATGATACTCTCTGGGGGGTATCACCCTAAAGATAAGCTACAAAACCAAGGCTATTCTGTCTCTGCTCACCTGGATGGTCACAACAGGAGAGTGAATGAGTGTCTTTTTCCTCTGGCCTCACTGGTGTTAGGGCTCTGTGGCTTGCTATTGCTTCATCTCCCTTCTTCCCTTTATACACATATCTTTAAATTTTTATTTATTTATTCTCGAGACGGAGTCTCAGTCTGTAGCCCTGGCTGTCTCTGAACTCTCATGTAGACTAGGCTGGCCTCACACTCACACAGATCTGCCTGCCTCTGTTTCCTGAGGCCTAGGTTGACAGAAGCACACCTCTATGCTTTATCTCCCATTGACCTTGCTTTCCTAAGGAAGATGAGCACAGTTCAGATAGAGTTGAGGTCCAGAGCTATGGCTAACTCCATTTTCTTGGCTCATGGCTGGTGTCCTGGAGATAATATCCCTCTCCTGAGGGAAGTGCAGATGAATGGAGTAGCTTGCTACTTCTTCTTTCAACATGGAAACCACACTAAGCGAGCCAGCTTCTGGTGCTATCTAGTCAAGCTTGGGAAGGTCCACGCCCCTGAAGCCTATCAGGAGGCTAGGGGTATGTATGCATGGCTTGAGGCCTGCATCTGCCCTACTGAAATACAGACTGCCTTTGGGGAGCCTTGGTGAAATGGTCCAGTGTCCCTGTGCTCATATTCTGTGGCCTGGGAGTTCGCTCCCTACTGCATACAGGATACTCCAACCTGGGTCACATGTCAACTTATGGAAAAAGGACTTTTCTAGGGCCCATAATAAAACAGGTAAAAACACTGAGGAACTTGTAACACAGGAGGTTCCTGACACAAGGATGGAAAGGGAGAAGGAATGAGGAGGGTGTGGAAGAGTCTCCTAAGCCACCAAACAGACAAGGTGCCTGAGAATCAAGCTTGGGCTTATCAAAAACAGATTTTCCTTGAGGGCTCTAGACCTTACCAAGAGGGGAGAGAGAGATAGGTGGGGGGGGGGAGAGACACACACACAGAGAGAGGACTGCTCAAGCATAAAGGATTCAGAGCACCAAAGGAAAAGCAATTTCTTCCCATCTTCTTCCCTTTCCAAATCTTACTCATGCTAGGCAAACAGTCTACCACTAACATACATCTTAGCTCTCTTCCTACCTTTTTAAAAACTATTTATTTATATATAATGTTATATATGTATATTTATATATAATATATACAATGTTATGTCTGCATTATACCTGCACACCAGAAGAGGGCACCAGATCATATTATAGATGGTTGTGAGCCCCCAGCTTGTTGCTGGGAATTGAACTCAGAACCTCTAGCAGCCAGTGCACACAGTGCTCTTAACCTCTGGGTCATCTCTCTGGCCCTCTCTTCTTACTTTTAAAAATGGGTTGTATTGTTTTAATCATGCATAAGTGTGTGAATGTGTGTTCATGCGCACAGGTGCCCACAGAGGTCAACAGCATCAGATTCTCCGGAGCGGGAGTTACAGTGCTGTGAGCTGCTGAGTATCCGTGCTGGGAACAGAATGTGGGTCCCTCCAAGTGTATGATGTGCCCTTACCCACAAAGCCATCTCTCCAGCCCTCTGCTCACTTTTTGAGATGTAGTCTTGCTGAGTTGTGCAGGCTGGCCTTTAACTCACTCTGTAGCCCAGGTGAGCTGCCTCTGCCTGCTGAGTAGCTAGGACTGCAGCCCTGCTCCGCTGGACTGGAATAAAAGCAGGACACGAGACTGCGGTTTCTGCAGAGAGGGTGCTGTCACCCAGAGCGGCGGGAGGGTGGCCATCCCTCAGCACTGTATCTATCCTGAGCAGAGCAGTCTGTCCCTCTGCCTTTCACTGGCCCCAAGTCTTCCATAAAGTTACTCCTTTCTCACCCTCAGGTGGTGCAGACATCTCCCAAGGATTGGCCTTCCTCGTGTGGCCATCCTGAAAGTCTGCTGGCCTCACTCTGAAGCTCACATACCCTGTAGGAGCCTACATCTCACCCTGGACAGCAGGCTTGGACACCATGCCTCAGACTTCCCTCAACTCCTAAGATCCTCTTTGGGGAATATTCACACAGTTACTGTCACTGGTTTAGCCCCAGTGACTGTGCAGCATTCACCCAGGGCCTGAGTGAGCTGGTGCATGGAGTGAAGGCAGCACTGGACACATTTTCAATCGGCATTAAGAACTGCAAGCATTTTCTTGGAAAAAGAAAATCAAAGAAATAATAAAGTAAAAAAGAGAAAAAGAAAGAAAAAAGAGTGACAGGATAATCAAAGAAAGCCCTTCAGAGCGGAAGAGTTTCTTTCTGTAATAAGCTGCTTTTACTTTGTTTCTTTGGCTCTCACTCCATTGTTGGAGCCTGATCCTCAAAAGATACCCTAGAGGCCTCCCTGAAGTCGGGGTGTCTCAGGTCCATGAGGAATTTGGTGGGAGTGAGAATGTGTGTAGAACCTGTGGGAGAATAGAGGCCGGCTGAACGGAGGTGCCCCTGGACATGCCAATGGAGGCCCCAGCGCCCGAAGCCAGAGAGGTGTGAGAGGCGAAGCATGCACAGACGCATGCACACATGTACGCAGGCGCTGGCATGCAGAGCATGGGAGGCCACACAACAGATGGTGGCTGTCTCTGGGGAGCCCCTCCATGAACCCACGCAGGCAGTTCCCTGTCCCTGGGTCTCCACCCTCCCCCTGCACAAGGAACCTTAAGGAAGGTCCAGAGGGGAAAGGAAGGTTCTCCCCCAAAGCCCAGCTGTGACAGCTGCTGTCCAGGAAAGCCGTATTTGAGCTCAGAGTCCTCTAACACATGCATGCAACACATACGCAGACGGTGAGCGGGAACACTCATGGGGCCTATGTCACAGAGAAGCAGGCACAGAAACTAATCATGGATGCCCGTGGGAGCTGGGGAAGGGCGTACAGTCTTCCACAAAGCTTGCTGAGGTGATGGCCCCTTCATGCCTGTCTTGGTAAGCCCAGAAGCAACTATCTTATTGCTCTATGGAGCCTGCTTGGTTGGACAGCTTGGGAGGTGCTGGGACTTGGCCATCCAAGCTGGAGAGACAGAAGTGACATTTTGCTGAGGTGACCTCACCTGGGCGTATGGACAGTAGCAGGCACCTGTGAGCCGAGAGAACCTTTCTGGCTGGGCAGCTGCTCCTTTGTTGCAGCGCCTGTATGCATGGCCCATGTGGCACTCCAATGGCCCTAAAGAGGGCCACTTCCCACGGTGCCAAGCACACTCCTAGGGCCACAATCTTTGGCTTTACACTATGTCTAGGAGGTGTCCCGACAGAGGCTGAGCCTGGACAGGGCAGTGTCCATGACAGCTCCTGACAGTTAGTGGCACATACAACTCTGACTGGAGCCAAAAGGGAGACATCTGGGAGAACCTAAGTTTCTCTGGCAGCCCTAAAAGTTACAGCTGATCCTGGAGACAGGGAGCAGGAAGTGCCTCCTTCTGTAACAGGCCATCTTCCACTAGCTGCTTCTATTCTGGAAGTGAATGGGAAATACAAGTAAGGGTGTGACGGAACAGATGATGGGGCCTGGCTAGTGAATCCTTCTGACCCAGCCACCAGGCCAGTGGCCTTCAGCATATCTTTGGACACACTGTCTATCTCCAACAGAGTGCTAGGACGACAGTAGTGCTAAACCTGCCATCAGGTGTGGTCCAAGGCCTGATGCAAGCAGATGTGCAACTTCCTTCTCAGCCCTGCTCCAGGATGCAAGAAGGTGCCATGAACTCTGTCCTGTCGGGTCATGACATGGCTTGGGGAGCTCCTCTCTTGTTCAAGGAGACTGCACTTAGCACCATCAGTGTATGGATCTGAGACTACGTCCCGGCTCTTTCCATCCCCAAAGGCTGTCTTTCAGCAAGAGACACAGTAGGGCAGATATCCCTAGCTCCTGACATTTACAAACTTGTCGAGGGCCAAGTTTTGCTGGGGTGAGGGAGGACCTAAGACAGAATGCGACACAAAGCATGGGATGGAGTGGCGGTGCAATGAGGCAGCAACTCAGGAAGAACGCATGCCTTGCTCACCTATCAGCACTTCCCACTTGCCGTTGGCCTGGGTCACTTCGTAAGCACAACGCATCTCGTTCAGGCTCACGCCCCCGAGGATGAATATAATGAGACGGGGCCCACTGCGGTACTCTCCGGGAGCCTTATTCTTGTGCCAGTGTCCATAGCGGGCGCTGAGGGAGAGAGACCAGTGACAGGTGACTCGGCATCCAGATGTGAGCCGCACTGCTCATCAGGGCTGGCCAGGCTGAACTGCCATGCGGGGGCCTGAGCTGTGAGTGCCATGCTCTCAGGACCACCCAGGTGCCGAGACCGCTCATTCAGCAGCTCGGCCTGCATGTTTCTCATTCAGATGCCGGTTTCATATCAGGCATGGTCCCGAGCTTGTCCGGGACTCTGCGTCACTGGACAGTGGGGAGAGGCAGAGGGCTACGTCAGGTTGGCACACCAATCACATGTAAAGAGGCTTTGTGGAGGCCAGGGTTCCTGGTACTGTATCCACAGGGAAAGGCACTTGCCCCTAAGAAGTCAGAGGCTGACAGGGTGGGAATTGCTGAGTGCCCCAGGACAGGACAAGGGCCACAGAACACTGCTCAGGCTTTACCAGAGACATAAACAGCAGGTGGCTCTTCACTGCTAGACCTCCCCATCCAGGGACTTCCTCAGTGGGGACCGAGACTCAGATACTAGGAGAGTTGGGGTGTCTAGGCCAAGAAAATGGACAGCATGAAAGGGAGGAAGCAGCTGGGCACTATCAGTCTGGTCCATGGACAGTCAGACTAGCAAGGGCAGCACTTGGAGGCTGTAGTTTAGTCCACATTTGGCAAAGGGCTTTTTCACCTTTGTTGCCATCTGAGGGGATGCCATTGCCACAGGAGCCACTGAAGCCCTCTGGCCTAGGCCCAGGCAAAGGCCGAGGGTGAAGACAGAAAGCCAGAAAGCCAGGGACAAGCCAGAGAAAAGGGACAGTGGCTTGTATTCTAGGGCGTTGCTGGTTACGGTGGAGCACACCTGTAATCCCAGCCTTGGGAGGCAGAGCTCACATGTGGATTTCTGTGAGTTGAAGGCCAGACTGGCCAATATACTGCATTCCAGGACAGCCAGAACTACACAGTGAGATCCTGTCTCAAAAACAAACAAACAAAAAAACCCAAAAACAAACAACAAAATAAAAAACCAAAAACACAAAAAAACCAAGCCAGGCAGTAGTGGCACACACCTTTAATCCCCCACTTGGGAAGCAGAGGCAGGTGGAGCTCTGGGAGTCTAGGACCAGTTTGGGGCCAGCCTGGTCTACAGGGAGAGTTCTAGGACAGCCAGGGTTACATAAAGAAACCCTGTCTCAAAAAACAAAACAGAACAGTAGGAATAGAGGAGTGTCAACACTGGGAGCCACAGTTGATCATTCTCTCTATGAGCACTGACAAGTCTCCAGGCTCACAGCTCAGGAGCTGCTGTCTAAATTCTAGTCAGCTGGCAGGCACCTGGGCCATTTCCATGCTAGGCTACTGTGAATAGAATTACTATGAACACTGAGCTTCCATGATTAAACAGGTGGTTAGCGAACATCAAAGAGGATCACTCAAGAAAGACCTACAGATTAAAGGAGGGGCCGTGAAGTTTTTCTGGCTGCAGAAAGCATGTGAGAGGGTGTGCATGTGTCTGTGTGTCTGTATGTCTGTGTGTATGTCCATGTCTATGTGCCTGTGTGCAGATACAGAGGTTCTGAGGCACAAGCAGGCCTGGCTTGTTCAAGGATGAGCAAAGAGGTAGTAGCTGAGGCAGACAGGGCGCATGAAGGAAGAAGGGCTGGGAGCCAAAGGGAGAGCCATATGGCCTGCTGTGAACCTGGGCCTGCTGCACCCTGGCCACAGTGGATGGTACAGGAGGGTTCTGATGGCACAGGCCATTCTTAGCCAGATCACCGCACAGAGTCCCCCTGCTTTCCCTGCATCTACCCACCTGACAGCAGTGGTGCTAAAGGAAGCAGAGGAGCGGGTGGAGATATACGGGTAGTGTTTTGTATCCAGTTTGTCTTCAATAGTGTCCTAGAGAGGAGAAAGACAGAGATCAGCCCACTGCCTGCTTGAAAAGGCTGATAGAAGCTAAACCAAGAGGATGTGAAGAAAAAGTCAGGCAGCGACCACATCTGCACCCTCTTCCTGTGCCTGCTGCCACTGCCAGGGGCCCAGCAGAGGGCAGGGCCTATAACACTCATTTGGTAGCAGGTTGTTAGACTGCCTGGCCCTATGGGTTACTCTGTCAGACATACAAAGCACCACTTTCCCTTCATCTCTGCAGTGTGCTCCATTGTATAACTCACTGTGTCCACTACATTCCTGACATGTGCTGTCCGCCTGGTGAAAACTGCGGTTGGGTAGAGCCTGCCCTGTAGTTTGTCAACGGCCTAATTGTCCGGTGGGTAGATTCTGGCTATCTCCTGCCACTTGGAAGTCCACACTCTGCTTAGGAGCACCATGAAAAGCCTGCACAGGCCTCTGAGGGAGCAGGGAGGACACGCAGAAAGGCAATGGTGCATCAGCGCTGCTTCCTCAGTTCCACAACCAGAGACAGGCAGTTGGTGTCTGGGTGCTCCATAGCCACGTACCCTTTTGGTTTGTAGGTTTTAAAAATAAGACGCTGACTCACCCTACATAAATGTTCTTCTTTAGCATATAATTTGGTAGCAATACCTGAACTAACTCGGATACAAGGCAAGACCCTATTCTCTGTACTCCCATTTTATTTGCCAGTCACATGTAGAAGCTGGGCAGACTGTCTCATCCAAACTAAAGGGCCGAATGGTGTAGGGCCCTGCAGGGTTCCTACTGTGATGATGAGGGACAGAAGTCACTTTGCGGCGAAGTCCACTGTCTCTCATCCCTTGACAGCTAACACACATGGTGCCTCAGTTTGGTCACCATGAGGCTCTGTGCCATGGACACAGGGCACAGAGTGACAGAATCACCATTGGAAGATGACCCCCGGGGATGTGATGTAGTTAGCAGAGTACTTGTCCAGCATGTATGAAGCCCTGGGCTGATCACCTACAACATAAAGCCGCCATAGTGGTATATGCCGTTAATCCAGAGTTTACAGAAGAGAGCAGGAAGATGAGAAGTTCAGAGTCATCCTTGGCTATGTCCTAAATTCAAGGGCAGTCTGGGATTGAGACCCAATCACAAAAAAACAAAAGATGGCCTCCAACTGAGCAGCAAGGACACATGTACATGGCATTGCTGACCAGAGCTTTGGAAGTCAATGCAATAGGCTCTGCAATGTTGGGTGGCCAGGCATGTGAGGCACCATACAGACCTTGGAGAGATGGACGGGAAGCAGGATCAGAAAGCAGAGATAAGCACAAGACTATTTCAAGGGCCTAGTTTGAGGCACAGAGCCCAGGTCAGTCTGCTGGTGTAAAGAGAGCTCAGGAGTGAAGCAGGGGGAGAGGTGGGCAGGCTGTAGCCTCCTGTTGAGGCCCTTCCACATGTGGCTGATGTGTGACTGGAAGGACCATGTCCCCTAGCAGAATGGGTGCATGTTCCTCATCTGAACATGGAATGCTGACATGAGCCTGGATCTTCTGGGTACTGCACCACAGAGGCACTTCTATAGCATAGGACTATATCCCCTAAGACTGGAGCAGTGGACAAATGGATCCTGAGGTCTCCAGGTGTCTCTCTTTCCTGGCTAGTTTTACTTGACAGGAGAGGAAGGAACACTGCCTCCTTAAGATCAAATGGCAGTCAAACCTGTGGAGCATTTTCTTAATTAGTGATTGATCTAGGAGGATTCAGATTACTGTGGGTGGTGCCATCCCTGGGCTGATGGTCCTGGGTGCTATGAGACAGCAGGCTGGGCAAGCCTTGAGGAACAATCCAGTAAGCAGGATTCCTCTGTTCCTTCCTGCATGAGTTCCTGTCTTGACTGCCTGTGATGATGAACTGTGATGAAACATAAGCAAAATAAGCCCCTCCTCTCCAAGTTACTTTTGGTCATGGTGTTTCATTGCAGCAGGAGTCACTCAACCTAAGATGCAGCCTCAGGGCTGTTCACCAGTCCTCGGAGGGAGGTGCTTTGGGAGGACTGACAGAGCCCCAGAGGTCTGGGTTCTTATCCTCACGTAACTAAATCACAGGGTGTCACTGCCACCTGCCAGCAGGGGTGTCGGAACCAGGACCACCTCTACTGAAGAGCAGCCTGGCTCCTGCTCCCACACCCCAAACTGACCTCCATAATGTCCTTAATGATTGGGGTCCATCGTGAGAGCTGGTAGGTCTGCTCACTGATGCGCTCCTTCCGCTCCGGCTTGCTTCTGCGGCGTAGTGTGGACTGAACACAAGCACACGGAAGGTCAGACTCTGGCTGGGGACACCTGGGTCTCCTTGATCTCTGGAATTCTCTCAAGGACCCTCTTCAGAATTAGCATTGGCAAAGAGTAATAAAGGAGAGGTTCGGGCCAGTGGTGCCCCCAAATGTACCTCTTTTTTATTGTTGTTGTTTTCCTAAATGTACCTCTTTAAGAAACTCTGGGAAGAAGGAAGACTTGAGAAAGTATGGTTTTTTGGAGTTTTGTTTTTGTGGGTTTTTTTTTTTTTTTTTTTTTTTTTGAGACAGAGTTTCTCTATGTAGCCCTAGCTGTCCTGAAACTTGCTTTGATTGTCTCTTAGTGCTGGCATTAAAGGTGTACACCACCACACCCAACTCAAAGTATGGTTCTTGAGTCATGAAAAATGACAAAGGGGTGGGGCTGTGGTGGTTTGAATCAGAATGGTCCCCATAGACTCGTATATTTGAATGCTCAGTCCTCAGGGAGTAATACCTATTTGAACAGATTAGAAGATTAAGATGTGGCCTTGTTGGAGGAAGTGTGTTATGGCAGGGGGTTTGGGGGGAGCTTTAAGGTTTCAGAAGCCCTTGCCAGGCTCAGTCTCTCCAAAACCACACACATGTGCTGCCATGCTCTCTGCCATGATTATAATGGAGTAAACCTCTGAAATTGTAAGCAAGCCCCAAATTAAATGCTTTCTTTTATGAGTTACCTTGATCATGGCATCTCTTCAGAACAACAGAACAGTGACTAAGACAGGAACTCAAATATGTAAGTAATGTGACAAAAAAGGCAAGCAAACAAAAGATCAATCCTGGCATGGCAACTCATAGCTGTAATCCCAGCCCTTGGGAGGCTGAAGCAAGGATATCATGAATTCAAGACAGCCCTGAGCTACAAAGTGAGGCTCTGTCTCAAAAAAGAAACATGGTAATTAAAAATAATTTGCTGTCTGTTAAGGACAACACACTAGTTCGGGTTTGACTTGGGTTTCTGCTTGGTGTGGGCAGCATGGGCTGCTCTAGGTGAATCAGTTCCACTGTTTTGAGCCTTTTGTGACCCAGGTTCTAAAGACACCAAATCCTACAAGCTGCAGGCCACTGGCCAGGTCAGTGGAACCCAGTCCCCCTTGGAGATCCCTGCTGGCTTTGTGAGCTCTGCTCCATGGGCTGCCTGCCTCCAGCCAGGAGCACACAGTGGGGCTCCTCCATCTGGTTCAAGGCACTGTGTAAAACAGAGGATCTGCCCACTCTCTCAGAGCACACAGTATAGTCCCTGACTCAAGCCTAATGTGTCCAGGTAAGGTCACACAAGGTATGACAGGGGTGATGTGTTCTGGATGAGTTCAGAGACAGCTCAGCTTTAGTGACTATGTGACTCCTGGATACATGTCTAAATCCTGACTTTGAACTCTGTTTCATTGTCCTTTCTCCCCTCATCTCTGATTCTCTCTATCTCCTTCCCTTCTTTCCTTCCCTTCCTCTTCTCCCTCTCCCTCCTTTCTTGAGGCTGAGGGTGGTCCAGAGCTGTATCACAGGGGCTGTCAATCATGAATGCAGCCAGGATACACTATGCCAACCCCACGGTCTCCATGCCTATAGACTGGCCCTTACATCTGTGACGATGGGCACGCCGAGGTGAGCCATGTTGGTGATGATCTCACTGTCCTCTGGAGGGATCTGGGCATGCTGGATGAGTTTGTTTAGGTTTTCCTCAGTGATACCTGAAAAACAAGACTCCTGGTCATCACACCTAACCCCTGCCATTCCCACCCCCATAAGCAGAGCCGGTGGCTCCCTTCTCCTCCTCAGCCATCTGCTGAGATACTGCTCTGTCAGCCACATCTACTGTGGGGTCAGAATAACCTTCCATTCTACTGGGACCAGCCTGGGCTGAGCACAGGCGCCTGCCCCGCCAGTCTGTCTCCAGCTGCCCAGCAGTCCTGCCACACTTGCACCCTGCACCAAAGTCACACCAGTTGAGAAAGTCTCATTACCCATTTTCTTGTGCAATGACACAGGCAAAAATAGCTTGTTGCTTGTTTGTTTTTAGACAGGGTCTTGTGTAGTCTAGGCTGGCCTTAGATTTACTTTTGTAGCTAAGGTTGGCCTTGAATTCCTGATACCCCTGCCTCTACCTCCCAAAGGATTACAGGCCAAACACTAGTTGTTGAAAGATCTCGCTTACTACTGAGATACAATGTGGAAACACCTGGCAGGCCGAGTGTGAGCCAACTGGCTGGAGTCCGATGGCTCCACCTGTGTCACCCGCTTCTTGCCCGCTCAGGACTGCTGGGGTGCATCTGGCCTTGTCCCACTGCAGGCCCTGCAGGAGGAGCCTCTTCCCTCCCTACTCCCCCCTTCCAAGGCTTCACATTGGTCTGCACTGGTCGCTCTCCACACTCCTCCTCATTCTCCCTGGATCCTACCATTCTTCAGGAAGATGTAGAGAAGGATGATGCGGATTTTGTCATAAGTGCTGACGTTCGCATCCAGCAGGATGGGGACAATGGCTCTCATCGGGTCCTTGATTTTCTCCCCCTCAGCATCTGTGCCCATCGCCAGGTCCTGTAGAAAACACACCTTACTAGCCCTGTTTCTGTGACAGTCTGGGCAGGCAGCAGTTCTCCATCTACAGAGAGTTCACCCTCTACAAATGTCTGATTCTGTGGTGTGGTCAGGGCTGGCTGGGAGCAGATCTCCTGCAGCAATGGGCTGACACAGAATCCTAGGATGCCATGCATGAGACCCCTGAGATTTCTTCCCAAAGCAGGCACAGTAACTGGTCATACTGTTTCCAGCAGGGATGCCAGGGCACCTGTACCCATGACATACACAACCCAGCTGAGGGACTCAGGGCTTGCTTGCTTCCCACCTATCTCAAGGGGCCTCAGCATGGCTGGATTCTTTCCACTCCGACTCTCCTGGCATGGAAGGGCACACTAAGTTTTAACAACTCTGAGATTTTCCTCTGACTTTAATCTCCCTGTAGCTTTTCAAGGGTTAGGAGAAACAAGAAGGAAGGACTCCCAAGCCTGGAGATGGAAGACAGGAAACTACATGAAAAGGGTGCCTCCTACACCTCGCAGATGAGTGATATCATTCACACCGGGGCAGAGTGCTGCCCTCAGCAAGCCCAGAGTGCCTGAAACAGCCACAGCTTTCTCTATAGCTCCTAGGAGGGTACGTAAGGTTCCTTGTCCTCTTAGGACCCTAGGAGTTTACACAAATGCTAACCTCACATCCAGGCATGGTCTGAGGAAGACACAACTCTGCAGGCCTCTCACCAGCCTCAGCAGATGTATGCTCAGCAGGAAGAAACTAGTACCCCTGCCCATTTTGTTAGTTTTTTTGTTTTTGTTTTTTCGAGACAAGGTTTCTCTGTGTAGCCTCGGCTGTCCTGAACTCGCTTTGTAGACCAGGCTGGCCTCCCTGCCTCTGCCTCCCGAGTGCTGGGATTACAGGCACAGCTTGTTTTGTTTTTGAGATAGGGTCTCACCATGTATCTCTGGCTGGCCTGGGACACACTATATAGGCCATGCTGGCCTTGAACTCAGAGATCGTCCTGCCTCTCCCTCCTGAATGCTAGGATTAAAAGTGTGAGCTACCACACCCAGCCTCAACAATAAATTGAAAAAAACTTATTGTGTTAATGTGTATGCCATGAGGTCAGAGGTCAATTTGAGAGCGTTGGTTCTCTCCTTCCATCATGTAGGTTCCAGGAATTGAACTCAGATTGTCAGGCTTGGCAGCAAGCACTTTCATCTGCTGAGCTATTTTGCCCTAGAACATACTTTCTCAGCTCACTGAAATGCAACTAATTCATTCTTTGTTGTTGTAGTTTTGTAGTGTTTTAGAGACAAGGTCTCACTATTCAGTCCTAGCTGTCCTGGAATGCGCTATATAGCCTGGACTGGCCTCAAACCCACTGAGATAGACCTGCTTCTGCCTCCTGAGTGCTGGGATTACAGGAATGCACCGCCACAACTGCTTAATACTCTTGTATTTTTAGCCACTTTCAAAAAATACAAAACCGTGTTTCCGAAGTTAATCTGAACTTGCTTCTTACTGACTAGCACAGTGGTTCTCAACCTTCCTAATGCTGCGACCCTTTAATACAGTTCCTCATGTTGTGGTGACCCCCAACCATGGAATTATTTCATTGCTACTTCATACCTATAATTTGCTCCTGTTATAAAGCATAACGTAAATATCCGATATGTAGGATGCCTGATATGCGACTCCTGTGAAAGGGTTGTTTGACCCACAGTGGGGTAGCAACCTGCAGGTTGAGAACCACTGGACTAGACAGCACCTGCTTTCTGAAAGGCTGAGCTCTTGGGGAGAGGATGTGAGTTGAGGAGGAAGGCTGAGAGATGGGTGTACTTTTGAAGGGGGTGGGGGCTGCTTCCCTTCTAACCCAGGCAACTCTACTGAACAGAGCGTGCAAACCTACACTGAGCCTCTCACAGCAAGGCAAGGGTGAGGATCTCAGCTCCACACTGAGCACGAGTTGTTGTTTTTCTGTAAAATGAAACTTCCAGCTAAGGCTTCAGAATGGCTTTGGTGGCGGAGTGTGTGCTGGGGTGTCACTACACTGTCCAGGCTGGCCTGAAACCCGTGGTCCTCCTGACTCAGCCTTCTAGGCAGCTGCAGTTATAGGACTGTGCCACTACGTCTGGTACTTCAAAATCTTTCAGCATCGTCTTCATTCCCTTAGAAGCTGACACATGGAGGCTAAGAGAATGGCTCAGTGTCTGAGGACCTGTTCAGCCTATGTGAGGCCCTCGGTCTGATCTCTTAAGACAGTAGCCAAGGGGATTGAAATCATAACAAAACAGTTGCCACACAGTTTAGCAGCTTTGCCATGCTCCTGGTTTTGATACTCTACAGAAGGTGGAAATGAAGTCAATGCTATGAGTTAGCTGACAGGGAAAAGGAAGCAGCGGACACCCAATACACCAGGGAGGGCAGAAGCCTGTTTCAACCTCAGCTCCCAGGCCTGTGATTAGCAAGGTTGGGAGGATACACACTCTGCTGCAGCTCTGGCAGCCCTGGGATCCAATGCTGGTGTGGTCACAGGGGGACCAAAACATATCAGAACAGAAACATCAGCCATCCCTGCCACTGTCAGGCTCACAACTAACTCCTCAGGGCTGTCACTGTAGAAAAGCAGAGCCTCTGGAAAGGGCCACACATGCAAAATCCAATTGGCACAGCACTCCAGATCCATCTAGGCCCTACCCGCCAAAGCAGAGCCACACTGGCTGCACAGGTGAGACAACCCGGGGTCACAGGCTCTCCCTTCTCTAGATCCTACGGTTCTGGAAGATGTTCAAGGTCAGAGGTTAAAATCCAGTGGGGTGAACAGGAAGGGCAGCTGCCATGCAGAGGGGGAGGAAAGACGATCCTACCTGCTCCACACGGCAGAGCTTGTCCACTGTGCCTTGGTAGTGCTTCATGCAGTCTTCCGCAAGGTGCAGGTGAGTCGAATACTAGGAAAAGCACAGGAGTCAGTACAGAGATAAGCCCGATTACAGAATGCTGAGTGTTCTCACAAAGGGCACAAAAGATAACGGATGGCTGTGAGAGCGGGGGAAAGCATGGCCTAAGGAGAGAAAGGAGAAATCTTTTAGGCGGTCGAGTGGCACGGGCACACCGCCCTCCAGCAGCTACACTGGCAGGATGGGTGTGGCGCCTGGTAAACACCTTGCAGGAGGGTGATACCTTTATGATCAGGTCATAGCCCTGACACCTCCTGGCCTTCTCTCACATCAGCCCCTCTGAGGGAGGCCAGCAGCTGTGTGAGGACAGCCAGCATCAGCTAAGAGCCCTGTAGTGAGGAGCTAAGACCTCGGGTCAACAGCAAGGGAGGAAAAAGAAAGGAGAAAGATGGAGAAGAGGAAAGAAAGCAACGGAAATCAGTCTCCCTTTCCTTTCTGTCCTAATAAAAACGGAACCTAGGATCTGTCGTTTCATGAGTTGACGGGTGCAGCAGGTGGCGAGCAGTTCGGCAGCCTGGCTTTTCTGAGGCAGCCAGTCTGGGCTGGGGTCTCCATACCTTGCTGAGCTCCTTCTGGTACTGGGGCATTTTCTTCAGCATCTGGGACAGGTCCCGCATGGTGGTCTAGGAGGAAGGAAGTACAGTGTCACTAGACCTGACAAAGCCTTGTGAAGCTGGAGGGCACGCGGCAGGTTGGCAGCCATATCAGACTTCACAAGTGTCCACTCAAGGACTCCAGTGTATTGATCCAAATGTCACAACTGTCTTTAGGTGGAGAAGTGAACCCTGAAGCTCAGTTGTTAACTTTTTAATTATGTATTTTTTTATTTTTATTATACATACTTAAAACATGTATTTAGTTATATGTCTGTGTGTGGGTTGTGCACAATTGAATGTAGGTGTCTGTGGAGGCCAGAGGGAATCAGATTTCCTGGAGCTAGAGTTACAGGCAGTTCTGAGCTGATGTGGGTTCTAGGAATTGAACTTGGGTCCTCTGTAAGAGCAATAACTGCTCTTAATTACTGAGCCATGTCTCTAGCCCTTTAAATTATATTTTAATTAATTATGTGCATGTACGCAAGTACACATGCATGAATATTACAGCACACTTAGAGAAATCTCAGGGGACAGCTTGCAGGAGTCATTTTTCTCCTCTGACACGTGCATTCCAGGAACTGAACTCAGACAAGGGCCTTTACCTGCTGACCATCTTGGTTGGGATTAACGGTTATCACCACTATGTCTGGCTGGGTACAACATTTCTAACAGAGTAAGAGAGGGCCAGAGCCAGGGGTGATCTCAGTAGGCCAGGTTATGAATTCTAAGTCTACCCAAAGCTAAAGAATTCTCCTGATTCTTCTGGCTTAAGATCAGTCATACTCCTAAATGGTAAATCTTAACAACCTGCCAGATATGAGCAAGCAGCTCTTCACAAACACGGAAAGACAGGGCCTCCAGAAAGGATCTGTCTGTTGTGCTGGGGATTAAACCCAAGGTCTGTGCATGCTAAATGAGTACACTGTCACTGAGCCACCCACTCATGCCCCAAATACAAATTTTAAAAGCAAAACCAAAGTAGACAGTTTAGTAAAGGGAGAAACGTGACCCCACCCACTCCCTAGTGGGACACATAAAAGGCAGGGGCTGGGCACTGGTATGGCTTACCTTCTCCCCAGAGCATCAGGGCATCAGTCTGGTTTACTGACCCCCAGGTGCAGGGGCACTGGCATGACTTACTGACCCCAGGACTTCTGGACACCAGCAGGCTTACCTTCTCTCCAGTATTCATCCTCTTGCTAGAGGAAAAGTCCTTCAGAGACCGGGTGACTTCCCTGCAAAATGGGGGGCAGGAGCTATGCTCAACACAGTGCCTGGGGCTCTCTGCAGAGACCACTGAAGCCACGTGGAGCCTTCCTTGGGACTAAGTGGCAATTCTCTTCCCACTGAAGTATGTGTTTAAAGTGAAAGGTACATGCTGTTCTAATTGACACTCTAAGCCACTGGTCTCCAGGGCAGTGTGTGTCTGATGATTCAAGGACAAAGGGGACAGTGCCAGACTTTCCACTTGTGTTTATTTTCTTTCTTCCTTTCCAAATGCACGCAAATTGAAACATTCATGTTTTATGTTTGGAAAATGCAAATATGTGTAGCATACAACTAATTCATAAATAAATTTAATGGCAGGAAATATGGGTCAGTATTTCCTTCCCAAAATCGGGCATGGTGGCACACAACTTTAATCCCAGCAGAGGTAGGGGGATCTTTGAGTTTGAGGCCAGCTTGTTCTACAGAATGAGTTCCAGGGCAGCCAGGGCTACACAGAGAAACCCTGTCTTGAAAAACCAAACCAAAATCACCCCCTACTAACAACAAAATCACCTCCTACTAAAGCCAAGAAAGGGCTCTACAACTAAACCACATTCCAAGCCTATGGATTACTATTTCTTTTCTTTTTTTTTTTTTCTTTTGTTTTTCAGAGACAGAGTTTCTCTGTAGCCCTGGCTGTCCTAGAACTCACTATGTTGATTAGGCTGGCCTCCAACTCAGAGATCCGCCTGTCTCTGCCTTCCAGAGTGCTTCGATTAAAGGCCACCACTGCCTGGCGACAGATGGATTATTTTTGTTTTTTAAATATATTTATTTGTTATTTATAAAGCATTCTACCTACACACCAGAAGAGGGCATGAGATCTCACTATAGATGGTTATTGTTGCTGGGAACTGAACTCAGGACCTTGGGAAGAACAGCCAGGGCTCTTAACCTCTGAGCCATCTCTCCAGCCCCAAGGGGTTGATTTTTTAAGTTACTGAGGCTGGAGAAGCACACATGCAAGCAACTGGGAAGACCTGTCAATCTTGGTTAGCATGCTGGTAACTTTGCCAAGGGGATGAGCTCACTGCCCAAGTGGCTGGGTGTTTGGCCACCCCCAGCCCAGGGTCAGGGGCCACCCTGGGGAAGGTCAACAGGGTTCTTACTGGGACACCTCCGCAATGTGCTTATGGCGTAGCGCGATCCACAGGTCATCGTCCTCATCCAGGAGCACCTCCTTCACTCGAGCCTCTCCAATGCCGCTGGTCTCATACCTGGAGGAAACAGGGCTTGGGTAGGGCCGGCGTCCCCATGGTACATCCTGTGTGCCCTTTGGATATTTTGTTTGTTTCTTGACACAGGATTTCATGCATCCCAAGCTAGCTTCAGACTCCCGAAACAGCTAAGGCTGGCCTTGAACTCTTGGTCCTCCTGCCTCCACCTCCCTAAGTGCTGGGATTACAGGTGTGTACCCTCACACCAAGATGTCCCCTTTGGCTTCTAAGTATAACACTTGTTTTCTTGGCTGCCAGGTGATCCCAGGTGTGCCTCATACCACTGGCCTCCTGACAGTGGCAGTCCAAGTCATCTGGGACAGCATAAAATGAGCAATTCCCTGCACAAGGAGAAAGTTCTCTGCTCAGAGCCAGCAATTTGGGAGCTGTGCTTTAACCCTTCAGAGCTGGAGAAACGGGGCCTGCAGCAGTTATATGTGAATCTAGAGTTATTGAAGACTACATGTCTTTTTGCCCCTCTTTGGGAAAGAGCAGGGTTACATCTGCAAATGTTAGGTGTCTGAAAGTTTCCAGAAGCTTCTGCAATGGGTCCTTATGATAGTATTACACATGGAATCATGAATGGCCAGTGGAGGCATGAAACCAGGAATCAAAAGGGAGAAGGGCTGAAAACCATGCAGAGTTTTCAGTTTTAAATTAATTAATTGATTAAGACTGGGTGCCTCTATGCAGTCCATACATAGTAGCTGTATATAAGTAGGAACCTGCTTATGTGGATCAGGCTGGCCTTAAGCTCAGAGATCCTCCTACCTCTGTCACCTGAGTGCTGGGATTGAAGAAGTGTGGCACCACACCCAGCAGAACCTTCAGGTTTTTTTTTAAGATGTATTTATTTTATTTTATGTGTATGAGTGTTTACCTGCATGCATATATGTGTACTATCTGTATGCCTGGTGCCCACAGAGGCCAGAAGAAGGTGTCAGTTCTCCAGAAACTGGAACTACAGACAGTTTCATGTGGGTGCTGGGAACTGAACCTTGTTCTCTGAAAGAGTAGCAAGTGCTCTCAACCACTAGACCATTTCTCCAGCTCTAGAATCATTTATTCTAGAATTATTTTATTTGTTTATGGTTTTGTTTGTTTGTTCACGCATGCACCTGAAGCCTGTTTATAGTTGTTAGCTACTGTGTGTGTGTGCTGGAAATCAAACTCAGGGCCTCTGGAAGAGCAGTCGCTGAGCTTAACCACTGAGCCATTTCTCCAGCCTGAGAACCTTCATTTTAAAGCCATTCATTGTTGTAAGATAGATTCTTGTAGTGAAAGTTTTGGTTTCTTTTAAAACTCAGTTATGTAAACAGGCTTTTGTTTTAATCCCAAGTGTGGGAAATGAAGTTGCTTTTAGTTTAGTCACTGCAGATGGCTTTCTCGTGAGGGGTGTGATATTTGCCACCTGGAGATAGTTTAATTCTGAGGACTCAGATAGGGTATAAATACCAGAGCCCAGAGTGAAGAAAGAGGCTTGGAGGAGATGGACAGAAGAGGAAGAAGGCTGCTTGTTCATCTTGCTGCATTTGCTGTTTTCAGTTGCTGGACTGCTAGATATCTGGACGATTGAGATTGGTATTTTCCCAAAAAACCCAACAACCCTAACCAGCTGGAACTAAGTCTAAAGAGGTCTATGTCCCCTGTTCCTTCTAACCTTCTTTCTCTCCTTCCTAGGGTCAGGGGGAGGGGAGACTGTAAGGGGGTAGAGGCATTAAGGAACCCCAAATAAAATAAAGCCTAAAAACCACAGGATCTCACACTAAGTCGTCCAGACTGGCCTCAAATCAGGCCCCTCTTGTCCTCAGGCTCCCGAGTGCTGGGATCACAAGCAGGTAGTAGTTTTATAATGAAGAAAGCAGTGCCACTGCGCAGAATGGAATATTTTTGCCACAATCATATTTTGTGATCTGTAATTAAGAACTTTCAATTCTGAATAATACACACATAAAACCAAGCTGTCAACACATCTTAGAAGCTATACACTGAAGAGATGTGAGCTATTAAAAAAAAAAAAAAAAAAAAAAAGACCCAAGCCAGGAGTGGTGGTACATACCTATAATCCCAGCACTCAGAGAGGTAGGAGCAGGGCTCTGTGAATTCGAGCCAGCCTGGTCTACAAATCGAGTCCAAGGCAGCCAAGGCTACACAGAGAAACCCTATTTTGAACAAAACAAAACAGCAACAACAAAAAGACCCAATGTTCTGTTCTGTCAGCAAGCACCTAGAAATGCCACATGGATTGGGGAAATCCACAGAAAACTTCCAAAGAAACTATATCAATACACATATTTTTCCTAATATTAAAAAATTCTTTTTGGGGGCCTGGAGAAATGGCTCAATGGATAAAGCACTTGCCACAAGAGTTTGAGGACAGGAGTTCAGACACCCAGAGCCCACATAAATGTAGGGCAGGCATGGTAACCACCTATGATCCAGCACTGGGATGGCAGAGACAAGGGGATGCCTGGGGTAATTGGAAAGGTAGACAGCAAAAACTGACAAGCTCTAGGGTCAGTGAAAGACCTTGCCTCATGAGGTAGAAAGTGATAAAAGATGACATCCAATATCAGTTATGGGCCTACCCTTGAGCACACACAAGCCCTCCCCCCAAATATGTATATCACGCATGACATGTATATATACTATACACACATGCAAAAAGAGAAAAATAAAAAAATCACAAAAACATCCTTTTTCTTAGTCAGAGGAATTCCAGTTGCCTGCAGAGCTAGTCATTGTGGACCCCGTCACTTAATACTTACTTGTAAACGTCATTTTCAATAGGTAGCAGGTCATAACTCATGGCCTGAAAAGTCAATTCATGAAGCACAGGGGAGCTGGGGTCAAAGCCACGATCCAGGATCAGGAGCTGGGACCGTGCCTTGTCAGGACCCTGGCAAGACACAGGAAGATGCTTCAGAAACCACCCAACCAACTATCGGAGCCTCTTTGCAGTAGGAAGAGAGCTCTGGGGAGCAATCCCACCAAAACAGCAATGGGCGCCATGCCGGCTGCTTGACAAGCGCTCCAGCAATTCCAGGTGAGGCACCGGTCTATTAGGGGCCTTCTCACAGCTGGGGCCAAAGGAAACTTGGGCAACAGAACACCGGTTCATGACAAATACGGCGGCCAGCTGTTTGGAGCGCTGGACACTGAGGGGTACAATTACAAGTCCGCGGCACTAACGGAACAGCTCTGTCTAGGGAATCAGCTAGGGTCTCACGATGCGACATAAGCACACACTCTGGCCACTGACTGAGCCCTAGCCCCCAGCTCTGTATCTTGATGGCAGCGCTGGGTACACGAACCCACGCATGTGTTAAAAGTGCACACAACTGTGCACACATGAAGTACACGCAAACCCCAGGCTGAGGTGTGAAGTCTGCGCCACTGTCGACTTGCTGCCTGGCGAGTTCCCTGGACGTTCAGGGCTGAAGCTGGGAGTCCTAGCAAGCATGAACAAGCTGGCCACCCTAGCCACGTGGAGCTCCCTAGCCATGCGGAGCGTTTCTGCACCAGCCTGCCCCCGGGTCATGGGGCATGTCGCTGGAGACAGGAAGAGCAGCCCTCACATATGCTCGGTGAGCTGCGGGGCCATGCTGAGCCAGGGTCTTACTGACCCATAAACACAGCTTACTCAGACTGAGAACCCCGCGTGGTCTGGCCAGACTCACCTCCCCCATTGTTGGGTCATCAGCCTTATAAGCGTCCAGCTTGTCCTGGATCAGCTGAGCCAGCAAGGCATTGTCCTTGTATTCCCTGACAAAAGGAGAAAGGCAGAGGGTGAGCCACCTGTGCACTCAAGTAATGTGCCAAGTGCAAGGGCCTCCAGGCAGCACACAGGGCACGGAAGGAGGACGGGAGGTGGGGGCATGGGCTATATTAGGATTTTTACAGTAGGAATGTACCCACGGATATGAGGCATGGTGGCACTAGGAGGGTGAGGAGGGCCAGCCACCGCGAGTTTAAGGCCAGTTTGGCCTACACAGTAAGATACCATCTCAAAAGTAAACAAACAAATAATACGTTACATATGTACTTTAAAGAGGAAAATGAAATACGCAGCTCAGTGCCCAGCCCATAAATGATCTTTCTCGTTCCTTCATTAGCCTACATAGAAGCAGTATCTATAGTTTGGTTTTTCAAAACTGGTTTTCTCTGTGTAGCTTTGGCTGTCCTGGAAACTCTGTAGACCAGACTGGCGTCAAACTCAGGGACCTACCTACTTCTGCCTCCCGAGTGCTGGGATTAAAGACATGCACCAACATGTCCAACACTAAATCTTTTTTGAAGATTCAAAGACTAGGGACTAGAGAGATGGATCAGCAGTTAAGAGCACTGGCTGCTCTCCCAGAGAACCTGGGTTCAATTCCCAGCACCCACGTGGCAGCTCACAACTCCAGTCCCAGGGGATCTGACAACCTCACACAGACATACGTGTGAGGTTGTCTAACTCCAGTTAGACAACTGGAGTCTAACTCCAGTCCCAGGGGATCTGACAACCTCACACAGACATACGTGCAGGCAAAACACCAATGCACATAAAAACAAATCATTTTTTAAAAGATTTATTTATTTATTATGTATACAGAGTTCTGCCTGCATGTATACTGGCATGACAGAAGAGGCTACCAGATCTTACTATAGATGGTTATGAGCCACCATGTGGTTGCTGGGAATTGAACTCAGGACCTCTGGAAGAGTAGACAGTTCTCTTAACTTCTGAGCTATCTCTCTAGCTCCAAAACAAATCATTTAAAAAAATATCCAAAGACTGTGCCCTTCAGAAAGTTATCCACCTACCCCTAACCCCTCCCTCCTCTGGCACCCCTCTCTCTTTTATCTGAGAGCAATCTGGAACTCCTGATTTTCTGCCTCAGCCTCCCAAGTGTTGATATTACAGATGTGCCCACCATGCCTGAATTTGTATTTTTACTTTCAAAACTATCATTTACAAAGATGATGTTGGTTTGAAAATATTTCAAAGAGATTAAAAATTAGGAAATGTGGTTTGCAGTGGCACAGAAAATCATTGAAAGAGCTTATTTATTTATTATTTTGTGAAAATGTGTGTCGGGGCATGTGAGCCTGGCACATGAATGAGTCCAAAGACATCTCACCTTCCATCTTCTCATGGGTTCTAGGGACTGAACTCAGGTATTCGTGGGACACAAAAGATGCCATCCAGAGCAGCTTCCTTACCCCCGATACCGCACAGCTGGGTACTCCTTCAGGGTGGCACACAGGGTCGCAATCTGCTCTGCCAGGCGTTCCAGTATCGGATTCTTCATCTGAGCCTTGTGAGGGCTGTAGAAGCTTTGGAAGGAGTCAGCGGAGTCCAGGGAATACACCTAGGGGTAAAAAACAACCAAACAACCAAAACAAAACAAAACAAAACAAAACAAACACATCAGGGGACGTAAGGCCTAGTGAGCTGCTGGGGCATCCACCATCACCCTGGTGGCCAGGCACTTCAACTCTAAGTGACCATAACATCCCTGCTCCCAAGGAGTTTGTCGCTTAAGACAGACATTAAACACAATGGAAGTAAGATAAACTGCTAAGGAAAGAATGCCCTGGATGGCGTGGGGTGGGGGGTGGAAGGGGTGCCTGGACTCATGGGGGAGGGGGGTTCTAGGAGGTGAGGTGTTTACTGGCAGCAGCAGACTTCCGGGAGGAGGGAAGGGTGATGCTGAGGACCTTCGGGTGTGTGCACCTGGGGTGTCTGATGAGCAGTGCCAGAGGAGGTTACTGCAAAGTTCATAGGCCAATTTCAGTTTGCTTTCAATAAACAAAGGATGATCTGGAGATAGTGCCACAACTGTGGGCAAATAAGGGAGCTTTTTATAGGTTTAATAATATCCTGTCTTTGGCAAACTCTAAGTACTCTCCTCCTCCTATTCCTCCCACCTTGTTTTGTAAAGGGCTGTGGAAATTAGAATTCTCTCTTTAAGACGGAGTGCACCAACTCTCAGGTTCTCTCAAGTTCACACTTGGGTAAACTTCCTAGACCTCTTTTAAGAGTGATTTTTATTATTATTATTATTATTATTATTATTATTATTATTATTATTATTGCTACTACTACTATTACCGAGACTGGCCCTTACTCTGTAGTTCAGGCCGACCTGAAACTCACCGCTTAGCCCAGGCTGGTCTTAGATTTGAGGTACTTCTCTGAGCTTAGAACCCTAAATGCTGGAATTACAAGGGTGAGACTATGTTTATGTTAAAAAGTGTTTATTTCCTTATTTTTGATGCAGGGTTTCTCTGGGCAGCCCTGGCTGTCCTGGAGCTCGGTCTGTAGATCAGGCTGGCCTCGAACTCACAGAGATCTGCCTGCCTCCTGCCTCCTAAGTGCTGGGATTAAAGGCATGCCACCAAGGCTGGCAAAGAAGTGACTTTTTTGTATAATTTATTTTTAGTTTACGTGCATTGCTATTTTGCCTGCATGTATGTCTGTGTGAGTGTGTCAGATCTTGGAGTTACAGACAGTTGTGAGCTGCCATGCGGGCTCTGGGAATTGAACCAGGTTCAGGACTTAGTGCTGTTAACCACTGATCCATCTCTCCCGCCCTGCAAAAGTGATTTTTAAAACTTACCACTTTCTCATTTTTTCTAAAAAATAATAATGTGGTTGTATATGCTAAAGCTGGATTTGTGTAACTTAGTGGTGGTGGGGTTCTCAGGGAATCGAATAAATAGATATACCACTCCAGCAAGAGACAGGCTTCAGGGCAAGCAAAAAGGCATTGAGTCAGCTCTGACTGCCCATGCTGTAGATACCTTTTTCTTTTCTTTTCTTTTCCTCTTCTCTCTCTCTCTCTCTCTTAAACACAGGGTCTCATGTAGCCCACTCTTACCTCAAACTGATTATATCCCTGAGGGTGACCCTGATCCCCCTGCCTCCATTCACCTCCCTGTGCTAGGAATACAGGCGTGGGCCACCACATTCAGTCTATAAATACCCAACTCAAGGCTTGTGCATTTGAGGCAAACACTCTAACAACTGGGCTACATCTAGCCCTCCCCAATAGGCTACTCTGTGGTTCTAGGAGCTGATCTATAATGATCCAGTATACATCTTTCATCACTCAGAATGGATACAAATCTGTGGCTGTTGATTCCTTTTGCTAGGAGAAAACATTTGGACAAGCCCTAAAAATACTCAAATATACTTCATATTTTCTTTCAATCAGCTTTACCTTTGTGGACCTAAAGCTTTATTTTCTCCACGGAGAGGACTTTGCTGTTGAAACCTTTGGGTGAGGGAGAATGAAGTACTAACAGCCGATGGTGGAGGTGACCATCTGTTCTCTCAGCACATGACAAGCTGGGGTTATTGCCAATAAAAACAGGCTCCTTTGCGGCAGATGGGCCCTCTGCTCTCTGCCCTTCCTCTTCTTCCCTCTTGTATGAACAGCTACTTTAGGTTATTCAAGGAGTCATTGAAGAGGAGTGAGCAATGACCAATGGTGACCACGGGCACAGTGACCAATAAAAAGTCAGTAAGAGCAGGTGAATGAGATGATGACATCAGGCAGATGGTGAGCCAGCCCATTTCCCTTAAATAAGCACCCACACAGAACATCACTTGGCAGTTCGGGCTGTGATCCTTCCCCTCCCAAACTCTGATGGAATAGCAATGAAACAAACCACACCTGGGACTCATAGGGGAGAAATGCAATGTTGATTTCCGTCAGCGTCTTGATGACTTTGGCTGCTCGGGATTTTACCAGCTCGTTAAACAGGGCATCTGGACATGCTACAAGAATGACAAAAGACAAGGGGGTTTCAGTCTGTCTGTCTGCCAGCTCAGTCAACAGCCATGATATCACTGCACCTTTCATTCCATGCAGACTTTTAAAAAGGCACCTAGTGATAAATTCATCCTGTCCTCAGATATCCAGCACCCTGAGGTACAGAAATGGAAAACTACCTGAAGGCCCTCGACACAGCAAACAGCAACAGACTGAGATACACAAGCTAATAAAAACTATTTTTTGATCCCAGGGAAAGGAGAGCAAACAGCAGAACTCATTAAGAAAGGGCGAGGAAGAAAGCATCACGTACCTGATGTGTTTATGAAAAAGAGACACGGGGCACCTGAGAGCACCTGAGGCCACTGGTGGGTCATGATGCCCTGCAGACCATGGGAACAGCTTGAGGTGCCAGGGGCATCTTACTGGTTGGTGGTCACCAGTGCTGTGCTCTCTGCTTCTTTTTCATCAGCAAGGGTATATTCCTTGCTACTCCCTTTCTGTATTGTCAGGGGTGACTGTGGGGTTACCCCAGGGATAAGATCGGGTGAGGCCTATACACTTTCTCTCTGGAGCTACTCCACTAACAGCTTATCCATACGCAAATCAGCACAACATCAGAAAGATGACTCTGGGAGAACTGGTTGGAACTGTTGTGGTCTGAAGACCTCACAGAAACAGCCCACAGGCTACAGAGACATCTGAACTGTATAATGAAGTACCACGGATGTTCTTCTCAGCAGGAAGCCCTCTGTTCTCAGAGGAGGAGCTTGGTGGGCTATTTTTCATCAGAAAAATTACTTCTTCTGGTAGAGTGTGTGTGTGTGTGCGCGCGCGTGTACACTTGTGCATGTGTGTCTTATACTGTCCATCTTCTGAAGAGAAGATCGTATAACTACAGTACAACCTACTTCTTCTGCTGCCCTGCCCTGCCCTGCCCTGCCTTGGGCTCAGTGGAGCTGTGAGGAAATGCTGCCCTGGGCACAGGAGCAGCTCGTGGGGCACTTACAGTCCGTGAAGAACACATGCGCAGCCCGATATTTAGCAGTTGGCGGGTCCTTAAAGTCACTGATGAGAGAGTGGACAGACTGTGAACAGGAAAAGGGGGGAGGCATTAATTTCAATTGTAGAAGCCAGTGCAGCTCATGTCTGACCGAATCCTCTGGTTTCACTGCACTGCAGCAAGGGTTTCTGACGTGTGACTCCAACACCCCTGTTTGATCATAGCCAGGCTCTGAGCACTCAGAGGCAGGGTTATTCCAGAACGAGGTTCACTACAAAATGACAGGGTCAGTGCCACTGGAACCTGGACCCACAAAACTGCTTAGTCCTTCCAGAAGACTCACACTGATGGCGCTCCGGCAGTTTAGCTAAGGACCTCACCTGAAAGCCAGTTTTTAAAAGTGAGAGCAACATGTGACAATCAGGGTTTTTTTTTTTTTTAATATAAAAGAGCCCTAAGGCTTCTATTGCTGTGCTAAAACACCATGACCAAAAGCAACTTGAAGGAGAAAGGATTTACTTCCTCTGCTCCCAGTTTTATAGCACTGTCACTGAGGGAAGTCAGGGCAGGACCCTGGAGACAGGAGCTGATGCCGAGGCCGTGGAGGAGTGCTGCTGACTGCCTTGCTCTCTTGCTCAGCTACTTTTAAAATACATACTATCGAGGACCACTTGGGCCTGGGCGTGGCACTGCCTACAATGGCTGGGCTCTCTCACATCGGTCATGCCCTACAGGCTTGCCTGGAGATCATCTGGTGGAGGCATTTTCTCAATTGAAGTTCCCCTAAAGTGTGTCAAGTTGACAAAACAAACAAACAAACGAACAAACAAAAACCAACCAAACAAAACACCTGGCAGCAGCTATCAGCCAAAAGGAAGGAGATGGTCCTTGTATGGATCTGATCTGAACCAAGACGGACAAATCTGAGTACAAGCTAGAGACTGAAGAAATAACCCCCAAAACACAACACTCCAAAGCCTGGAGGTAGCTCCACCTGGAGAGCATGGGGGGAAGTAGAATGCTGAGAGTGTCAGGGCGCCAGCACTGGCTTTCGACTCCGCACTGCTGCTGCATTTCCTGAGGCTCACTGCATGCACAAGGGCTGCCACCCTGCCTGCCTCTGACAACATGCTTCAACAGAGCAGTGTGCTAAATGCATGCTTAACCTAGAAATGTCAGGTGCTCTGTGCCGGAGCCTAAGCTCCAGGTCTCAGCCTGAGCAGCTAACACTGAGGGATTTACCTTCTCGGACGGGGTGATGAGGTACACAGCCTCCAGGCTGGGGAGCGGCTCTCTGCGCTTGTTGATGTCCTCCACAACTAGACAGAGACACGGCCCAGAGTTACTAAGAAAACTACAAGCCAGCCAGCCAGCCCTCAGACTAGCACAGACAAGACTACAGAGAGCCCCTGCCCCTTCTTTAAGCACCATGCTCCCTGGAAATGAAGCCTGAGATGTTAGAAATTTTGAAATCTTGCCATAGCAAATTCTGCACACTTCAGCTAACATCCTTTGACCTGTTTGGAGAAGGTTGCACTCTGCCAAGGACAGACCCTTTGCCCCTTCAGTCTCTTTTCATCTAAAGGACTCCCTAGAATTCCCTTCAAATTCCATGATGGGTTTATCTGTCAACAGCTGTCTTGAGCTGGAGATTCGGATCATGGTGTAGAACACTTGCCAGGCACACATGTGACCCAGGGTTCAACCTACAGCTCTGTGGACCAAACCAAGCAGGTGCTTTCCTGTGCATTCTTAATGAAGTGCTGCAAATACATTGTCCATGAGACTGCACTTCTTCCAAGAGCTCCAAGATGAAGTAAAGCCAGAGACTTTGTTTCACATTATTTTCTTTATAGACACGAGCTGGTAATGTAGACCAGGCTGGCCTTGAATTTAGGGTTCCTCCTGCCTCTGCCTCCTGAGTGCTGTATTATAGATGTGAGCCACCATACCAGGCTAGCCCACATGATTACATAGCCAGCACTTTACTGACTGAGCTATCTCCTCAGCCATTTTCTTCTATTGCTTCTATTTAACAGATTCAGTAGTGAAAGTGTTAGCAGTAAGTGGCTGCTTGTTTCCGTTGCGGTAAGATGCTGTAGGGGAACCATTCTACAACTCCTCCCCCTTTTTAACACAGCATCTCACTTGTAGCCCAGGCTGGGCCCAAACCTCACTATATAGCCCAGACTATTCTTGAATTTACGGTAATCTTGGTAATCTTCTTGACTCCTGAGTCTTGAAATTACAGGCATGTGCCACAGCATCTAATTAACCATTCTCCTTTTGTTTCTAATTGCTTTATATTTGTTTGCTTATTGTCTGAGTTAGTGTGTATGTGTGTATGTAACACATGGATGTCAAAGGAAAACCTATGGAAGTTGGTTCCCTCCTTCCACCATATGGGTAACAGGGGTCAAACTCAGGTTATCAGACTTGGCAGCAAATGTCCTTGCTCACCAAGCCGTACCATCGGCTCCAACCTTTCTACACTGGATGGGTGTTTTGACTGTTTCCATGTGGGCCTCCAGTGAGCAACAGTCTGTGTACACTCCTGTTCATGTTTGCTCAGCACTGAGCTGGTTCAGAATCCACATCTAACTCAGAGCCTGCTGGGTCACAAGGTGCGCACACCTTAAACTTTCTTGCATACTGCCAAGTACTTTTTGGAAGAGCTGAACCGACGGACATTCCCCTGAGCCAGTGAGGGTGCTGGGAATTGAACCTGGATCCTCTGAAAGAGTAGCATACACTTCCAACCAGCGAAGCATCTCTCCAGCCCCAGTCTTTCTTCTCTATCTAGCTCTTCTATTTGGCATTCCCTCAGCCTGCACTTAAGGAGCAACGAATGCTGCATTGCATGGGGGCTCCAACCAGGAACAGGCGCTTCAGGCGCCACAGGGGCTCACAGTCCCACCACACGGGCTGCTGGAAGCATCTAAAGTCACAGGGCAGTAATGGATAGGGAGGGGACAGCATGCTGCAAGGGAAGGCGACAGTGCCGTGCTCACTTGTGATCCCCTCGGTCATGATGTCTGTCATCTTGCAGCAGGAGGACAGCATCCTCATGCTTAACTGGTCCACCACCAGCACCTGGAAGAAAGAGAACAGCTCAGGGCTGCACCGTTCCTGCCCTCATTCTCTCACTGGCTTCCTGTAGGAGGCTTCCAAATGATTACTCAGAATAAACCAGGTGCGGTGGCACACGCCTGTAATCCCAGCACTCAGGCAGGCAGAGGCAGGTGGATCTCTGTGAGTTAGAGGCCAGCCTGGTCTATAAAGTGAGTCCAGAACAACCAAAGCTACACAGAGAAACACTGTCTCAAAAAACAAAACAAAACAAAACAAAAATTCTCAGAATGGAGAATGGGGGAGAAGCCATTCCCCATGGCCCATAGGCATGCTGGGATGCAAGCTTGCTTTTACTCCCCAAGTTCACCTAGACAATAGTGTTTATCCTCACTGACCTCATAAGCATTTATACAAAATGAAATAAGAAGAGGAGGGAGCCATGTACAGCACCAACACTCAGAGGCAGCCATTATCTGGGGTTACCTTCGAGTCACAACTTGCTCTCCTGAGAGACAGGCTAGAGTCCATACACATGGTGGTTCACGGGGCTCATGCAGCCCCCGTCAGGGTTTCCACCTTCACCAGCACACATCTCTGTCCAGACTAGAAGCACAAGAATGTTCCACACCTGCTGTGTTCACCTCATCTTTGTGTGTTCTTTCACCCCACAGTAGAAAGAGCCAACCGTGAAAACAAGACCTTTCCTTCTCCTTCATGAAAGAAAGCAGGAGGCCCCGAGCAGAGGACCCGCCGGAGCAGACAGCCCAATCAGAAAGCTTCTCCTGCTGCACAGCAGCCCCTTGGCTTCCTGAGGAGGCACATGGACATTCCCATGTCTACAAAGCCCTGCCTGATGGAAAAGGTGACAGAGAGACATGCCTATGCGTTCCCAGCAGATGGCCTCCCCTTGGGAACCTGTGAAAACCAAACAGCATGCCACAGGGCCAGAACTGGGCTCCCAATTAGCTACAAGGCTCAGGGAACCCAGCATGTGTGGGCTTTGATTCCAGGGAAATAGACAGTGTGGCCCCTTCACCAGCTCATGAGGAAGTTCCAAGAGAGTCCCAGCAGCTCCCAGCCAGAGCAATACCTACCTCAGAGAACCCTCACCTGCTAAGCCAGCTCACTGGGTCCATGTCCCGGAAGAGACTGGACATACACAATACACACAATGCTATACTCGGTCCTGGAAAAAGCTCTCATTTCTATCAAACACCCCCCACCCCTCCAACTCCACCTTTTTCCTCTTGTGTGTGTGTGTAGGTGGGAAGTATGTTTGCACATATGTGTTCATGTGTGTGTGAGGGAATGTACATGCTGATGTCAGGTGTCCTCTTCAATAGCTCTCCCTTTGCTTACAGGTCAGAGTCTCTCACTGACCCAGAACTCACTGATTCTGCTAGTGCGGTAAGCAGCATGCCCAGACAGCCAGGCCGTAGCTCCTGAGTGCTGGGATCACGAGCAGGTCACCATCCTGCCTAGCTTCCTTGTACAGCTGACAGGCTGCAAACTCTGGCCCTTGCTTCTGCACAGCGTGTGGCATGCTTCGTCCACTGAGCTGACTCCCCAACCCTTTACACACATTCCCACTTTTCTCATGCACATGAACTCACCTTTAGGGCCACAGACTGCTCTTTACTTACCTTCCACTCCCCCTTCTTCTTAACCTTCTTGATCACATCATGCATGATCTCTAAAATAGGAGGGAGGGAAGAGGAGAAGAGAGGGAAGGAGGGAGGGGAAGAAGGGGAGGGAGAGAGAAGAGAGAGAAGGTTACTGTAATTTCATAGTTCCCACATCTGCCTATTACACTAGGGCATCTTCCTAGACCTTGTGCTCCCTTCAGGCCTATAGTACAACCAATCTGTTCACAGAGCCACAATCACCCACCACCACAATTACCGCCACAGAGGCAGCTCTTTTCCTGTTTCCTTAACTCACTGGTTCACAGACATTTCGATCTCAGGTGTTCTTTATGCTTTTCAAAACAAAAGACCCCAGAGGTTGTCTATATGGGTGAATAACTATAGATATTATGAGTGAAACTGAGCCAGGCATGTGCACACATCTGTAATCTAAGAACTTGAAGGGCTAAGGTAGGCAAATTCTGAATTTGAGACCGGTCAGGGACATAGAGGTAGTAGATTGCTAGCCTGGACAATATAGGGAAATATTGCTTGAAAAACAAACAAACAAGAAAAAAAAAGACTCATTAACTGATTCATTTGAAATAATAATAATAATAAACCAGTGTATGTTAACATAAATAATATTTTAGTGAATGAACAGTAACTGTATTTTCCTTAATAAAAAATCTTAGAAATCTGAAATCTTATATCTTTGTAGCTCTCATTAATGTCTGGCTTCACAGAGGACAGCCGTCTGTCCCTTCTGCTTCTGGAGCCAATATGTCTGGAATCAGGTGACGTCTGGAAAGGGCTCAGAAGAGCATGAAAAGGAGGCCAATGACCTCATAACCTTCCTATGCAGACAGCTGTGATCCGAGTCCACCAACCCCCAGGATATTAGATTTGAGAACCACGGCTAAGTAAATAAAAGGCTCTGACCAGGCCTCAGGCCCAAGAGTCCCCCGCAACCTCTATAGTCAGGAGGAGCTTGAGGTCTTCTAAGCTCATTTGTGCCATGCTGTTATGTTGGCAGGCCAGTTCCTACAACACCACTGCTGCCCAGAGCAGCCACAGAGGCCTCACACATATCTGAACAGCCTGGAAGGCCCTGTAGGAAATACGACTTTTGCTGTTTTGAAAGGCAGGCCCTACATTATCCCGATGAGAAGGCTCAACGTATACTACATACCTGTATGGAAATAGCCTTATGTAACCCTGTTATAAAATCTTAAATAAATAAAATATAGAAATAAGATTAACACGGGAGAAATACTTCTACCTCCTGGGATTTAATTGTTCGTCGTAATTTTAGGGGATTGAATTTAGGGCCACACATATGCTAGGCAAGTGTTCTACCTGAGCTCCATCTCCAGGTAGCTCGCTAGGATTGTAAATGCCAGCATGGTAGTCCACAGCTTACTCAAAAACATTTCCAGTAGACACTTAATTTACTTATATTGCGATATGGTGAAAAACTGGTCAAAGTGACTGAGCAATTAGGTTATCCCTGTTATAGACTACTGTGTGCCCACTGGAAACGATGATATGGGGAAACATGCCCATGCCTTCACTCCCTCACTCAGTGAGCACTGCCGGGACCCACGGGGTATCAGATATTGCGCAGCACTGGAGGAGGAACACAGGCTCGGCCAGCTCATAGGCTCACGATGGGGGCCACTGCCTGATGAAAGCAGCACCCAAAGCTTCTCCTAACCACCCTGAAAAGAGTACGAGAGGAGCCAGGACACAGCACAAACAGGGATGCAGCGAGGCCATCCACAGGGAGTTGGGCCTGCTGGGAGGCGGCCACCAGATAGAAAAGAGAGGGACGCTAATAGAAGCCTGTAGTGGACAAAGAGAAGATACTTGACATTTGCTTGGGGCTTAAGAGGTGCGGGCTGAGGATGGAGGAAGACCAGACAAGTGCCCTGTGGTCCTTGGCAAAGGGTATGTTTTTCTTGGATGGGTGCTGTATAACCATGGAAGGCGGGGAGCTCACCTGCTGTGCTGTGGATGGAGATGGCAAGAAGTGGGCAGATGTGACACGTAAATACATAACAAAACCCCTGTACTAGACAGGAACGACACCCAGACAGAGATTACTAGAGGGCACAAAGAGAAGAGGGAAGAGGCATGGTCAGTAGCAGAATAAGTTTTATTTCGCCTTTTTAAAGAGTGAAATGTGGGGCTGGGGAAATAGCTCAGTGGTTAATAGCACTCAGTGGCTGCTCTTCCAGAGGACCTGGGTTCTATTCCCAGTCCCCACATGTTGGCTTACAACCATCTATAGCTCCAATTCCAGGGAATCAAACATCTCTTCTAGCCTCTTTGCGATTATATCAGGCAAAACACACATGCAAATAAGAGAATAAAAACTGTAAAAAGGAGGTAGAGGCAGAAGGATTTCTGTGAGTTCACAGCCAGCACTGTCTACGTAGTGAGTCCCAGGACAGCCAGGGCTATGTAGAGACACCCACCCTGTCTGGTGTGGCAGAGGGCTAAGGTGGATGAGAGCCATGGAGGCGGAGGTGTTGGTAGGCAGCTGTAGAAGAATGGTCTCAGCAGCAGTTACAAATTGGGAAGTTATATATAGGAGGGGCCTGGAAAGACGGGACTTAAGCTCAGCTCCCAATACTCACAATGGGCACCTCACAACCTCCAGTAACTCTAGCTCCAGCAGATCCACTGGTCTCCTGGCCACCTCAAGCACCTGCATGCACATGGTGCGTGTGCATGCATGCGAACACACACACACACACACACACACACACACACACACACACACACACACCACTAAAGTTCTGGAGAAATGGCTCCGCAGTGAGGAGAAGTGACTGCTCTTGCAGAAAGACTTGGAGTTTGATTCCCAGAACCCACACATGGCGACTCATAACTATCTATAACTCCAGTCCCAAGGGATCTGACATCTTCTGACCATTGTGGTCATTATATGCAAATGGTGCAAGAACACACATACAGGCAAAATACCCATACACATAAAATAAAAATAAAAGTTAAAAAATAAAATAACTAAAAACTAAAAAAATATAAGCCGGGTGGTGGTGGCACATGCCTATAATCCCAACACTCAGGAATCAGAGGCAAGTGGATCTCTGTGAGTTAGAAGCTAGCCTGGTCTACAGAATAAGTTCTAGGACAGCCAGGACTAAAACAGAGAAACCCTGTCTCAAAAACCAAAACCAAAACAACAACAACAAAACTTTAAAAATTATATATAAAGAAATAGGATATAAGAGTGGATAAAATCCATAACTATGACTGGGCAGTGGTGGCACACACCTTTAATCTCAGCACTCAGAGGCAGAGGCAGGCAGATCTCTGTGAGCTTGAGGCTAGCCTGGTCTACAGCGTAAGGTCTAGGATAGCCAGAACTACACACAGAGAAACCCTGGCTCAACCAAACCAAACCAAACCAAACAAACAACAACAACAAAAAAAAAAACAGAAACAACCAACCAACAAAACAAACAAAAACCCCCATAACTCAAGAGACATGAGCTTGGTGGACTTTGACAGGCTCTCATCAAGACAAGAATGGAGCCAGACTAGGGGAAGAGAGGAGGAGAGACCGGAGATGACCTTGACAATTCTTTTAGTAAGACTTGCTAAAAAGTAGAAGAGAACAAGTAAACTAAGAGAACAGAGATGAGAAAGCAAAGCAAGGTTTTGTTTGTTCTGAAAGATGTGAGAGATCGGAACATTTGGTGTGAGCAAAAGTAAATGATCCAACAGAGTGGGGGGAGGGAGGGCCTGACCTGGGAAAACTGGGCTGAGACAGCAGGACCCTGTGACAGTGTGAGGAGTGCTGGAGGTGGCATCAGCAAGGGCAGGGGCGGTGGCAAGTAAGCAGTGCTAGCGGAAGATTGGAAAAAAGAAGAAACTGCACCTTCCCAGAGATCTGGGAAGTGAATTTCCACACTTTAGCACTTCTGGACGGTTCTAAAGCTAATTTGAGGTTTGTGGCCCCCACTTGAAGTGAAACCAGGAAGCCTGGATTTTTATTTTATTTTTTTGAGACTCACTACGCAGTCCAGGTCGACCTCAAATATTCAATGTTTCTGCCTTAGTCTCGTGAGTGCTGAGATTACAGGGCTCCTTTACACCTGGCTTTCCCTCCACCTTTATGGCATTCTAGGGATGGGATTCAGGTCAGGCCCACCCAACCACCTCTTCAGCCCTACAACTGTGTTATTTTTTTCCTGTTTTTCTGTTTATTTTTGTTTTGTTTTGTTTTAAGTAAATGAAATCACAAAGCTACATCTAGGGCACTAGAATTCTACCTATTTCATTGCAGGCTCTCATGTCAATGTTTCAAATACAAATACAACCAGTTTTTGCTGTAGTTTAGCGGTCTCAAACCTATTTATTCTCTCTGTGCATTAGCTCCTTCTATCTGGGAATACCTGAGTTCCTGTGGGACTCTTGGGTTTTTTAATTAATTTTGTTTTGTTTTTTTTTTTTCAAGACAGGGCTGAACTGAAACTCACTCTGTAGACCAGGCCGGTCTCAAAATCACAGGTATCCACCTGCCTCTGCCTTCCAAGTGCTAGGATTAAAGGCGTATGCCACCACCACCCGGCTACTATTTTTTATTTTTTGAGGTTTATAATTACATCATTTCCCCCTTCATTTTCCTCCCTCCAAACCCTCCCAAATGTCCTTCATTGCTTTGCTGAAACTCATGGGCTCTTTTTTCTTTAATGCTGTACCTGCTTTGTAAAAGCACATGCAAACTGGAAAACAGAGCAAAACGGTATCTGTGTGAGACAAAATGACTAGCTTTAACTACCAGTATGTCCCAAGGTTGTTCCATGCTTCTACCAGCAAAAAGCAAAACAAAACCAGAGAAGAGAACCCAGTGCTCTGAAGCACTCCGGGGAGGGCTGCCTCCGCCTTTCTTTGCAGTCTTCTGTTGGACTGTGGAGAGGCACATCAAAGCACAGGTGTCCTGGGCTTCTGTTAAAGTCAGCTGAATTCCTTTTCCAAACGCAGAACAGCCTCAGCTGGCTGTAGACTCTCCCGCTGATCCCAGTCTCCTACCACCACCGAAAGCTGTGTTTCCCTGTGCTGCGCTGGTGCTCGAAAGAGACGGAGCAAGCGCTCCGCCACTGAGCTACAGACAGTCCAGCCCTTCTGCTTTACCTGGGCTTAACAGATGCCTGCGGCTGAATATATCTTTTGCTAACAAAAATTTAAATGCAGTGAAAAATACTGCTCAAGAGACATTTAGAATGGGGACTGTGGAGGCACGATGAGAAAAATTGAGCCGAGCACAAGTGTTCACGGCATACCTAACTAGCGCGCTGCAGCCTTCCAACAGCCTTATTTCCTTCCCCAAATCCTCAGAGCATATATTTGTCCTGGGTATTATTAACAGCCAATCCTAGCCCTGCCCTACATTCTTTAATCCAATACCAAAAAGGAAACGTGGATTACAGCCCATTTTAGCCCGGAGAATCAAGTGGCCGGGGCTATTTTCTAGCATATAATCCCATGTCATTCCCTCTACTTTGCAGCTCTTCTCTATGGAGAGAGACCACAAGCCTCCAAGAACTGGTCAAGTGCTCAGCAAAAGTGTTGTTTCCACCATCCACCTCAGGCCACACAAGCACAAAGACCTGAGTTTGACCCTAGTATCCACATACAGAGCCAGACAAGTAATCCAAGTGCTGGAAAGGCAGACAGGATTCCTGGGACTTGCTGGCCAGGCAGCCTTGCTTAAGTGAACCCAAGTCCCAGTCAGAGCCCATCTCAGAAAGCAAGATGGTCGGCTCTGGAGGAATGACACCCAATACTGTTCTCTGATGTATGCACACAATGATCTGGGGTGTGTTTAGGAGGAAGCAGTGTTCAGGCAGGAAAGCAGCCGCCCTGGTCTCTAAGGCAGCAGGACTGGATGACAACTCCCACAGGCCCAGTTCACCTTCAAACATGCTGGCGCCCTTCCCATCTGGTATCTTCATTCCCTCCCCATCCGACATCTGAGATAACATGACCATTTGGCAAAATGCCCACAGAACGCTATCGCAGATGAGTGGAGTTCTGTGAGTGAGGTGAACAGTGATCTACGGTGGGCCTGGAAGCTGAAGGAGGTCATCAGCCCAGGGCGTCTCCATTCTCACACAGCCCCAGTGTTCAGAAGACCCAGTCCAAAGGCCACAGTTTGAACAGAGGCCTCAGAGGTCTTCCCACAGGGCCTGCTGGGGACACCTGCCTTTACTCTGAAAGGATAATACAGGTAAACTGTGCAAACCAGATGGATCAGGAAATTCTTCTCTTAGCCCTCACACAAATGCAGTGAGGACTATGATGTTATATAAATGTAGAGACACAAGCAATGCTCCATGGGAGCAGTCGCCATCTTAGAATTTCTCTGTCCTGGTGACAGACCCAGGATCCTATATATGACAAACCTATGCTCCACCACCAAAGTGTGTACCCCTGATGAAGTTCGCTGTGGGCTGGGCAGTGGTGGTGCACTCCTTTAATCCCAGCACTCAGGAGGCAGAGGCAGGTGGATCTCTCTGAGTTTGAGGTCACCCTGGTCTACAGATTGAGTTCTAGGACAGCCAGGGCTACACAGAGAAACCCTGCCTTGGGGAGGGGAAGTTCACTGTGGGGGCTCAGCAGGTGAAGATGCTATACTCTTTCATTAATAGACACTTAAGTTAGTACCATATCTTGTGAATTGTGAATTATGCTGCAATAAACAGATACACAGGTACCTCTGTAGCATGTTGACTTAAATTCCTTAAGTATTATAGATTTCTTATTAATAATTTTAGCATTTAAAAATGCTGTGTCAGCCAGGCAGTGGTGGTGCACATCTTTAATCCCTGCACTCTGGATGCAAAAGCAGGCAGATATCTGGGAGTTCCAGACCAGCCTAGTCTACAGAGGGAGTTCTAGGACAGCCAGGGATACACAGAAACCCTGTCTTGAAAAATCAAATAAATGAATAAATATTTTAAAAGTTTTTCAAATCCAAGGCCAGCTAGGCATGGGAAGGCAGGGGCAGAAGATCTGTGAGTTTGAGGTCAGCCAGGGCTTCATAATGAGACCCTGCCTCAAAAAAAAAAAAAAAAAAAAAACAAAAAACAACAAAAAACACAAGGAAGTCTCAGATTCTTGGCAACATAGTGAGCCCAAAGCCAGTCTAGGCTAAGTAAGACCCTGTCTCAAAAAAAAAAAAAAAAAAAAAAAAAGATAAAAAGTCAGGTGTGGTGATGCATACCTTTGTTGCCAGTGCTTGGGAGGTAGAGGCAGGCAGATCTATGTGAGTTCCAGGCCAGCACGGTTTATATAATAAGACTGTCTGAATGAATGAATGAATGAATGAATGAATGAATGAATGAATATCTGCATGCACTGATAGCCCTAGAGCAGTTTGTCGTTGTTCTTCTAGTCTGTTCTAGGGTGTAAAAGAAGTGTGCCCTGGGTGTTCTGCCTGGCCCTGTGGTGTCCAGACTGAATTGGCGAGTACGTCTATATGGTAGGAGGGTCACACGCTCAAGCTGGGAAAGCTCCTTATGTAATCTTGTTTTACAGAAACAAATTGGCGATTACTTTGCCTCCATCACATAACTAGCTGCTGCTTACCATCCAAAGGACTCCAGGAATTAAGACAAGCGGGACTGGCAGCACCCTGAGCTGTGTTTTGACCATGATTTATATGGAAGGAGGCATTAAAAAAAAAAAAGACATGTCATATGGGTTGTCTAAAAATAAAGTGCATTAAGCTCACTTGCAGGAATAAAGAAAGAGATAATGCAGACTTCTGGGCTGCCACACAGAGCCTTCAGCTGACAGGTCCCCCAGCTCACCTTACCAAACAGCATGAAGCTAAGACTTTTATTTACTACTTACATCTAAACTGTCCTTTGCAGACGTAGGAGAGACCAAAAGAAAGACCACAAAGCACCAGCCACAGGGCAAGAGCAGGATGCCTGACTCTGTAACTGCTCAGCGGCTACCGCCTGGCCCATTTAAGCTCGATTCTGGGGTGGCAGGGGCTTGATTAGAGGAAAGAACGGGGCCCAAGGGTTTGAAGCTGGGTTGATGATGGTTTGGTTACACTGATGAACACACCCAGAAGCCGCATAAGACTCAGATGCCCAAGGTTACGACATCCACAACAAGGTTAAGACATGGCTGCCTGCCTGCAGCTGGGGGAAGGTGCACGGCATCGAGCTGCCAATCAGATACCACAGTCAGGGAAGATTTCACTTCCTCTTTCCAGATGATCCTCCTTGTGTTTTCCCATGTTTTGTGAGGTTGAAAGCCAAAAGGTCAAGAAGCTAGCTTCTCTCAGGCTGTCAACATGGGGGACATCCTCGGGGACTATAGAGGCCATACTCCCTTTGCATGGATGTGGCTCTAGCTTCAGAAATCAGCACCAAAATAATAACAGACACAACAATAAATAAAAAGGGTTACTGTGTTCTTCCTAAAGTCCACTAAACATGGTGTTTCTCAGATAAAAGGAGATGGCAGGAGCAGCAAAGACTAAACAATTTCCATTTCTTAAAGCCTTAGTTTTTTTGATACTCTGAGCAACAACAACAAAAGAGTCTATTAGGTAGGGGGAGGGGGTGCGTACCTGTAATCCTATTTACTTAGCAGGTTGAGGCAGGAGGATTACAAGTTCAAGGCCTACCAGGCAAGTTACTCCAAGTCCAAGTCTCAACATTCAAAGGAAGGCAGGGCAGCTCAGTGGCAAGCGCTTGCCAAGTATTCATGAGACCCCAGGTTTAATCCCTAGTATGTCACCAACAGAAAAAAAGAAAGGAAGGAAGGAGGGAAGGAGGGAGGGAGGGAAGGAGGGAGGGAGGGAATGAGGGAAGGAAGGAAGGTCAGTGAATGACTGATGAGGGAGGCAGCTTATATCTGAAAGAGATGCTGCCCTCCCCTGCAGACCACTCTCCAGGGAGTGCTTATGTACTAATTCCCCATTTGGTCTCTAGTCTGAAAGCACTTCTCTATGAACCACTGAGTTTCTCTTACTACAGACCCTGTGATAAGCAGTAAGTCTGTGTACCATGGGACCCAAGACATGGCCAACAGTCACATTGATAGAGGTGGCATCTAATGTTTCCCAGTTACATTTCTTCCCAGAGACCAGCATTAAGCGGAAAGCCCACTCTGAAGAGAGGGCAATGCCATGGAGTGCTTCCTGGGGTCTTGGGAATCCAGAGCTGACTGGGCAGTCCAGAAACGGGAATACCTGAGACTTTTTTGAGTGCCCTGGTGAGCTAAGATACCCTGGCCCCCTGGCCCTCCCATCCCAGCAAGGACTGAAAGTCCCTCTGGAACCTTCAATCCCTACCACACTGACATGAAAGAAAAGCCTCAGGGAAGCTTCTAAAGGCAGGAAATGGCTTCCCACCAGAAACAAGCACACAGAAAGGTCCAGGAGGAGTTTCAGAAGGAGTCTTCCTTTTCCCAAACCCATACAATTGATTACAATAAGATGCTGGGGGGAAAAAGTTGAGGGGAACCGTGGCCCAGTGGTTAAGAGCGTTTGCTGCTCTTGCAGAGGACCCAGGTTTGATTCCCACACGGTGATGGTTCATCCTTGTTTGCAACTCTAGTTCCAGGGGATCTGAAACTCTCTCCTAACCTTTGCAAGCACCAAACACACATGTGGTGCACAGATATACAGGCAAAACACCCATACACATAAAACAAAATAATAAATAAATCTAAAAATATCTTTTAAAGATTAAAAAAATTTCTCAGGAAAAAGGAAATATCCTATTTGGGTTCGGGCTCAGGATCAAGCACAGGAAAAAGGTGGGGCTTCCGAAAGAGAAGAAAGCTGACAGGCCAAGAGAAGGACAGATGCTAGCTTCCACTGAGTATGCAGAGCAAGTGGCTTTTCCGGCTTACAGGGCTCCTTTTGCCTCCTGTATCTGCGTCCTTCCTTAGCTTCGATGTTTTGCTTCCTGTTTCTAGTTCCCTCACCTGCCAGCATCATTTTACCTTTCCTTTCTTTTGGGCTATTTTTTTTTTTTTCGTTAGACAAGATTTTTTCTGTGTAACCTTGGCTATCCTGGACTCACTTTGTAGACCAGGCTGGCCTCCAACTCACAGAGATTCCTTTGGGCTCATAATCTTCAAAGCTGAGAACAGCTAAAACTGCTTTTCCTGCACATGTCTTCTTCCAGAATAAACTGTTCGAATGAGGTTTTGCTGTATTTCTTCTTTCCCTATAAGACATTTGTAAATGCTGGGCTTGGTGGGAAGGGAAACAAGACCTGGAGTTCATAGCAATCTTTGGCTACATAGTGAGTTCAGGAACCCTGTCTCCAAAAACCCAGGAGAGGAAGACCAAACAACTTGTTATTGTTTTGCTTATGAGTATCTCACTATGTTGTTCTGACTGGCCTGGAACTCCCAGAGATCTGCCTGCCCCTGCCTCCCAAATGCTGGGTTTCAAGGTGTGTACCACCATGCTCCCCACAAACAACATTTTTTTTTCAAAGCTCCTATACAGATGTTTTATTGTTCTTTCCTTTTTGAAATGACAGGAGGCAGCTCTCTCTGGCTCTATATGAACTGTATTTACTTCCCCAGGTACCTAGGCAGGATGGGATGTGCTGCTGGAGCATGCAGTGAAGGCTGGGTGCTGGGGTGGTCTTGGCTTCCCTTAACTGAGCAATGGAAGGTAGCGTTGGATGCATGGTGAAGTCTCCACACTGTAACTGCGTTAAGGCTCTATGCACAAGACCACTTTGTTGAATATGCACCCTGGAGTCTGGGAGGCTAGTCATCGTGAGATTGCTGGATTTGGACTATCACAAATACTTGGTGTGTGTGTGGGGGTGTTTTCGTCTTGTTTTTTAGAAACGAAGTGCTCAATCTACAGCACTTTCTGGCTTGGAACTCCCTACATACACCAGGCTGTCCTCAAATTTGCAGAGCTCCATGCCTCTGCCTCCCATGTGCTAAGATTAAAGTCATGCCCCCACACTGGGCCTGAATATTTGTTTTTAACCTGTAGCCAAGCTCTTGTTTACTGACTACATAATCAGCACTAAAATGCTGAGATTTATGACTGCTTATATCAGTGAGGAAGAAAAAAACTAATGGCCCAAAGAGCCTGTCAATTGCTCTTAAGAAGTAGGGTGTGGAGTATCCCCGCCTACTGATGGTTACTGTCCTTCCCAGAATTCAGTTCTCCTAACTGATGTCTCATTTCACAGTCTGTTGTCTGCTTTTCTATAGTAGAAATACTAGCTGCTTTGCACCCATGGAAGCTAAGTCCATCGGTCCTGTCTCAGCAATGAGGGCGGTAAACACTAGCAAACTGAACACAGAACCTTGGAGGCTTTAGGAGCTGCCAGCACAAAATGCCCATAGAACTTAAAAGGAGAGGGGCATGAGGCATGTGGGCAGGCTGTGTGTGAGAAGTGGTTACACTCTGGGTACCCTTTTACCACTGCCCATGGCTGGACAATCACACACCAACATGGCAGAACAGTGGTGCTTCCCCTTGGTTGGAAGACCCAAGACAGTGTGAGTATGGGCCTCTGTTGCTGGTCTTTGCTACTTTGTGGGTTCTTCTTTTTCCTACCCTTATTCCCCTCTCCCCGTTTTACCCCTATCACTAGATAGGAGAGATAGAAGGATAGAGGGGGAGATAGAGAGATCTCTGAATCTAACTTCGTTCTTCCTGTTTCTTCTTCGAGCATAACTAATAACAAACCACAACCAATCCCCCTGAACTACCAACCACACCAACCCACCTACTGGGGCTCTAGCATTTACATACCTTCTGAAAATTTCCTAGCACAATGACAGCAACTATTCGCAGCTGGCAAAACCATGCCTCAGCTAGAACACGAGGCAAAATCAATAGTCTGCTGCAAAGCAGTCCCATAACCCCATACCTGTGGTTAAAAACAAAACCATATTCTTATACATTTCTGTATTTTTTTTTTAAGGAACCAAAATTCCAGAATTCTCAGTACAGGTCTCAACTCAGTATTGTAGGAACAAATGATGTCCATACAAACATGTCAAGAATCATCTTCCTGACAAGCATGGTGGCGCACACCTTTGATCCCAGCACTCGGGAGGCAGAGGCAGGCAGATCTGTGAGTCTAAGGCCAGCCTGGTCTACAGAGCAAGTTCCAGGACAGCCAGAGCTATGCAGAGAAACCCTGTCTAAGGGAAAAAGAAAAGAAGAAAATCCCTTCCTACCCCCAGTCCCCAGTCTTTTCCACCTACTCAATTTCCAGAATTCCTGTCACTAGACTTGTGGTCTCAGGTAGGAGGACATTTCTTGGGGACTTTCAGTCTAAGGAGAAAAGACATTTTTGGGGTTCCTCAGCAACACATCCAATTCAGGCTGAACGCTCCAACTGCTGTCTGTGTCTCCCACTCTTAATCACAGGCAGACATCACAGTTTGCTGAACATCTGAGGGAAAATTCTTGCATGAAAAACAGACACTAAAACAAATAAAAAGAAAGAAATTGAGATGG